TATTATACGCGCTAATAATTAAATAGACTTTATCTTTTAAGCTATTTAAAAGCGCGATATAAAATTTAATAATAAGCTCTATTATAGTTTAGATATAATAATATTAATATATTAATTAATTAATATTGAGCTATTATAAAAATCTTAAAATATTAAATATAATTATATCTAGAAGATAAAATTATAAATCTTTATTAATATATAATTAATTTAATATATAGTAATAAAAAATCTACTATAAAAGCTACGCTATCTAGATTAATATTTTAATCTTAATTATTACTCTTACTATTATATGAGTAATATAAGAAGCTATCTCTTATTTAAGTATATCTAATTCTTAATTCTAATTATTATTATAGATATTGTTAATTTATTCTAGAATTATTAAATATACTTTTATATACTTTCTTATATCTTACTCTTTTTTTAATTAGATAGCGATTAAACTCTAAATTAAAATAAATACTTAGAAGAGAAAAGTTTATAAGTACTTAATTATATAATTTTATTTCTTTTATACTTTTTATAATTATTAGAGTAATTAATAATATATAATTATATCTTATAATTATATTTATAATAATTAATTAATTTAATAATTAAAGATAAATATATTCTTCTCTTTACTTTAAACGACTTAGCTAAGATAATTATAAGATTTAAATTCTTTTTCTATAATATAACTCGCTTTTTATATATTATATAAAGATAAATATTTATTTAAATAGAAATTATTAGAGCTAATTATAAAGCGTAATAATAAAAGATTTACTCTTAAATTAACGAATTAGAAAGACTTCTATTATCTTATATAATACTTTAAAAGCGAATCTTTAAATATAATAGCGCTTTAATAGATTTTAATTAAGTATAATCTAATAAATTAGATATTAAAAGAGAAGCTTTAAAATTATAAGATTAGTTAATTTTTAATAATAATAAATCTCGCGTAAAGCTTAAGCTATAGCTCGCGTTAGTTATATATAATAAATATAATAATAATTAGAAGAATATATTATCTAGTTTTTATTAACGCTTTAATATTATTAAAGTAAAGATAATATCTATTAAAGTAAAGATAATAATTAAAGCGATAGCGATTAAAGCGGCGATAATATCTAATAAAGACTTTATTTTAACGCTATATCTAGCACTCTAGAATAGTATTAGCTTTTTTGAAGAGCTATTAATAATAGATTAAGTGTATATAAGTTAAGCTCTTCGCGCGATCTATCTATATATTAACTTAAAGTTATTAAAAGATAAAGAATAAATATATAACTTAATAACTATATTATACTTTTAATATTATTATAATAATATTAAGTTATTTAAATAGAAGTTTAATATATAAAGAAGATAGTTTAATAATAAGAAGAGTTAATATAAAAAAGAAAGTCTTAGAGAGAAAGAAGAGAGGAAAGAAAAGCTTAGATATCTATCGCGTATATTAAATTTTTAGATTACTTTATATTATCTAGCTTAAATTAAATATTAATAAAACGCTTTCTCTTTAATTTTAAAGATTTAAGTTTAAGCGAATTACGCTTATTAAGCGCTATTATCTAATATAATCTTAGCTACTTTTATAATAATTATAATTATTATTATAGTTTATATAGATTAAAAGATAAAAGATTTAAAAGAGCGAGCTAGTAAGTAATTATTTTTATCTAATTTAGCTAATATTAAACTATTATAACTTATTAAAATTTTCATATATTTTATTCTTACTTTCTTATTTTTAAGTCTTATTATCTTTATAGAAATAATTATTCTTTAAATTAAACTCTATAATAATATACTTATAATAGCGTATAATATATATTCTCTTTATTTCTAATATCGATACTTACTAGAATTAACGCACTTTTTAATAAAATAAGCTTTAATTAAAATTAAGAATAGCTTAATATTTATAGATATTCGTATAAGCCCTTTAATTCTTTTATATATATTTATTAATTTATCTTTTTATAGTAATTAAAGTAGAAGAGATTAAGTCTAATAATTTATTATAATAAATATTAAATATTAATAATAATAGCGATATTAAAGAGTCTTAATATAGGTTAATTAAATAGCGATAATTAGATTTTTAATTAAAATAAAAAGCGAAGAATAAGTTTAATTAAAATAAAAATATTAAGAGATCGCGATAGCGAATAAATATATTTATATTTAAGAAGAAATTAATTAAAAAAGTAAAGAAAGTCGATATCTTAGCTATTAATTACGCTATAATTATTAAAAAGTATAAAATTAAATATATTAATATATTGTTATTATAATAGAAGTAAGCTTTTAAGTAAATTAGATAAGATATAATAGATAAGCGAATAAGTAATTTCTAGTTCTAATTATTATTCTAATAGACTTATATTTTAATAATATTATATAAAAAAAATACGCGAGCGTAATTACGAAGAAGTTTAAAGTTTTGCTTATCGCGTAAATTATTATATATATAAATAAAGATAAAAGCTCGAATTAAGAGAAAATAAATAATATCGAAGCTAAATAAGATATAAGTATTAAGAATAATTTTATTATACGCGCTAATAATTAAGTAAATCTTATTTTTTAAGCTATTTAAGAGCGTAATATAGAATTTAATAATAAGCGCTATTATAGTTTAGATATAATAATATTAACGCGCTAATTAATAAGTATCGAGCTATTATAAAAATCTTAAAATATTAAATATAATTATATCTAAAAGATAAAATTATAAATCTTTATTTATATATAATTAATCTAATATATAATAATAAAAAGTTTACTATAAAAGCTACGCTATCTAAATTAATATTTTAATCTTAATTATTACTATCGCTATTATATAAGTAATATAAAGCTATCTCTTATTTAAGTATATCTAATTTTTAATTCTAATTATTATTATAAGTATCGTTAATTTATTCTAGAATTATTAAATATACTTTTATATACTTTCTATATTTAATCTTTTTTTTATATATCGCGAGAAGATAGCTTAAAGAAATATAACTTATTATATTAAGCTATAATACTTTTAAGAGAATATTAAGAAATATATTAACTTTTCTAAATTAACGATTTAATAAAAAGGCTATAATTATAATATATATAATTTTATATTAGATAGCGATATCGAAAATATATAATAGATATATAAAATTATCGTCGACGACTTTAATTATAAAGTATTAGGCGGATTTCGCGCGACTTAATATTAGAGAAAGATAAGCTTTTCTTATTATTAGTAGATATAGCTCGCTTTCTTTTATATATATAGAGTAATAAAATATAATTATATTTAATTTTATATCTTATTAATTTAGCGTAGTTATTAACTAGAATAATAATTAGAATATCTACTTCTAAATATAGAAATCCTAATCGAGATATTTTATATATATATTATTTTATAATATAATATTATAGATATATTATATCGTAGAATATCTCGTTAAGATTTTATATTATATTAGATATAAGATTATATAAATCTTAATAACTTTTTTTTTTTTTTTTTTTTTTTTTTTTTTTTTTTTTTTTTTTTTTTATTTTTTTTTATTTTTTTTTTATTTTTTTTAAATTTTTTTTTTTTTTTTTTTAAATTTATTTTTTTTTTTTTTTTTTTTTTTTTATTTAAAATATTTTTTTTTTTAAATTTTTTTTAAATTTTTTTTTTATTTTTTTTTTTTTTTTTTTTTTTTAATTATTTTAAATAATAATTTTTAAAAATTATTATTTTTTTTTTAAAAAAATAAATTAATTCCCTATAAAATATTTTTAAATAAAAAAAATTTATTATTTTTTTTTTTATTAAATTATTTTTTATTTATTTTATATTTTATTAATATATAATTAAAATATAGAGTAGTTTAAGAATGTCGTAATAATATAAATCTATCTCTTATACGTAGAGATAGTATTATATTATTAAGATTATATTAGCTATCTTAATAGCTAAAAGCTTTAATTATCTTTTCTAAAATTAACTTAATTAAAGTTTAAGATTAAGACTAAGATCGATCGCAAGATTATTTACTTACTATCGAAGTGTTTTATTTCTAAGGCGAGTACTCGCGTTAAGGCTTCTTTGCGATAATAGAAGTTTCTTTCCCCTTTTACTTTCGAGGTTAAGGTTTTTATTCTTTTAATTAATATACCTCTATTAGCGATAGCTAGAAACTACGTAGTTAACGCCGAAGCTAAGATTATTTTCCTTTGAATTATACTTCTTCTAGCGATAATTAAAATAGTTAATTTTTAATCTTTATTGCGAATATTTCGTAATTAGATAAATACGAAGTCTAAATACTCGCTATCTAATTCTTTAATATTTATAATATATAAATAAAGACGTATTATCTCTTTATTTAGCGTATCTTATATAGGGAAACTAGTAATATTCTAGAAATCTTAGCAATAATATAATTTAATTAGTTATATAACGACTTCGATAATTTCGACTAGATATAATATATCTCGACTCGCTTTATATTATCTTAGTTGAAAAGTAGAAGCGCTCTAAGCGATAGTTCTTAGTCTTTAAATTATAAATAAATTACAGCTATTTAAATCTAAAACGATTATTTTAAAATAGAAATTTTCTATATTAAGAATAGGTTAATAAAGTCTTCTATAGTTATAGTTATCTTTATTATAATAAATATAAATATTTAAAGATAATCGCAACTATAGTAATAGGTTATATTATTATTAAAATAGTTACTAGATATAGTCTAGATTTATAATCTATTAAAATATAAAGATAGAATACTTAGTTATATTAACTATAGAGTTCTATAAAAGAAAAGAGCGACTTAATATATAACGCGCTAAGGCGTATTATATAACGTAGTTACGTAATCGTTACCCGGAGTGGCAAGTGTGCCAAGAGATTTAGTGTTGCTCAGGACTTTTGGTGCCGACCTCCATACTTGCAACGCAAGTTTTGAAACAATCAACAGCCCTTCCGACAGTGGTCATCTCCACCAACGAGCTTGATGTATCACAACCCTTCAGCGCGCTCGTGGAAGAGCAAACATACTGTCAGGCCATCTGTTTTGAAATTCCACCAGACGTTACCAGACTACGGTAAGACGCCGCTTATAAAACTACCGGCAAAAGTGGGTGAACAGCTGGGGGTTGGGACCATTCTCCTCAAAGACGAGTCCCACCGCTTTGCCTTACCATCCTACAAGATCCTCGGAGCATCATGGGGATGCGTCTGCACCATCACCCACTGCCTAGGCATTCTCCCATCAGCGCCTTTATCTCGAATTAGGCAACTCGTCGCAGTCGTCCACTATACTTTCTACACAGCTACGGATGGCAATTGGGGTCGAGCGGTAGCTCACATGGCCAAGTTTCTGGGAGCAAATGCCCTCATATACGTGCCGAAAGTCATGGTCGAGGCGACGAAGCAGAAGATCAGACAAGAGGGGGCTGAAGTGATTGTGGTTGATGGGGACTATGATATGGCTGTGAAGGAAGCGGAAAGAGCTGCGATTACACAGCCCCGTGGGTTGTTGATTGAAGACACGGCTTGGCCAGGGTATGAAGAGATTCCGCAGGTGAGTATGATGAGTTTGTCCTGAAACACGCTGAAACACTCAGTGGGTCGTCGATGGCTACTCCACCATGATGGTCGAAATCGATGAGCAGTGTCAAGAGCTGACCGGCAGACCTCTCAACCTGATCATTTGTCCCGTCGGCGTGGGTTCTCTGGCACAAGCTGTAGTAGCGCATTACAAGAGCCGAGATGCGCCGTCTACGGTGATGGCGGTCGAGCCTGACACGGCCGCTTGTTTAAAGACGAGCCTTGAGAGCGGTCAGATGACGTCTATATCTACAGGCAATACTACAATGTGCGGTATGAATTGCGGCACGGTGTCGATGACTGCTTGGCCATTCTTGCGCAACGGTGTCGATGCTAGCATCACGGTCACCGATGATGAGTCTGCAGAGGCTCAAGAGATGCTAAAAGACATGGAGATTAGCATGGGTCCGTGCAGCGCCGCAACACTGGCAGCGCTATTTAGCATCTCTGAGGAGGAAAAGAGAAGTTGCATCTCAATCGTGATTCGGTGATTGTTCTGCTGGGGACCGAAGGTGCAAGAGGCGAAGCCTTCGATATGTCGTAAAGCCCGTGCTGCGTGTGATTTCGTTTTTTTTTTTGTTTTTGTCTTTTGTGCTTTGGTTTTTTGGTTTTTGGTTTTTGGTTTTGTTTTGGTTTTTGTCTTTTTTTTTTCTTTTCAAAGATTTGTACGGGAAAAAGCGTAGTATTTCATATCCGTCAACCGAACAATCCAGCGTTCTAAAATTCAAATCACCAGCAAGCACTCTTGAATTCCAAATTAGGAACCAAAATGTCATGGCCGCCTCCAAAGATGCGGAAATGTGAGAGGCGGCCTCTCATCACACACCTCACAGCATCCATACGCCGGCGAAGCCTCTTTAGAGTGTGGTTGATATGGACCAAGTACACTTCGACTCCACACGTTGTTCGAATCATAATACCTTCCGAGCTTGTATCTCTGCAGCCGTCTCTTGCCCTTGTACATCACCATCCGCTGCCCGTATTTCTCTTCTTTCGGTACGTAAGCAATCGCTCTACTCATCATAGCCAACGACAGCTTCGCTTCGAAAGCAGGCATCACGCCTCCAACGGTCACCGAATGCCTAACGCCATGGATCGCAGCCAGTGTTTCCAGCACATTCTGACTTGTTCGCAGACAAGACAAAGGGAAATAATGTCCTTTTCTAAAGCATCTATTGAAAAGGATCGCTACATTCTGCAACGAATGATCATCGCCTCCAAAGCCGGTTGCGAAAGCCGCTAACCTTGCGTAGTACTCCAAATACACTGGTTTCGCCCCTGTCCATGGAAAGGTAGGCAGCCGAACCTCAATGGTACACTTCTTAATCATTTTCGCGTACCCTTCCGACACGACCGTCAAATTATCCCGAAAATCATGAAACGGTGGCTGATAAAATTTTGGAGCTCTCACGTGAGGGTGCCTTCTGGTAATGGCAAGGACAAATTGAAACTCATTTTCCCCATAAAGTACGCTCGCCGCCTCATCATGAATTGTCTTGCTCAATCGCAGCAAAGACAATTCAAGCGTGGGGTCCCCGGTATCCGCATCCCGAAGACCAGTGTACGACTGGTGAAGTGAGACATACGACTGATGATTCGCTCTGTGTCTCTGGACAGTCGCGTCGATCTCTCTGTCGCTCTTGTCCAGAGTTGGCATCGCCCAGCCTTTGTTGTAATGCTGTAGTTCGGAGGGGGGCTTTATGATCTTTAAGGGTGCCATGAGGCAGCAGCGATAAATCATCAGACGGATCTCTGTTGGGAGGTCGAGAAAGGAGATGCCGAGACGTTCGCGGTTCACCAAAAGGGGAATTGCGTCAACTGGTCGGAAGCCTACCACACAGGACAATATCAGCTCATTGTTGGACAAGGAACTTTTTCAATCGACCGAGGGAAATGGGTAGTGTGACATACCCAAATGATCTCCTGCAGGGTCGATCACTAATTTCCTTCGTTTACGACTTCTCTTTGGAAAGATGCATTTCTTGTCCCCCGGCAGTCCTTGTATCATCGTCAAAAGCCATGGAAGAATCCATCCACAAATCTCTGCGGCAGATTTGAGTCATTTATACTGTATAGAAGCGAATGCAAAATTTCCCTTTCGGTATCGCACAAATGCGCGATTAAACCCGCTCAAAATCCGCCATTCATTGGCAATGATCTTAAACACGTACGCATCTTCTAGAAACTTCTTCTTTTTCTTCTTCTTCTTCTTCTTCTTCTTCTTCTTCTTCTTCTTCTTCTTCTTCTTCTTCTTTTTTCTTCTTCTTTTTGCTATCATCCTTTATTTGTCCATAAAACAGAGACCATCAGCTCCTTCTCTCCTCTGACAAATTCGCTGCCCTCGTGCGCTAAAGCTGGCAAATCTTTCTTTTTGCATTCTCGGTCCCTGTCCAGTCAACATGCAAAATACAAGCCAGTCTTGAGAACCCAGATCTGGGCTTCCCATAGACCAAATCAGCGACACCTGCACCGCCTGTCAATGTCTTTCATGTCCTCTGCACGATCGGATGGATCGGTGATCTAGCTGATGGGCGGTTTTGTCGGTATCTTCCCGCTGTGGGGATAGGAGAGGCAGGTAGATGGATAGATGGATAGATAGATGGAGGCACGACGCCATGTCGGATTCCCCCGGTCATACTGCCGAGGACGGACGTTTGGTCCTTTGCGCAATGGCGTTTCGGCGATACGTCCCGCTGCCCGCTGGCATTCTTTTGCACGATGGCGAATCCTTCGACCGGAACTGCTGGGTTGGGGTGATGAAGTGGATGCAAACGGTTGCTGGGTTTGCGTCTAGAAGTTTGTGTCGTGTTCGTGGATGTGTGGGATAGAGGGAGGAGCCAAGAGGCTTTGGAAAGATAATGGCTTTTTTTTTTTTTTTTTTTTTTTCTTCTTTTTTTTCCATGCCTTGCTGAAGAAGTCTCGGCGTCAACGACATTCGAAATGATGGTGAGTTTGGCTTAAGGTGGTATATTCTACCCAACGAGAAGCTGCCGGGTAAGAATTATCCCTTCTCATATCTTCCTAGTCGGCAAAAGTTTTTCTTGTTGTTGCAATCCCGCTTTCTGGACTCCTGCGTATGTATTGCGCTGTACATATGCATCTGCATCTGCATCTCTCTCTCCCTCTCCCTCTGGATCATTTATCATCTACTTCCGTGAGTACATACACACATACATACACCCTCACACCCTCACACCCAACCAATTAACCAACAAAACACCACTTAGTCCCCAACCGCTGCATTCATCCCCTGCCCCCCCCCCCCCCTCCCCCAAACCTTCTCATCTCTCACCATCACCCCGACGGCAGCGCCCGCCGCCCCGTCGCCAACCCAGCAAACGTGACGCGCATCGCGGGCTGGAATCGGGTCTCGGCCGGCGACTAGAGCGTGGATGTTGGAGCGGTCGCTGAGATGGCGATGGGGGTGAAGAGGGGTGTTGCTGTTGGCCAGGGGGTGGATGCGGATGCGGGTGAGGATGGGGATGCGGATGCTGTGGCTGTGGCGGATGCGGGGGTGCTTGTGGATGCGGATGCGGATGTGGTTGTGGATGTGGATGTATAGCCGGCTCTGGTGAGAAGAGGGGTGTTGCTATTTCTGTGGCTGGACTGGGAGCGCTTGCTGGATTGGAGGATGTGGATGTGGATGGGGCATCAACGCACAGCCGGCTGGAAGAGTGCAGTTGTGAGCCACTGCATGGATGTATCCAGCACAGCCGTTTCCGGCTCCGGGGGCGGGCCGGACAAGTCATAAGTACCGTCGATGAAGGGGAAGGATCGTCCGTCGATGCTTCATCTTCTTCTTTCAATCATCCGCCTTCCCTAAATCAATCAGCACCTCACCCGCCCCCCACCTCCCCAAACACACACACGCATCACCACACCCCCCCAGCCAAACCACCACACACACCACACACCACACACCAAAAACACACACACCCACCAAACCACCACACACCCACCCACTCACCTTTACGACGAGCACCCTCACCCCCAAATACGGACACAATACGCCCCCCAACTCCTAGTGCCCCGTGCACCCTTCCCCCACGCCCCGGGTTCCAAGGCCGGAATCGGTCTAGGGTCAGGATTCCCGGCCGCGAGCAGGGGGGGCGGGCGTGCGGGGTGGCGGGGGTTGGGAGGGAGGTTGATGGTGGGAGGGGGTTGTTGGGGTGGGGTGGGGGGGGGGGGGGGGGGGGGGAGGAGGGGGAGGGGTTCTTTTTTGGGGGGGGGAGGGGGAGGGGTTCATTTTTTGGGGGGGGGAGGAGGGGGAGGGTTCATTTTTTTTGGGGGGGGTGGGGTGGAGGGTATCTTTTTTTTTGAGGGTTGGGGGGGTTTGTTTTTTGGATGAGGGAGGGAGGGAGGGAGGGGAGAGGGAGAGGGAGTCGTTGGGTGTGATGCTTTTTTGGCGGGGGGGGATGAGAAAGGGATGGGAATGGGGATTCTGCGGGCAGGAGGGGGAGACTTAAATACCTTCCCTTTTCATCCTCATATGTCTAGATGCATGCATGGGAGGAGTGCAAACGAGGCGAGATTGCGTCCGCCGGGATGGAAGTCTTGAAGTCAACTGAAGGACTACTGACTGACTGATTGATTGATTGACTGACTGACTGAGATAATAGCCATCACAGTCCCCAACATCCAAAACACCGCCATCGAACCAGCAAACGACTCCCAGTCAGCAAAACACCGGTCACGCATCATTCATTCGACAACCAACCAACAATGACAAACACTTCCTCCACGCTTATCAACAACCGCGGCGCTCGTGCCCACACCCCGACATCCCACTCACCGTCTCCAGCACGCGACTTGCCACATCGAACCCCTCGCCCACGCCCATCATCCGCGCTCTTCGCCAAACCTGTGACGCCAGGGTCGAACAGGAAAGGGGGCGCGCTATACCTCCCTTTTTTCCGGGCGAAGGTGGCGCCCTTGGATATTGCCACCGGCGAGGTCGCTCATGGGATCACCGACGGCGAAGACCTTGGAGCGGGGATCTGGTGGCCTCCATCACCCAGGACGGCTACTCCTCTGGGCTCATGTCGAGGTGGCAGCGTCAGGGTGCCGGAATGGGGATGTGGCGCACGGCGGAATTCCTGTTGTTGGACCGCCGGTGCGGTGGCTGGATGGCGTAGCGGGCGGGGGGTGGGGACGTGCTTTCTTCTGGATCAGCGTCGGAGGAAGATGGGGTCTTGGCTGGAAGCGAAAAGTAGGCTTCTCGGAAAGGGGTGGTGATTCTTGGCGCGAGGGCTCGAGGTTCGGTTTCGCGTCGGGTTTTACGTTTGCTTTGTCCGAGGTTGAGTCTGGCACGAGGGCTTGGGTTCTGCGGCAGAGGGTTCGGTAGATGGATGTTAAGTCTTTCGTTGAGATTCTCGCTGCTGGCATATGCGGGAGATGTAGAGTAGCTATGGTAGGTGTTGCTGTTTTCAGGTTGGATGTCCTTTTTGGCAATTTTCATCTCCGATTCGTGAAGGGTAGGGCAGAGGTCAGGTGCCAGGGTATAGATCTGGGAGTGGCTGGGAGAGAGTGTGAGGGGCGTTCGTGGGGTAAGCGAGGCCATTGGTGAAGAAGGCATTGCTGATGGAGAAAGTAGTGCTCAGTTTGCTTCTGAGATCGCTTAGCGGGACAGGTCTTTTGGGAGAAGAGGAGAGGCTGGCGAGATCGATGATAGGATGGAGCAGGTCGCTAGGCAAAGATCACATGTGGAAAGTGTGTTTGCTTTTTCGCTTTTTCCTGTTGCTTTTTTCCAATGTGAGATGTGAACGAGAATCTACAAAGTCAACGAAAAGAGAGTGGCAACCACGGAAGTGCAGAAAGAAGGGTGGAGTTTCAACTTCTTCTCATAAAGAACTGGTCAGACAACTAAGACGGCTTCCGTTATGGTGAGACTCACGACGGTGACGTTGCTGTTCAATAAGTCTGGGTAGATTGCCTAGATAAGAAAACGTATTGCGTGCTTCTTAGACTAGCTGCGTGTCAATGGCCGTGGTGGCGGGATGCTACGGCCTATGCTCTGCATAAGCCCGGAGGAAGCACTGCCCTTAATTTGATTCATTGCGCTAGAACCTCTATTTCTGATGAGTGAGAACGTACGACAAGCACGCTTTGTTCGCAATACCATTCTCAGCGTCATTGAGTGGGTTCGTCGCCTTTCGCCGTCCGGTCTAGACCAGGACTTCCACTACAGCCTTCAGGAGCCACATCGTCCGAAGTATCTTGCCGGCTTGAACGAGGCCGCTCCTTCCTTTGTAGCAAGGATTATTCTTTCTTGCTCAAGGCTCTCCTCTCTTTCTCAAGCTCCGTACGTTCGTGATAGAGCTGTTGCCAGGCGGCTGCGAGCTGTGCATCACGGCTTGAAGACTGGTTTCGACGTGGGCGCCGTGCCGACGAACGCATTGAGCTTTGGGTTCTGCGGTCAGGTTGAGTGGATGTAGTAGAGCCCCCAGATTGCGAAGCCTCCTCTGGACTACGGGAGCCGTGTCGAGTAGAAATCGACGAAGGCGAGGAGCGATCCGTCCCGCTTTCGATGCGGTTGTTGAGTGACGGCAGAGCATCGGGGACGCGAGCTCTATGTTCTTCAAATTCCAGTGCCGGTATACTCTCTTCAGAACCCCACCAGGAGGCTGCGTGGCCAGGTTCGCGGCCGAAGTTCTCACGGTCGTAGAACGCTGTAGGCCTCAGCCGAGAGCCAGAGTCATAGATGTAGCGCTGTTCCTCGAAAGGAAGCGGTTGAGGTAGGTCATAGACTTCTCCAGTTATCGTTGAACGAATCATCGAGAGGGTGACGAGCTCTAGAAACCGCGGGACGTGACCACTGGGCGTTGACGAACGCTGCAGCTCGATGACGCCGTGTCCTAGGAGAGTCGCGATCGACTTCATCGGTGTCTTCATAGATTTGGTTCAAGTCTAATGACGGAAATGGCACAAAATCACAATCTTCGCTGGCATAAGCGCTATCATTATGAAACGAGCGGTCGAAATGTCCACCATGATGCCAGGAAGGTAGACCATTCGCGTAAGCACTTGCGAACGGCTCCATGTCAGAGACTGGCTGAGCGATGGGAAGGAGGATTCCACGGATGAAGAATGTGAAGGCTGCTGTTAGTTTGCCTGAACCACCGTTTACCTGATTGCAACAGCACCCGCAAACCGGGTGTTTTAATATGTTTCTATGGGATTGGCAAACACGGCCAGATTGGACGCCTATGGTACGATCCGTAAGCAACTGTCGCGGATAGCTTGTCACGTTAAGCAAGGCTCAATGATATCATGTAGGATAATTGCAAGAATCAAGCAAAGGATAAGCGCAGTTGATGAAGAAGTGACAACGGATCTCTGTCTAGAGGCTCGATGTGTAGAGACAGGATAAGAGGCCGTCAGTGCCCGATTTCGTTCATCGCCGGCTGATAATGTTGCCAAATTGCAATGCTTACAGCTCTCATTCGACAGTAGATTTCAAGCAGTGACCGTGGGGTGGAGTAAAAAGCTTGGAAACCAAAGAGACTTCTGGAACGACGAACAGCCCGCGTGTTATCGAGTCTTCAGAAGTTCAGTGATCCTCACCCTCAAACATGGCCCACAAGCCTGAGCATTCTCGCTCTTGACCGGCTCTGCATCCCGTCCACGACCCAGCAGCTACAAATTTTCTAACGGGTAGTAGCACTAAGGTAATGCGGTTCGCCAGAAAACGGCCAGCATCCGAAGCTTCCTTCGGCGGCTCGGAGCCGCGACTCTTCATATTGCATTGAAATCGAATCTCTCCTTTCCCCTCTTCACGAAGCGGATTCCGATGGCACCTTTCCGAAGCTGAAGTGTGATGATAGCTCCCATGTCCTCGTTCATTTGCCTTGTTACTTCATCTCTGGCTTTACTCCAGACCTCGAATTTCGCTTGATCGGTCATCTTATCTACTTCATCGTCACTGACATATGCATCCACCGCCAGTTCCACGCTGTACTGCGAGAATATGAGCGCAAGGACTGCAAGTATCTCGACCTGTGCAAAGCGTCGCCCAATACAAGAGCGATGGCCTTCGCTGAAGGGAATGTAAGCACCCTTTGGTGGGCGATACAATGCCGCAGAAGTATCCGCCGCGGTGTTGACTCCCAAATCGGACGCTTCCGTGTCCGCTTCCTGCTCAGGCATACTCGCAGTATTCTTGGCGTCAGGATCCAAAATCCACCTTTCCGGCTTGAACTCTTCGAGGTCGTTGTCCAAATTTGAGAGAGGGTGCGTCGGTTTGTCGGGATTCGCGGGTGGACCAGTTGGCCATTGATTTGGGTTGCGATGCGCGGCAGGTGTTATGAGAGAAATATAGCAGTCTGCTGGTACCGTGCATGTCTTGCCTCCAATTTCGAGAGGCTGAGGGCTTTCTTTCAGGGTGGATTTGGGGATGCCCACCACAGGAGCGATTAGACGCAGCTCTTCGTTGAGCACTGCACCAGCCATACTGGCAAACAATTTGGGGATGATTTTCTCATACTCAGCCTCGCTGACGGGGTGACCCTGGAAGATTTCATCGAGATCGGCTTGAAGATGTCGTTGAGCGGCTATGTTCATAGCAAGCAGGACCAAGCAGAAATGAATAGAATTGGCCGTTGTCTCATGAGCCGCAACTATGAAGACGAACGCATTGCCGAGTATTTCCCTATCTGTCAGAGTCTGTGCCGGAGGTTTCTCTCCTGTTAGCGATTCCTTCGTGATACCAGCGCCCTTCACGAGAGCGGTCATCAGGTCCATACTATCGCCTTCCATCCCCTTCAAGACCGCAGCTTTCTTTTGCTGAAACATTTCATCCATGTACTTACCCCATTCAATGAAGGCTGTATGGGCTTCTTTTGTCTTTTGGAACGGCAGATGCTCTGTGGCGAGTTAGCGGGAGCCTGAAATATGTGAAGCCGTGGTCGAGTTACTCAAGAGAAATGGTGGCAGGATAAGGACCCATAGGATATTATGCAAGAGCGATCCCAGTGCATCGGTATAGCTCATGCTATGTCCCTGGGCAGTCACTGGGCTTGATACTTTGCGCTCTTCTCCGTTTTTGACACCCCCCGTTGGCATGGGCTCCTTCAGTCCCCGGCCACTGTAAATGTACCCCAAAGCCGGCCCTGCTGATCACATAGAGACTCAGTCTCATTGCATCGTCCGCGAGTGTGTAAATTGTCTTGCTCTCCGTCTTTCCGGTATTGCCGTCGAACCAGTCATTGAGCATCGCCTGGCATTGTTCCAGAGTCTCCGTCCATACCAGATGGTTATTCTTTTCGGAGAATGGGGGACTTGTGATCTTTCTGTGGTGCCTCCACAGTTGGCCTTCTGATGTTATCACATTGTTCCCGTATAGCTTGATAGACTCGTACACCTCGAGTGCTTTCGGGAAGTCGTTCTTTCTACTTGTGATCTGGCTGATAACGGCAGCGTCTGCTGTATAAAGTTCGTTTCGTTCGGGGCTGACAGTGATGAATGTGTCGGTGCCCAAGCGCTTGAAGGGTTCATATCGCCGGGCCCATGCCCATTCCAACGTCAAGTCAAACCATAGCTCGGTCCAGGAGGCGGGCAACTTGCGCACAATAGGGACGAGGAATATCTGTGAGAGCTGATAAAGTCTATTGACCTGGTAGAAAGGGATGATCACGTAGGGAATTCCTGACGTCTTTGCGGCGGTCAGATTTCGAGCGAACTGTGTGTATATCTTCAATGCATAGAGTGCAAATGAGACCAGCAAGGCCAATACTATGGTGGAAAACATTGAAGACACTACGAGTACTGGATGGAGGATGTTGAGCAATGTGAATATTAATAACACACCTCTTGGTGTGAGAGATGGAGAAGGGTATCAGGGTTCAGCAGAATGAATTTACTTGACTTCCTTTTTGTCTTTCGTTCGATGTGTGTCACCTGTGACGTGGTATCATCAATCGCACCCCCTCATACCTTACGCGTGCAAGGCTTAAGGTCCCGGACGATGGCAGCTTCAATCGGCTAGAGCAATGAAATCAAGGGAAAGCAAAGTCAGTAGAGAAAGACGGCCGAATCGTCACCTTATATCTACAAAGACCGACAAAGCAAAGGCAAAGCCAAGTTTTCCAGAGAATAAGACGACCTCCCAAAGGTCTTGTAAAGTAGTCTACGGATTTATGACTCTACGTACTCTACATCCCAAGACCAAGTAAAAACGAGCACCAGCATACTTTACTTTATTTATGCAACTCCTCCGCGCGGGCAGTCCCCTCTGAAGTTAAATCCTAGCAGCGACGCCGCAGTAAATTTCCTTAGAGCTTACACCTCAAATCAGAGATGGCGCCTCACCTAAAGTAGTATAGAACAGTCGAAAAGTGTACCCCGCCGGTAGTCGGCTGCACTTGGCTAACCGAGCGGGAGATTCAAGCGGGGTTGACCCAAGCGAAAGTCTATCGTCGAACCTCGGATCCGACGCAATTACCTTATGAAGCCCACGCACGCAACAAAAGAAAGATGGATACGATAAGCGTATACTATACCGAGACCTCGCGGAGTTGTAAAAGAAAAGGCCAACTCTACTGTGCACTCTTTACTCCATCTGCGGTAACGATCTCGCCATCCTGGTCATGATGTTTACAAACGACGACATCGCCAATGCCAATTCCTGATATGTTTGTGGGGTAAACCTCGAACCGGACGGACTCTCATTGCTTGATGAACAAAAGCCATCATGCATCGCCTCACCTTCCACCATCTAAAACTCCTACCATTAACCAGTGGCACCGTCTGGCTGATAACGCTCCTCGCACTCCTCATCTACTGGCTAGCCGAGGGCTGCCCTCGCTATCCCGGACAGGCCAATCCCTACGTCGCCTTCATCTCCGACATCGGTGCCTTCCGCCTGCAACCCCTCTTCATGACCGGCGGCATCATTTCTTCCCTCACCCTCACCGGAACCATCATCGCCGTGCACCTTGCGCGGCGTGAGCGGAGAGTATCGACTCAGAAGCCGGGAGATGAGCAGCCGCGCTATGAGAAGTGGGTTTCGATCTTGGCGTGTTTGTTCGACGTGGCGGCTTGCCCGTGCCGCATCTGCATTACCTTTTTCGACAATCATGGTCATCCGAGTCTGCATCGCAGGTTTCTGTTCCTGGCGCTGGCTGGAACGGCACTGAGCTGTATCTGCACGGCCTTTGTCCTCTGGGGTGAGATGTGGTCGGGCCCCGCCAAGGGGAATGAGCTGTTGAGGCGTAGCTGTGTGTTCAGCAACAGCCTACTTGTGTCGGAGGTCTTACTGGGAAGTACTTTCACAGGGTTGCTCTGGACAGGGCAATTTAAAAGTGGTGGGTTTGTGGAGTGGGTTATGGCGTTTGTGTTTACGTTCTATTTCTGGGCTTTTATCGGTCTCCTTGCGTAAGAAAACTCTGAGCCTGCCTTTCGAGGCCGCTTGCTGACTACTGTGAAGCTTGCCGGACGAGAAACGGCGCGATGTTAGCGAGGAGACCCCTCTTCTGCATTGACCGGCTCCGCCTGGTCGTCAGGCCTGGGAACCAAGTCTCTGCATCAGAGCTACAATTCCCTCCCAACCTCAACGTGGTTCGATGTGGCCATCTTCGTTCGACCGAAGAAAGATGATTGGAGCAGTAGAGAGGCCAGGCAGGCCAGATTGGAGAAGTTTTGGAACCCAAAACGGAGAGGGCAAGTTCGACGCGTGACCACGTCTGACGTACTACTGAGCCAGAGCAAGCAATGCTCATTTCCGAATCAAACAGCAAGTCTCTCACCCAGAATGCACTTACCTGACCACGTGGAAGTGCACAAGCTGAAGCACAAACAGACGCCATATACGCCAGGAACTCACCCAAACTACCACGACGAGAAATGATAGCACACATCATTGAGACCAAAAACTCTACACAACAGACAAACAAACATCATCCGAAAAATGATAAACCCTTAAACCCCCATTCCACACCTTCCCCCTCCCTCTCCCAATCCCAATCCCAACCCGACCCCACCCCAGCACCATGCGCACTCCCCCGACCCCGCCACCACACCTCAACCCTCGAAAATCGACTACGCGACCCCACTGCACGACCTGACGCAGGTGTACCATCGTGCGGGGGGGTAATTGGGCATGGTGAGGGCGGGGTTTGAAGACCGTGGTGCGGGGGTTTGCAACGTGCGAATGTGGTCAAGGGGAGATGGGGGAGGCGGTGTGAGGAGGGGATGAGATGGTGGGGGGTGGGGGGATGGTAGGGATGGTAGGGGGTTTGAATGGGGGTGGGGATGGGGATGGGGTTGGGTTGGGAGTGTGGTTGGATGGATGGTTGGTTGGGGGGGTTCGGATGAGTCTGGGGGTTGGTGGTATGTTAGGGTTCGGGATTTAAAGACTGAAGCAGCATAACATGTCAACAAAGGGGATTCTCGGAGAGTTCGTATTGCTCAAGCTAGCTGCATGTAACCACCATCATCCATGCGTGCCACGACGTGTTGTCCCTTTTCAAGCAATACAGTAATCCTCTAAGCCTCGGCAGTCTCAAACGCATCCGGGAACACCCCAACGTTACGCTCAATCGGCCCCTTGTTCCTCAAGAACTGCACGTAAGCCCCATCGATCCTGACCTTGCCTTCGGCCCGCTTCTCGAGGTATTCGTCGCGGCGGAGAGGGGTGAAGCCCCAGTTCTTGGAGACGATGATCTTTTGGCGGCCGGGGAATTTGTACTGGGAGCGACGGAGGGCTTCGATGGCCGTTGCGCGGTCTGGAAAAAAAAAATCGCACCCGTCAGCAAACGCGCGGTTCCCGGAGAGAATCGAAGCGCGAAGGGGAAGGGGGTGGACGTACGGTTGTCACGGGTCCTCACGGAGAGCAAGATCTGGCCGATATTCACACGGGCGACGGTTCCGTTGGGCTTGCCCCACGCACCGCGCATTCCGGTCTGCAGTCTGTCGGCACCGGCACAGGACAACATCTTGTTGATGCGGACGACGTGGTAAGGGTGGGCGCGGACACGGAGGTGGAAGCCTTCCTTGCCGGCGATTTTGACGAGGTATCTGTGGGGCGAACGTGGTCAGAGTCTGCCGGTGGGGAATGGGATGGAAATGGATACGGAATGGGTGGAAACGTACTTGTTGGCGCAGATGCGGGCGGCTTCGAGGGCCTCCGAGGACAGCTGCTCGTACTCGTTGGAGACCATGTGGACGCAGAGGGGGAATTCATCGACGTTGGCACGCTTGCGGCCCAGGTCGAAAATGCGGATTTTGGGATCGGGGACACCACGGTTGAAGCGGGACTTGGGATATGGCTGTGGGAAGATTTGAATTTAGCAATGATCTTGAATACCAATTGATGAGGTCCCTGTGAGGCTTGCGCTACAGGCAGTGTCCTTCGCCCACAAAAGGCACACTGTGCGTAATTCCAAAATTTGCACTCACCTTGTTCTTGCAGTAGCGATAACATCTTGCTGGACGACGTGCCATCTCGTTGACTGTCTAGGAGATACTGCACTTCTTGCGAACGGTCTGTATGGTTAGAGGAAGGTGGTGGTTGTTGTTAAAAAAGGATGTTCATTCTGGAGTCATAATTCGCTTCGCCTTTGGTTGATTTCCAAGCAGCGAAGTTGCCACTAAGCCGCTTACGGATCTGGCCCTAGCCCTACAAATTACAAGTCTCCTTTGTTCGCAGGATAAAGGCAGTCTACAGGAACGTTGCGCTGCTGGTAACTTCCGATGTAGCTTGGGTCTTATAGTTAGTTCTCTATCGATGTAGCGAACCGTGGCTTAAAACACTGGCCAAGAAGCACTCGGTACAAGGTTACTTATGTGCACAGAACCATAGCCAATGCACGGTGATCTTCACGTCTTGTTCCTTGCTACCGGAGGAGCTATCTCTTATGTTTATGCTGTAGCACCAGTCAAGATATCCGAGTCACCAGCGTCCAACACAGCCATCGTAGAACATCTATAGAGCTTCCCACATGCAGTACCCAGCTCGATCTATGGTAAAGAGTCAGTACGTTTGTGTACCCTCCAAAGTCTTCTATCAAGACTCCTTCGTTGGGTAAGTCCTAAAGACCAGGGTCTTGTCGTTGGACTGAAAGCGGTATGACAGGGCATGGTAGATGGATGGGCGGGATGGCTTACGTTGTTGCCTGCAAAATGATGCCTGTAAACACTGTCAGCGACAACCATCCAATCTAATCTTTGCAAAAATGCCTTACACGTTGGTCTTCGATAGCATGGAGTAATATTCCAACTCGGATTTGCCTGGATTATAAGTTCGGAGTCAGAATTGCCTATCAGACGGGGATTATTGAACCTTGGAATATGTCCGTAGAGTAAAGACTCCCAAGGCACGTCTCAAGACTCAAGGTTTGGTCCGAAAGGGGGAAGATGGACTCTGAGGACGTACGCAGAGGAGGAGTGTTTCCGGCAATGATGACCAGTTTGGCTTTTCCGGATCGAAGAGTCTTGAGGGTACTCTTGTATCCCAAGGTCACTACATAAGATGAGGTGTCAGCCATTGAGTCTTTTGAAGTAGATGATCCAGAGCTCATGACTGCTAGAAGTAACGAACCTTTCCCGCTTTTCATGACGAGCGCCAAACGTGAATTGATCGACTCCGCCGTCTTCTTCGACTTTTTGGTCGCCGCTGGTGCCATCGTTGCGCTTTCTTGTCTTTGTTATTGATATGTGGTTGAACGCGCTCCGGTCTTTTCGGTGTCCAAGTGATGGAATTTCGCTGCGGCTAAAATTGTTTGTGTGGGATGATTTAGCGTGCCAAGCATCTCTAGAAAAAGCGGACCCTTAATCAGGCCTACATGGATAACCGAATTGGGCGTCGTTGCTTTGCCAGGAAATCCAACATCAACAAAGCACGAGAGATGAAGGTAATGCACCGGTCTCTGTGGGAACACCATGATCATCATCACGGTCGAGATCGCTGACCTCTATAAAGTGAGTATAAACAACACAGGTGGCGGACCGAACCATTAGGAATGCTCTCAAACATAAAGTTTTACGGGTTGTTGGAGTAAATTGTGGCTTTCAAAGCATGTCAGCTCCCAACAAGAAGACCGCGCCTCCAAATAATGGCACAAATACGAGGCCACCAGCCAACCCTACTTCTCGATCCTCACCATCCAGGTCTTCTACAAGCATCAATGGTCTGGGCAGATCACCTTCTCTCCGCGGTGGATTATCAAGGCCTGGGCGAGGCGGTACCGCTCGATCTTCTCCCCAAACGAGCTTCTTAAGCATGAATACTACGGCCTCTGACGAGGCGAGCGAGGATGATGCAAGGGCGGAGCATGTCTCACTGATGGACGAGCTCAGGAGTCGGGTACAGAAGGCCGAGACAGCATCGGAAGAGTATCAACGTCAATTGAATCTACTGCAGGCGCGCTTGCACGAAAGTCAGCAAGAGCAGGGCCAGCTTGAAGACCGGTTGCACCAGAGTAACAAGAACATCGAGGAGCTTGAAAGTGATCGGGCCCACTCTGCTCGCCAGAAACGGGAAATGCAAGACCTGTATGAGACAGAACGGACATCCATGTTGAAGGATAAAGCCGAGCAGAAGACGAGAGAAGGCGATTTGATATACGCCAATCAGCGGCTGAAAGAGGGTTTGGCACAACGGGAAACCCGAAACAATGGTGAAGATACCAGAATTGGATCACCCAGGAATCGTGAAAGTGACCAGTTCGCTCCACCCGCTGCAGCTTCATGCAGAGATTCCAAGGACCTTTCCAAGCAAGATACTTCAAAGCAGGTAATGCAGAAGGACCAGGTCATCAAGTCACTGCGTCTGGAACTAGCTGAGGCTCAGATCAAGATCATGGAATTGGACACTGGTGGAGGAGGGGGGCGAATTCACGAGTTGGAAAAGCAACTCCTAGAAACTCGTATCGCAAATGCCCGTCTCATGGAGGACAATGAAAGCTTCCAGCTGCTTCTGAGCGAGAAGACTTTGAACGGGGACTTCAGCAAAACCGAAGCAATGCAACAATCTTCCGGACTGGGCTCTCTAGCTGAAGAATTGGGTTCTGAAGAGATGGAGTCCACCGATGAAAAGTCGGACGACTACCGACGACTAGAGACAGAAGCGAAATCACTCAAAGACCAGAATAAGGCTTTGGCGAAATACATTGAAACTATCATTGGCCGTCTTCTGTCACACAAGGAGTTCGAGTACATCCTTGACAAAACACCCGATCTCATGTCTGGTGCACCGCGACCCCAGACTGCAAACACCGACAAGGAGCTACCGCCACCTCCGCGTGCCAAAGATGACGAACCCATTCCCGGTTTCCTGCAGAGAGCGACATCAGTCATCGCCGGATCAGCTAAGCGCCCTCGCCCCATTAGCCAGATAGGCACTTCTCCTGCGGCACCACCAAGTGAAGATCCTACCAAGGCACCTACTATACAGCTCGATCGGTCCCAACCCAACCGCTTGAGCACGCAGATGCGTTCTCAGTCTGAAATGCCCAACGCTGCTCCTCTAGTCAATCAAATGTATCGTGGTCCATCCTCCACAGGCTCGGGTGGGCCTATGCTCAGCCCCGGCATTTCGCCCGGCGTGACGACTGCAACTCGGACATCATTTTTCTCTCCTCCACTGGCTGCTAGTTCGAATGCCACATCTCGAGCACCATCTGGCAGCGCAAGCCGAGCTTCTCGCGAAAATAATAACGCGGGAAGCAGCTCGAATAGCACATTTAGTGACCACAGCGGAGGCGTGGATGGTAGTCCGCCCCGCGGCAACGGTAACAATGGGACCAACAATTACACTGGGGCTGTCATGACGCAAAGTCGCTTGAGGCCGTTGAGGTTGGTGCAGGAGAATCCGAAGCAAGAAGAGGATGCGGCTGCTGTAGCGGCAAGAAAGAAGGCCAATAGGGGAAGTTGGATGCCGACCTGGATGAATACGCAGAAAATAGGGATGTCGAGTGAGAACAACCCTTGAAGACCTATTCTGTTGACTTTTTGGATACGATACCCTGGGGCATGCGGAGGTTATGCACGAGGCGTAAGGCAGTAAGATCATAGGTTGGGTGGGGTAGACGCTCCGTCTACGTATACTATCCTGGGAATAGGAGCATTCTTTACTCATATACCAATAGACCGTCGTTCAACATAATTATGTAAGTTGTTGCGAGACAGAATCGATACCATATGTATACATGCAACTGCGTGACAGCTAGTATACGTTTCGTAGAGAGTACAAAGTATAGGGCAGCTATCTAAGCGAGATCTAAACTTTACGTCTTGGCTAATGTAAACAATCTTGTGACCAACGACATGTCAATGTCGCGATAACATACCGAAAGATGTCAATCAAAGCCGGTACACTGCCCAACGTCGTCCCCAATATAGTCCCATCCCTCCACCTGACAACCAGCAGAGGCCATTTGGGCCCCCTCCCCCTCGACCAACCGCGGTCAACCCACCCAACTCTCCTCAGATCCCAAAGGCGAACGAATAGCCTACGCTGTATGCTCCCCGACTCCGACCTACACCCCGCCAATTGACTAACCCTTTTCCCATACAACAGAACAATAAATCCATTTTCCTCCGCTCCATCGACCACCCCTCCCAATCAACCCAATACACCTCCCACACCACCACCGCAACCGTCGCCCGCTTCTCCCCCTCCGGCTACTATGTCGCCAGCGGGGACATCTCCGGTACCGTCCGCGTCTGGGACTGCGTCGGCGAAGGCGCCACCAAGGGCGAATACCCAATCATCAGCGGCCGCATCAACGATCTAGCCTGGGACGGAGACAGCCAGCGCATCATAGCCGTCGGCGACGGGAAGGAGAAGTTCGGACACTGCATCACGGCCGATAGCGGGAATACGGTCGGGGAGATCAGTGGACATAGTAGTCAGATTAATAGCGTGAGTGTGAGGCAGCAGAGACCGCTGAGGGCGGCGACGGGGAGCGATGATACGAGTTTGGTGTTTTATCATGGGGCGCCGTTTAAGTTCAATACGAGTTTGAGGAAACATCAGCGGTATGTTTACGGGGTGGCTTTTAGTCCGGATGGGGGGACGTTGGTGAGTGTGGGGGCTGACAAGAGGATTTGGCTTTATGATGGCAAGACGGGGGAGGCTAAGGGGGAGATTGGGGGTGGGGGAACATACGGGGAGTGTCTTCGCTGTGTCGTGGGCGAGGGATTCAAGGAGGTTTGTTACGAGTAGTGCGGATCAGACGGTCAAGGTTTGGGATGCAGAGGCTGGGAAGGTGGTGCAAAGCTGGCGGATGGGCGAGGAAGGGAAGGTCAGCATACCGGACCATCAGGTTGGGGTTGTGTGGCCTGCTGGCAGGTCGGATGGGTTGATCATCAGTCTAGGCCTCTCGGGTGATCTGAATTACCTCCAAGAAGGAAACCCAGGAACCTTGCGGACAGTTCAGGGACACCAGAAGAACATCACAGCTATCACAACCGACAGGGAACACAGCTCGGACCCGACTTTCTTCACTGGCAGTAGCGACGGCCGCATCTGTGCTTATGATGGGACGGGAGAGGGCGAGACTATCGATGGCGATGCCCACAAGAACTATGTCTCTGACCTCGCTACTTCCAACGCTGGTCGTATCTACAGCGTAGGCTGGGACGATACCCTCCGCTCCATCGATGTATCTGCAAGGACCTTCACCGGCACCTCAACTAAAACAGACGGTCAACCGCGCGGCGTTGCCTTGACATCCTCTAGTACGGCAATAGCGACACACAAAGGCATTTTCCTCCTCTCCCAGAAGGACAACTCAGTCATAAAACACGTACCAACAAAGTACGCCCCTACGGTCCTCGCAGCAGGCAAAAGCCACATCGCCGTAGGTGGTGACGATTCTCAACAGCACATGTACGACCTAGACCTCAACCACGTCAAATCGATACCGCACCCCTCGCAAGTCACAGCCTTGGCCTTCTCCCCAGCCTCAAACCAGTATTTGGCCGTCGGCTTCTCCTCCGGCAAAATCATCGTCTACGAACCCAACAACCCGGAACCGGTCACCACGAGATGGTCCGCGCACACGGGGAGAGTAATGAGTATCGACTGGGATGAGAAAGGCGAGAGAGCAGTCAGTGGAGGGCTGGACACCGATATCTTCGTGTGGAGCGTGAAGAAGCCGGGCCAGCGCATTAGCGTATCGCAGGCTCACAAGGAAGGCGTCAATGGCGTCAGATGGGCTGGCGAGAACGAAGTTGTGAGCGTTGGCGGGGATGCTGCTGTTAAGAAATGGAAGGTGGAAGGAGCTGTTTGAATAAAGGGTTAGAAGCATGCCCATGCGTCGATAGCGATATTAAGCAATTGAATAGACCAGACCTGGAGACGTGTGAGATACTAAGGGGATTGATCGTCGTAGATATCCCCCCTCCCGATTCCGCCGTGGTCGATAGACGGTGTTGAGGAAGTTGCAGAGTTCTAGGATTGGGTATGCACTGGAGGAGCTCTCACTACCCCGTTTACACACCTTCTTCCAAAGCTGCCACTGATGTTCAATTAAAGCGTAAATGTTGGAGTGATGCCTTGTTACCCCCAGGCTCCTCATACCGCGACGCCCTGCGTCTTTAATGCGTTGATGCCCGCCCAGGTACACTTATCATAACGTTTTCGGAAGCTGTTCTTGGAGACGGTAAGGTAATGCCTGGAGCGGTGTTTGTACCGTAAGCCTCTTTGTGGGGACGATGTCGTTGTATCAGATTTCCTACTCTGACGGCGTGTACGGTTGAGGGAATCATAGACGTACAGTCTCATGGGGATGAGTCCGGGACAGAGAGGGGTAGAGAAGTAGAGAGGAGAGGTTGTTGTCCTATCAGTTTTCACCATTTTGGATCAAAAGCGGTACACAATGGGGAAAGCGAGAGATGGTGCCTGCAGAGGAGGAGGAAGTCATGTACGCAAATAGCTCTTGCTGAGTGGTTTCGCATCAAACTCAAGCAGTCGCTCTTGCTATACTCATATCGCCCGCGGCCCAACTAGCACTCAAATATACCACAAAGTCCTGCCTCTGGCCAATCCTCGCCGTACCCCCCTGATACCCCCATCTCGCCGTGACACAGCTCCGCACGAGCAGCGCAGCCGCGTGCGCTACTAGAATCGGTTGGAAAATGCCATCTGCAGTGTCCGTAACACGGGCCAGGATTATGGAGCAGGTTCCGGATGCGGATTCGACGGGGAGGATGGAGCTGCGGTCCCAGTGTTCGAGGAGCATGGCGCTGGGGGAGACGACGAGGGCGTAGAGAGCGGTGTGGCAGTCCGAGGGCTGGATGTGCGGTTGGCGAGGGTTGGGAAGGAAGCAGTGGGGGTCGATTGCGTTGGTGGTGTTTAGGGAGGAGGGTGTGGAAAGGGTGATGTTGCTGAGGGTTGGAGGTTGGGAGAGGTCTCGTTCGACATGTTGGACTGGAGAAGGATGATCCGGATTCGCGTTGTCTGATGCTGGAAACAGAGCTGCTGCTGACAGTACAGAGAGTAGGAAAGAGAAGAAAAGGTTGTTGAAAAACATGTAGGTAGATGGCTTCGTAGGCTCGGCAATATACAATTGAAAGACAATTGAATGCAAGAACTGCGGAGACGTTCATTGCAGAATGGTATTCCGGGCGCTTCAAGCGCGCTCGGAAGGCCATAGGTCTGACAGTGCGGGTATGGTTGTCGAGCCCGTCAAATCATGTAGAGCAACGATAGCGCCAGTCGCCTCTCCAATGCTGCGGTTGCGGCTAGTAGCCCTGTCATTGACGGTGAGTGGGCTTGTAAAGGTGTAAATACTCCGCTGAGTTGGCTTTTTCGGCACAAAGCCGGCGTGTTTGCTTCACGGCTTCTAAGATTCCGATATCGATCCATATCGCCGCTGTCCCTAGCTTCATGCCGAAACAGACGTGTTTCATGAGGCCTTCATACTCTTCGGCTTGCTGATTCCTGACTTGGCACAAACAACTTCCATGCGCCTTTCAACGAACTCGAATTGGGACATTGCAATTGTTCTCTGGAAGCTTTCCCTAAAGCATCTATGCATGCTTATTGCTTGTTAGCGATTCACCCCACCGCTGATGCACAACCGTCGCCAAAGGAGTAATTGATGACGCCAACGTGAACAATGGAAATGTAGAGGTCATGATGAATATCGGCCTGGAAACTGTGTCCATCATACGTAGTAGTATCCGTATCTGTTTTGGATTTTTCCATATGGTGGAAGCAGCAAATTGAGACGCGGAAATTCAAGCGTTGAAAGTCATGACTGCCCTTTACACAGAGAGGCAAATCTGTTGCTCTGTGTTTGCCTTGTCTATGCTCAGACTGCGAGTAAATAGTATGGGACTGGTTCCCTATCAGAGCTGTTAAGGTCCAGGGTTTTGGTGGCATCTGAGACCTCTAAGGTACTCCTAACGATCAGAAATTGTCGAACCTCACCCGCCTTTCAACGTGACCATCTTCATCAAATATGGCTGTCGCAGGATGAAGAGACGTCAAACAGTAATATGTACTTTTATCTACTTACTCGTACATAATAATTCAATAACCTCTCGTGCTCATGGCAACAGCAAGATGCTAAGCAGGTGGCAATATGTAAGAGTAAGGTAGATCTCTGACAAGGGTGCCTCGCGATCGCCGCTGCAAAAAAAAAAACAAAAACAAACCAAAAAAGGCGAAGAAATCAATCACGCAGGATCACGGCTCTGCTGTCAGAGATAGACTAGTCCCAGAACTGCCTAGAGCCACAACTCGGCTATACTTTTTTGTTTACCGGTACGCGTCTTCCAATGAATCGAAGGCAACAACGTTTACATTAAACCATCCAACATCTTTATTGCTGACGACTACGGCGCGCACTCCAGTCTTTCCCTGTCAGCACATCTCCACCTCTCGCGCAATCTTTCTACTTGGATTCTGTCCTGCGGCCGAATACCACGGGTGCTGAGCTCAGATTGCGACATACCCTGCCCCGCAACTCGCAACTCGCAAAGTCCCATCCAGCAATTTCACAGTCTACAAGAGGAGGTGGATGGGGATAGGCTGAGGGGATGCTTGGGGGGTACCAGTTCTGAAACACACATTCCTTTTGGCAACATTCCGGGGACACGTTTCAGCGCGTATGCGACTTTGTTTGTATACGCAGGCTATCAATAAGACGCGCGCAATTTTCGGACACCGGGAGCAGAATCTCACTCCGAACACAAGCACTGAGATCATTGAAAATCAGGCCAAACATCCGTATACCTCATCGACCGGAGCAATCACCGACATCATCACCCCACCTACGTAAGACCAGAAACAGAAACCACCTGAAACTCCTCATGGTTGGGTCCTACTCTTCACATGGCGATGCAGGTGGAACTTTACACTGTCCGTCGCCAACTCACATACACCATGTCGACCCAGCTTCAGCTTTCAGACAATTACGGCGCTCTCTCTCTAGATCACCATCCAAAGGTCCTGCGTTTCGTCTAGTTACGTCAAAGTCAACATCCCCGTCACCTAGCTCTCCGCTTTCGCACTCGCGAGAACCACCTCCAAATCGATCGATATCGGCAAGCATGCTCTCGCCTACACATGTCTCATCTCCATCTTTGCTGGCATTTCCTTACCCCTACAGTGCACGGAAGATCAGACCTGCCACTCGAAAACTGAGTCCTATGCGCAATCCTTCACGCTCCAATAGCATCCAGCGCAGTCCAAGAAAGAGAACACTGAGCGAGTCAAGAAATCCTGGAAACGCCACACCACAGTCATCCGCCGAATCAAGTGACGATCAGGAGAACAGAAATGAGCGAAGCGTAAGTCCTGCCGAAGATTCGATGCCAGACGTAATATACAAGGCGAATGCGCCTCCACCAGGTAGCAGTCCGTTTGCGCCCGCTCGTGCAACTAGGAACTTTGAGAAAGGCAACAGCTGGGGCGCAAAATCCAGTCCGCTGAAGAGAAGTGATGGAATTATGAACTTGGATCAAGGGAACCCGGGAAGCCCGTCAAGAAAGAGGAGAAGTTTGCACGGAGGCATGTTTAATACGGACTTCAACATTTTCGATCATGAAGCTGCGTTCGAGGAACATGACGAACCGTCCCCGACCGAATCGACAATGAGCATGGACTCAAGTGCTCCAGTTGACCACTTGTCAGCGGTGCCCAAGCGGACATCATCGCTGCGGAGAACAACTTTGCAGCAAAGACATGACAAGCCATTATTTGCAAGGTCGAAGCCTAACACTGATCTTGCTCTTGAATTTGCTACGCCAGGGCATGCCTCACAGAAAAGTAGGCTTCGAATGTCGCTTGACAGCGTCTTGCCCTCTATGGCCCGGGATAGCCCATTTTCTTCGCAAGGCTGTCTACCTAATGCTTCTGCACATCCCATGTCTCAGCATGGCTCGAAGCAGACTGGGTCCAGCCAAACATCGCAACCCCAACGTCATCCTCTGTCACGGACATTGTCTCAGTCTACTTCGAATTCGAGCATGGCAGAAGACTCGCCCACGCACATTCCAATCCGGCAGCCTGAGCAGCGACGAACGTTTGTCGACTTTTCAAAGTCGCTCCCGGTAGGCGCTGCACGGCCCAGTTCTCGCGACGGAGAGTTATCAAGCCAGGTTTCTTCAGGAACTTCTTTTGCAACGCCCGAAAATTACAAGTTGGTCAAACCACTACCCGCAGCGTTCATGTCAACCGGACTTATCTCGAAGCGTCATAAGAATGTAGAAGACACGCAAGCTGGGTTCGGTGCGAGCAAAAATTCCATGCCGGACACGCCTTGCAAACGCCACAGCCTTGCGGAGATACCATCCCCATCAGCGCCGCGCGAAAATACCTTTGCAAAAGCTCATCATACCAGACATTCCTTCGGCACACCATCGACGCCATTCAACCCGCACACCACACGCCTAGCGCCTGAGACTTTCGGGAAAGGTGTCAGTATATTTGGCAGCAATATGGGCGGCAGCCTTCGACGGACCTCCAGCTTTCTCAATACCGACATTGAAGAATTGCAATCACCGCCTAGGCAAGACGATAGTCAGTCCAGCGCTGAATGCGACATTCCCCCAACTCCAACGAAGCAAGCCGGCATTTCGGGTAGCGCCCATCAGACAACATTTGGAGGAAGCGCAACGCGCAAGGACTTTGCTAGTCCTGGGTTTGGTGCCTCTGTTGGTGCGGAGACCCAGTCTTTCCAGCATGAGCAAGATTGTAAGTTGATTCCATTTGGGACACCATCAGGAAGTGTGGATGGAGACAGTGACGGCTTGATGGACGATTCTCCATCAACCGCCCTGAGATTCAGAAACTTTTCCTCGATGACCCGCTCTTTCACCCATTCCCGTCTATTACGGAATGTGAAGTCACCGACTCCGCTCCGCAAGACATCTTCCCTTGCGCTCGATTTTCTGTCAAGCAGATCAAAAGCTAAACCAAGTCCCCTATCTCCAGCCAGCCCTCTAAACGACCGAATGCAACACTTATCCCCTCATACGCCAAAAGGGAGCATGATCCCGCCTGACCCAAGTGGCCTGTCGATATCTGCGCATGCAAATGAGCAGCTGCGGCCCATGACTGCTTCGGCGAGCAGCGCGTCGATGTATCCTCCTGCGACCCCAACTGCTCCTAGGGACTCTTTCGCATCGTTCAAAAAATCGACCTCTAGCATGACGCCTCCTCATGGCTCAGTTGCGGTCGAGATCGACCCCGTTCTGACTTCTCGTTTCGACAAAGTAGATCTGATCGGCACGGGCGAATTCTCTCAAGTATATCGTGTAACGCAAAAGCAGGAACTCAAGGGTTCCCAAAGCTACTTCTCAATCCCCCAGGCACGGACTTCACCCAGGACACCGTTGCCAGATCGAGTCTGGGCCGTTAAAAAGTCTCGCAATGCATATATAGGGCCGAAAGACCGACAGCGAAAGCTTCAAGAAGTCAACACACTGAAAGCGCTTGGACATTCGGATCATACCGTACAGCTTTTCGATAGCTGGGAGGACAAAAACCACCTGTATATCCAAACGGAGTTCTGCGAAGAGGGTAGCTTGGACTCATTCCTTGATCAAGTAGGACGCAAAGCTCGACTTGACGACTTCAGGATCTGGAAGATCCTGCTCGAACTATCGCGTGGTCTCAAGCATATCCATGATTCGGGCTTCATCCACTTAGACCTCAAACCAGCTAATGTCTTGATCACTTTTGAAGGCGTCTTAAAGATCGCTGATTTTGGCATGGCAACTCGGTGGCCAGCTCAGCCAGGCATAGATGGAGAAGGCGATCGAGAGTATATTGGACCCGAGATACTCAGGGGGCATTTTGATAAGCCAGGAGATGTCTTCGCCCTAGGACTCATCATGCTTGAGATAGCAGGAAATGTAATGCTACCGGACAATGGAGCGTCGTGGCAACGACTGAGAACAGGTGACATGAGCGACGTTCCAAGCCTGACATGGAGCTCAGGGACCAGCAGTGTCCTTCGGGACTCCTTGGGGAAGCCTCTTTCCCAAGACGCATCGGTCGAAGACTTCTATGGATCGGACTCAGGAGAAGACGATTTCGGTTCTCCGAAATTCTTGCGCGGCCGACGTGAAAAGGAAATGAAGAACGGCCCGTTCAAGCTCCATCGATCCGGTGAACTTGCTCACCCGCCAGCCTTCATGATCGACTCCAAAGACCCAGAAGCTCTTGACAATATTGTCCGCTGGATGATTTCACCCGAAACCATCAATCGGCCAGTCGTGGATCAGGTCCTTGGAACGATAGGCGTTCAATGGGCTGAGTCCAGGAGACGAGCAGGTGCTACGATATTTGAAGGCAATTGGGGGCCCGCAGACGAAGTGCTTGCGGATGACGCGGAAATGATTGACGTGTAGGACTTCTCCCAACATCATAAGACGAGCAATCTGTGATTTGATGACTGCCCTAAGATCTGGATGACTAAGGGCAGACGTGAGGCGATTTGGCGTTCTATGGATAGAAGGACACTTGGAGATTTCGAAATCAAGCCTGGATGGGAGGTTTGAAAGCCAGCAGCGATAGCTTTTGCATTTGCAAATGAGAGGTTCCTTTCGACGACGATGTTACGATTTCCGACCATTATTCCCCAGCTTTGACGCTCGCATTAACGGTGTACCATTTGGCTCTTCTTCGACGATTCGCTTCTCGTGGACACCAAATTATCACATGTTACGGAACACCCTTTACTTTCACCAAAAGCTGTCAACTAGACCTTGAGACATTTCGCCACCGAGGCCTCGAAGCGCAGGACGATGATTTCTAAAGCAGCACATCTACATTAGTCTTTGACGACATTCACGAGCTCTCCAGAGGGACTTGGCTTTGCATTAGCTAGGACGATACCATAGCATGTTCAGAATGCTGGGCAGGATCTTGGCTTGATGATGGCTTGATAATTGCATTACCTCTAAGGCATAGATAGATGAACCGAATAATCTTGATCATACCTTGCAGCTCTTGGAACCGGATGTGCTTTAATTTCGAATGGGGCGATATCCGACCGGGGAGGAGAGGTGTATTGCTTGCAAGCTGTGCGAGGCTATTTGCCCGGCGAGCGCTATTACGATTGAGGCCGAGGAGAGAGTATCTGTAGAGTGTGTTCTTTGGTGAAGGTAATTGGGTAATGCATCTATTGCATAGCCGTTTTGGCCGTTTTCTTGGCAGGGTTCGCTTCGAGTGCAGCCGCCAAGCTGCCGCGCGCTTGGAGAAGCAGCTCTCTTCTCCCAAAATTTCATGATGAGTAAGTCCTTTATTATTGTCTTGCACTTCTGCGTTGTACATGGTCTACGGTCAATTGACTTATTTTGGTTTCCTTGATGTTGTTTTCACCTTCGTCTGTACTTTTGCGATTCTGGATCGCCATAGGTTCGCTGAGTGCTAACGCCTACTGCAGTCCAGTACATTTAATATTCCCTCAAGCGAGTCACGATGCGTTCTCAGCTCACGCGGTATGTCTTCCGACAGATAATACATAATGAACTATATTCGAGCGCACGATGCTGGTTCCCCACCACAAGTCATTGCCTGCGGGCGCGGCGAGGCCCCGTCATCCCTACCGCTCCCATGAGAACCCTCTTTGGATTTGGACGCAAGCCAAAGCGACAGCCAAAGCCCGTCAAATACGAGCCAGGTTTTGAGCCATTGATGGAATTGAATGGGATATTGAGAATGGGAGCCCGAGCGCCACCTCCTCAAACATTAGCACGGGCATTCGTGGACTTCTTTCGCTTCAAGCATAGGACTACGCGGGCATTGGAGGACACACAAGCTCAGTACGCTCTAGAGACATTCCAACATCTACAGATGACATACACCGAGGACCTTAGTTTTGGACTTACGTGCGAGGACCTGAGGATGGCATTGAAGACGCTGGGAATCGTTCGCACAAAAGAGTACCAGTACAAGGCCCATAGTGAGCTAGCCAAAGCGGTGTTTGAGGAACTTAAGAAGAGGAGGGAGACCATGACAGATGATCAAGAGCCACCTGTGTTGTTTCATCAAGATCTCTTACCCTTCATACAAGTCATGGCACGATTCGGTGAAGCCCTCTACGCCCGGGATCTTGTTGAAAGATATTGGGAAGACTGCCTAAAGCCTATGAGAGCGTCTCCATGGTCTCGAGTAATAAGGGGCTTGATTCGAGAGAACAGAGCCGAAGAGCTGCAGAAGACTGTCACTATCATGCAAAAGTACAATATACCGTTCGATCACAAAGTCCACCAAACTATCACTGTGTTCTATGCAGCTCACCAAGCGAATATGGAAATGACAAAGAAGTGGTACCAACATCCTATCGCTAATAGAGGGACGCCCACAATTATAACGGATGCTACCGTGCTGAAGCTGTGTATCAGCCAAAGCGAGCTTGACTGGGGGGACCCTATATTCAAATCGCTGATAGCGAGAACGCCGGAGGAGAAAGCGCCATGGGATGTGATATTCCAATGGGCGGCTGCTAAAGGCAAAAGCGTCGACGAGATCGAGAGCATGATGGAGGTCATGGCACGACGGCAAGAAGAGAAAGGGTTGACGTTATCGTTGGACATGGAGACTATCAATGGCTTGGTTGAGCTTGCGAACTCGAGAAATGACCCTTACACTGCCGAACGGTACGTGTCTCTGGGTCAGAAACGGGGGTTTCGGCCCAATGCGCGAACATACCTCTTACAGCTCGACTATCGAATAAAGGTTGGGGACCTTGGTGGGGCAAGGACTGCTTACGCTCGTCTTCAAGGTGAAAAATCAGTCAACTCGGAGGATTTGCCTCTCCTAAACAAGCTCATCGTCGCTCTTTGCGCAGAAAAGCGCCAGGACTACAATACTATAATGGGCCTCGTCGAAGACTTGGTTGAACGCAAAGCACGCTTCGAGCCCGAAGTGGTAGCTGCACTTTCCCACCTCCACCTCCAACGCGGCGAAATGGAAGATCTAGTGGACCTCCTTAACACTCACGCCTTCCAATACGGCCTTGACCAACGCGCTTCGATCAGCGAAGTTCTCATGTCCCACATTTTTAAGCACACTACCCAAGTCTCTCGCGCTTGGGATACCTACAACATCCTGCGGCAGACTTTCTCCGAGATTGACGTTCCCACGCGAATCTCCCTCATGCAACACTTCTTTACCCGCAAGCGCTCCGACATGGCCACCCACGTCTTCGGCCACATGCGCCAACAACAAATTAAATCTCTTCGCCCCACCGTTTCCGCCTACGTAACTTGTCTCTCCGGTATAGCTAAAGCCGGCGATTTTGAGTCTCTACAAACTGTTCATAACATGATGAAGCTCGACTCGGAAATTGAACCGAACACACAGTTGTACAACGCCCTCATGCTCGCCTACACGGGCTGCGGGGAACCCAACACTGCGCAGGGCTTTTGGGAGGATATTGTGCACTCGAGGGAGGGGCCGAGCTATCCTAGTATCCAGATAGCATTGAGAGCGTGTGAGAGGGCGGCGTTCGGCGAAAGGGTGGCGAGAGATATTTGGGCGAGGTTGAAGAGGTTCGAGATCGAGGTTACAAAGGAGATTTATGCTGCATATGTAGGATCTTTGGCTGGACATAATCTATTCCCAGAGTGTGTCAAGCTCATCAATGACGCGGAAAAGGAAGCGGGGTATAAGCCTGATGCTCTTCTGTAAATCCGCCGACTCCTTAACGCTGTGGTAGATTGGGATATCATAGGCTGACATGCAGCAGGATCGGCACGTTTTATAACGCCGTCAAGAGCGATAGTAATAAGCAGAAGGTTAAGGAGTGGGCTTGGGCATCGTATCCGGAGGCTTATGAAGAGTTGCTGAAGTTGGGGCAGCATGAGGTTACGAAGAGCAGTGGTGAGTATGAGGATGAGTTTGTGCATTCGAGGGAGACGTTCTTCAATATCGGACCAATTGGGAGGGATGTGGAAGCTTGAGCTTCAGAATTTCGACAGAGATCGAGATACTCTAGCAGAGAGAATACATTAAGACCTGAATTTGAGGTCCGCCTTTGGATAGGACCGCCTTGAATCGCTCCGTGTCTAAATATTCGTCTCTCGGCCCTGCTCTTTGACTTTTTTAAAACTACACATTTTCAGGCTGGAGGCCATGTAAATGGCAGATCTTCATGGACAGCGGCGCTGTTTCTACACCGCAGCTGTGAAACAAGCATCACCGCGGCAGATCTTTTGTTCGCCTTCGTCGATTTGCTACTTCTCCGCATTTGATTCTTTGTAGTCCGTCAACGGATCTTCTGGTATTGTCAAGTCGTAGTACATGGCCAATCAATTGAGTGTTTTGAAACGAAAGGCTCTTCCGTGCCGGGAAACACAATCACCCAGCCCGAAACCATAAGGTGCAAGTCTGGCAAACTGTACACATGAAAAGGACACACATCTGGGTGCTAAGTCGAACAAAGCTCCTCTACAAGTACTTTTGTCTCGGCTCCAGCGAGATTGTGGCTGGAGGCTCAGGATTGAGCCCATTTTCAGGATTGAGACGTACGATAATGTTCCTTCTAAACCAACTGATAGTTGGATGAACGTTTTCCTGGAGTAAAAGAAAAGCGATGAATAAGTACAATTGTAAGACTAGCAGATCGTTGGTCACGGAGATACTTTACCTCCTTCCGCGCTTGACGCGAGAGACGCCAAAGTAAGGTCATCCTTCCCAGAGCCAGAGTATGCTTGTCTCACAGACTTCCAGCTGCCGCTTTCAAGAACCTATACCTATGATTACCAGACCTTTATCGCATTGGCGCGCTTCAACCTCCTCCGGTCTGTCTACCGGAAGAGTAAGATGGCTGCGCCAGGCGGTTTTCTCGACTCCATTTCCCCATGGAGCACAAGAAGCAGCACTCCAAAGCCGGGCCAGGGCAAGGAACTGGAACCTTCGAAGTTGAGCAACCAGCAGGGTGCTGATCATAGCATTGGTCATCGCCATCGGCTCAGTCTCAGTCAGTATCCTAAGGATTGTCCTCAGAGTCAAGTGAGATGGTTCTACGCAGTGGATGTAAGCTCTCGGCTGCGGCATTATCCTTGTCCAGGGCTTTTCTAAACCGTCTAAACAGTCCCCAAAGCGGAAACCCCTACCCCTCGATCAGCCTAAGGATGCGAAGCCCCTTCTAGCCCCTAAGAAATACGCAGCCTTTTCTGTCCGCGACTCCCGATCCGTTGAGACGGCATTTCAGAAGATGGCTGAAGATGAACATGACAAGCGTCGAGAACATTCACCTACAGGTGACATTGGAGATGTAGGCAGTCGACAGGAGCAAATCATCTATACCACAGATGGAGATGGAGGCGATCAGGGAGACGCAAGTACTCGCAAAACACACGGATCGCGTGGGAATACTAGCATCAATGAGGCTACGAGTTCCGAAAAAGGAGGAATAGTCAAAGTCCCTGTCAACGAAGACTTCTTGTTCGATGTTGACATCGAGGCAAGAGAGCTTGCTCCAACGTATTGGCTAGGCCCAATCTACGACGTGCGCCGTGGAAGCTGGTTTTACCAAGAAGGCTCCTCCCTTCGACCCTGTGATGAGAACCTTGCAATCCAACTAGAAGAAGGATATCTTAAGGTAAAACCATGGCGGAACGAAATGCTTCAACCTGCCTCCCAACCAAAGTCAAGACCTGTCTCAATGAACGCTGCGGATATTCAGAAGTCTGCTGGTGCAACCGAGAAACCGAGTGGAGAGCCCTCGATACCAGCAAAGTTCGAACTGCAGACGCAGCGACTATTCGGAGCCTATATGAATTCCGTGGTGACATATCAAGATGCCACAACTGCTTGGCTACTCACTGATGATTTCCTCTCGCGGATGAGTAGTACTGTATATCAGAGATTCGCTGGTGGCGGCCATCTCGGAGGTGTCAAGGTTCTACGAGGCTACTCGGAAGCAAACAAGGCCAAGGAGGCTAAGAAGGATGGCGATAGCCCTAACACCAAGAAGGCTGAGGCTGCGACGGAGAATTCAAAAAGGGGACCTGCAACTCCTAAGGTTGACAGAGAAACTTCCGATGATGAGCAGGTGAAGCGCTCGGCGTCTGCAGCGCAACAAGAGCCGCGCCTAGTAACTTTGGAGAGGCAATTGTCTTCGTTTTCCGACGATCCCGCAAAACAGGAGGAAGAACGACGACAAGCGGATGAAGATGAGATCAAAGAAGATTACAAGGATGCCGACAGCCAGGACCAGGGTCGAGAGATTGAGCATCTGATTCTTGTCACGCATGGCATTGGACAGGTAAGCGACTATCTTCATCCGCTACCAATACTTCTGCTGACCCGGTGTGCAACCAGAGGCTTGGACTACGTATGGAAAGCATCAATTTCATTCATGATGTCAATGTCCTGCGCAAGACTCTCAAAAGTGTCTACGAAACATCGCCCGACCTCCAAGCACTGAACGCCGAAGTCGAAAAATTACCAAAGAATTGCCGGGTGCAAGTGCTGCCGGTCGTATGGCGGCATCTTCTCGACTTCCCGAAACAAAGCTTCAGACAGAATGAAAGGGAGCAAGATCTCACTGACAATGATGCTTTCGGCGAGGATGACGAGTACCCTAGCCTGGAGAACATCACAGTCGAAGGCGTTCCTGCGATTCGCAACTTGATCACCGACCTCGCTCTCGACATTCTTCTATACCAAAGTGCCTACCGAGAGCACATCGCCGGCATCGTGCAAAGAGAGTGCAACCGTGTCTACGAGCTCTTCATACAGAGAAATCCCTCCTTCAACGGCAAAGTCAGCATGATCGGCCACTCTCTAGGTTCAGCAATCCTCTTCGACATTCTGTGTCATCAAAAAGACGTCAGTTTAGCCCCACAAGGCCTCTACAGGCACAGACAGCCTGGTTCAAGAAGTAGCACTGTGGCCAAGAACCTGGAAACATCGGACCTTGGCCTAAAATTCGAAGTTGAGGACTTCTTTTGCCTGGGCTCTCCACTTGGACTCTACCAAATGCTCAAAGGCCGCAAGATTGCAGCTCGTCGGACAACTAGTGGCATAGGTGCGCAAAGCCCACTGAATCCGGATTCTCTCGATGATCCTTTCCTTGGTGCTGCGTCTACGCAAACAAGCAATGCGACTAGCGAAAGAGAGGGGGACATTCTGTCCATCACAGTGTCAAGTCCAAAGTGCCAGCAGATCTACAACATTTTCCACCCGGCAGACCCAATCGCGTATAGGATAGAACCATTAATCTCACGAGCTATGTCATCTATGAAGCCACAGGTCCTGCCCTACACCAAGAAAGGCATATTTGGTGTTCAAGGCCAAGGTCTGACTAACATTGGGGCGCGAGTTGGCCAGAGCGTGTCCGGCCTATGGTCAAACTTTACATCTGGGATGGCAAGCAGCTTGTTAAATCGCAGCCTCGGCCTGACAGGCGAGGGCCAATTATCTTCTTCAACAGCGATGCATGCTCCCCAGATTCAACGCAAAGAAAGCCCATCGGCCGGCGCCGGTACAAACGTTACCACAGGTGGCGTGGTCTCCGAGCAAGAAGAGAACTCAGAACATCCCCCAACACTCATCGATTCTGAGATAGAGACGCTGTACGCCGGCTTTGAAAAGCGAAGAAAAAGCCATCAAAGCGATGAGACTCGAGACTTGGGCGAGAGTGCTGCATGGATGGAGGCTGAAGAGAGATCGAAGCGTCTGAAGCGGGAAGAGGCCAAAGTGAGGGCGCTGAACAGCAATGGTCGTGTCGACTTCAGCGTACAGGAGTGAGTGGTTGCAGAGAATCCCGACTCGGTTTCTGTGTCGCCGGTGCTGACATTTTCATTTCCTAGGGGCCTCCTCGATATCTCCCTTTGGGCGAGCATTGCCAGCCATCTGTCGTACTGGGCGGACGAAGATGTCAGCCACTTCATGATATCGCAACTTCTGTCCCGGCAACGAGTCATCAAACGATGAAGAAGAAAAAATCACGCACTCGATGGATCAGCATAGCCTCGGAGTCAGGAACATAAGGTATACCCGGGAACGGAGACTTGTGACATCAGTTTTCCCTTTTACTCCGTAGCATCTATAGAATCTAATTCCATTTTCACATCATACTCCCCGGACTCCACGGTGTTCCTCTCTACGGGATCAACCACCTGATAGCGTTGGGGTTTGACCAGTTTGTAGCCTGGAATCCATGCCGATGTGGCGCTGAAGGAGTAGCCGATGGAATATTTGAGGGGGGTTTGGCCGAAGATGGTGCGTGTGTGTTCGCTGGGGGAGTAGCTGAAGGAGTAATCGATGGAATGTTCGAGGTGGTTTTGTCCGGGAGTGTTGCTTGTTTGTTCGCTGGGGGAGTAGTCGATGGAATTTTTGAGGAGGTTTCGTCTGGGAGTGTTGCTTGTTTTTTCGCTGGGGGAGTAGTCGATGGAATATTTGAGGGGGTTTCGTCTGGGAGTGTTGCTTGTTTTTTCGCTGGGGGAGTAGTCGATGGAATAGTTGAGGGGGTTGTTGCCTGAAGATATTGCTTGTGTGTTCCTTAAGGGAGTAGCCGATGGAATATTTGAGGGGGTTTTGCCTTGTTGCTGCTTAAGGAGCAAGCGATGGAAATTTGAGGGGTTCTTGTTTGTTTATTTCGCTGAGGGAGTAGCCGATGGAATATTTGAGGGGTTGTTGCCTAAAGTTGTTGCTTGTATACTTCTACTGATGAAGAGTAGCCGATGGAGCTTTTAAGGGGGTTGTTATCTGAAACTGTTGCCAATATGGTGCTGAAGGGGTAGCCGATGGAGTTTCTGAGGGGGTTATCGCCTGAAGATATTGCTTGTAAATTCGCTGAGGGGAGTAGCCGATGGAATACTTAAGGGGGTTGTTGCCTAAACTTATTGCTTGTATACTCACTGATGGAGTAGCCGATGGAGCATTTAAGGGGGTTGTTATCTGAAACTGTTGCCAATATGGTGCTGAAGGGGTAGCCGATGGAGTATGCTTAAGGGGGTTATTAGCCTTAAGATAGCTTGTATACTCGCTGACAGGAGTAGGCCGATGAAATTTGAGGGTTATTATCTAAAACTATTACTTCATGTGTTCCTTAAGGGAGTAATCGATGGAGTATTTAAGGGGGTTATTATTAAAGTTGCTACTCGTGTGTTTCTTAAGAGAGTTACTAATGGAACTTTTAAGGGGGTTGTTATCTGAAACTGTTGCCAATATGGTGCTGAAGGGGTAGCCGATGGAATATTCGAAGGGGTTACTGCTAGAAGATATTGCTTATTTGTTTGCTGAGGGAGTAGTCAATGGACTATTTGAGGGGGTTGTTGCCTGAGAATGTCGCCCGTGCAGTGCTTGGAAAGTCAACGTGGACGAGTTTTATGGCCGTTTTTGCGAGCGGTTGCCTTCAACTTGAGGCAGAGACCAGGTGAGTGCCCTTTGTATGGCACAGATGTGTTCTCCAAAAATCTCGGAGGAGATCATATTTTTGTGGTTACGACGCAAGAGCTTGCCTAGCATTGAGCGGAGTGGTACCGGTAATACTCAACATTTCCGATGCTATTCCCATAGAATATGCAAGTCGCGTAGGTGAATCGCCTTCCATCGGTCGGAACATACCAGCCAATGGAGTGTATTGCGCTTTCCATCGGCCGGGAAATACCAGCTAATGGAGTCTGTCGCCTCTCATCGCTGCAAGCCTCGTTCTCGAATAGTCATGCCTGAAGATTGGCTTGCATGAAGGTCGGGTAATTTGGTGTCCAAAAGGCTCAACGGCATGAGCGGCTCCCTTGGTAGAAGGTGGACGAGCAGATGATCCGCATTCTCTCGGCCATAAGCTCATCAACCAGTAGGATCCATTCGATTCCCTGATGGTAAGCCTTATTCTGAAATGATCATCACTGCGGGGTATGCGTCAACAGTAGGTAGTAGCTTAACATTAAAAGGATCAGCTGAAGGATTGCTTACCCTGGTGCTTCGGATCATATGCACGAGAGCCAAGTGACTTGGTTGCTATCTATCGGCCTAAGAGTATCAGAGTGTCGATCTCTCTCCTCCGTGGACTGAAAATCTTGAATTAACACAATGACTGGAAAGGCTTGTGCGGGAGGTCAGAAAAGTAGCATCAAAAGGATGAAGGAGTGGATTTCCTCTCATGTTGCATCCGAGATACGCACCAAGGCCAAATGACCTGCTTCCTACCTATCGGTGATAGCATCAACAAACCGAAGAACTGCCTTCCCCACTTTGTCAGGCATGATTTGGAACGATTAGCTGCGGGGTTTGCTTCAAGATGAGGTGGCTTGGCACCTCAAGGCGCGACGAGTGGACTGCGTGCCATCAGGAATGCGGGCACTCGCAGGTGAGTTGATTTTTACCTAGCGGTCGCAACGTTAACACAATTGAGACCTTCCTTTTCCGGTACTTCCAGGCTTGACTTGAAACAACTACCGCTGGCAAAACTTAGGTCGAGCTCAGATCGCTGGGCAATGAAAATAGATTGCTGTATCCGAGGAGATACATGAGGGCAGGGCGACTTGGTCTCTACATCGCTCATACGAAATGCAGCATCTCGAGCCAAGATGATGGTGTCGGCTTAGAGCTTCAAGTCACTAAAGTACCTAGATGCAGCACTAAGGGAAAGCCCGCAGCCGAGCGCGTACCGTACCTTAGCGTTGGAAATCCGGAGATTTATTGACGCTAAACACGCTACTTTTTTCATGCAAGCCCTTCAACAGTGAACTATATCAACATGAGGCCAAAATGCAAAGCCGGGGACTCCATTGGCTGGTCTGTTCCGACCGATGCAAATCGAATTACTTGCATTCATCCTGGAAGTTGCATAAATTAGCTGTCGATCTGTCGAGCCGTAACCGAGGTACCTGACGTCTATGCACCATTTTCTGCAGCAATTATCCTGGGGGAGGCTGGCGATAAGGAGTGGCCAGTGTTCCCACTGGCTGGTATGTGCCGGTTCGGACGATACGAAAGCTAATCCTATGCTCATTGCTCATCCTGCAAGAGCAGAAATTTTAGCATGATCGGCAACCAACGCGTTCAGCTTCCCGGTTCCAATGATGCCTTCATGCAGGCTATTTGGCGGCGAGTATACGGAAATAAATGTGTTAAGCGGAGAAGTGGGATCGTTACTGGCTGATATTGTTTCAGCCGATGCGAAGTAAGTCCCTGCCCAACCCGCACAGGGTAGGCTCGATCTGTGGAGCATTTAGATACAAAGTACCTGATCTTCACGCATAACACTTTGCAGTGCTTATCCAAAGTAAGGCTGCCGTTCAGGGAAGGAGCAGATGACCACTGGCTGGCGATGTTCGTCCGGGATGAAAGCAAATCGCCAGCACTTCGTGCACGAGCCTCCCCGTCTCAAACCCCCCCTCACGTTGATGCAACTTTGCAGCGATGATCCATTTAGAATGAGACTTGTGATGGGAGAAGAGACAGATTCTCTTGGTTGATGACGTTCTGACCGAGGGAAGGCGAATCAAGTTGCCAAATCCTTTCTCGATTGCTCGGATGCAAGTGTTAAGCAGCCATCATTGCCAGCAAGGCATTTTACTATATAACATGCCGTATCCCGCTCCTTTTCTTCTTCTCCTCTAAGATCCAAAAGATCATCAGTCTAGCAAACAAGTTCGCAAACAGTTCTTCATCATCTCCGCATACACTTTTCGTTGACACATCATCTGCCAACTCATAAGACTCTTTGCTTCCATCATCATCACCATCACCGGGTACCAGGTATATATACCTATGTCCTTCTCCGTATATACTTACTTCGCAACCTACCCTGACATATATATAGAACTATGAGTATAGCACCAGTACTCAGCCCCAGAGCTCTGCAAGAGTTGGTCTCTTCCCTGGCAATAATTTGCCGCCTGCTGACAGTATCAAGGCTTCTGAGGGGAAACCATTCCAACTTTGTATCTGTTAAAGTTGAAGAGGAGGTTTTCCTTCGGGTTCACCGACCGGTGGCAACGCGCTTTTCCGCGGTCTGGAAGCGCGGCCTATCCAACCCAAAGTGCGGGATTGTCACTGTGACTTTCCCACCCGACCCACCGGCTGCTCCTTTGGCAGTTCGATCGGCACCAAGTTCCGGCAATGCACCGGCCAAATCTCCAAGTATTCCACCACTCTCCCCTCCCGCACTGGCTGCTCCTTTAGTCAGTCAATCGGATGCCAGGTCCGGGCAACGCACCGGTAAGAACTGAGAACATCTTACCTCCTCCCAACTCCCCACCGGCTGCTCCTTTGGCCTACTCAATCAGCACCAAACTCGGGAAATGCACCGGCCACGCCTGGATTAATTCCACCGCCTCCCCCTCCTCCGTCGAAGAAAGAGGCTTTAAAATTCATAATCCAGTGGATGGAGCAAGGGGGAGCTGACCCCAAAGGCAAGAACGCAGTCCCTTATCCAAAGGGCTACCGCGCGGGGTTGGAGACGCTGTTGGCGTTGGCGAGTATGCTCGAGATCAGCGAGCTGATGACTCGGGTGAGCGGCGACTTGGGGATAATTCCCCTTCCCAGACCCAGAAGATGCCCTACGTGCAAAAGAGTCGAGTAAGACAGCTGACCTATAACCAACGTATCTCAGCTAATCAGAGGGCAGACACCCGGGCAAGGAGTGCCAAACCTGCTGGGAATGCAATGACGTTGGCCACCGTAGAGCCAACTGTCCGAAGGCATACCAGGCGTTTCTGGAACGAGAAGCGCGCCGAGAGCAAAAAGCCGAGCACGAGAGACTTAGGCTGGAAGGGCAGGAACGGGCGGAGTCTCGGCGGAAGAAGTGGCAGGAAAAGCAAGACCGCCGGGGGAAGCAACAGCGGGAAGCTGGGATTCGGACGGGAGAGGTGGCTGTCGGTGCCGACGGTAAGACTATTAATCGGTGGGTTCGAGATTGACAGGGCCCATGATAGTAAAGCGTTTTTTTGCACGCAAGCTGGTCGCAGTGGGCACGGGTATCAAATTTTGGCCTACAAACTATAAGTACCTTGGATTATCTTGGTCGCTACATCAATCAACATAACTCTCTCAGAAGTATCTCAGTGTCCATTTTGTGATCCACAATTAGCCCAGGCGATCTTGCCCTTGAGGACCGTTTCCAGTACATTTGCAACAAACCCCAGATAAATCGCACATCTGCTCCTTCCACTACATCCAGCACTACTCATGTCCCATGGCCGCTTACAACACCCACATCGGCGTAGCGAAACTAATGCAGAGCCTTTCACCCCCCCCCTCCCCCATTTTCACACTCAAGACCCCGCTTTTCCTCACTGCAGCATTCGCAGTGAACCAGACAAGCTTAGCCCGTAAGCATGCATGCGGGTGAGATGCCCCCACACACACTTCAGACGGGGTTGGGGGTGCGTCTCGTAAGTCGTCTACTTCTGAGTAAGTAAGTAAGTAAGTAGGATTAGCTTACCTGCCAATCACCATAACCATTAGCAGCTGCCTCGATCTGGCGAATATCCTGTTTTGGGAACATCTTCTCCCCAGTTTTGTCTTTTCGGTACGTATGTTGTGTTGTGGAGAGGATTTGTAGATGATACGATGCGATGCGAGGCGAGGGACGGGGTAAGTGGGGAGGGGTTTTTCGGGTCCTTTGGTCGACTCCGTCGGCTAGTGTTCTTTGCCAATGGATTGATGGATCAGGTGCACATCGCGTAATGGGTGTGAGTACGGGCTGGATACAGGTTTGAACAGATTGGGAGTCAGGGTAGACGGATACATACTCTGGGATTTGTTGTTTGATAGCTTACATTGCTCACAGCTGGTATCTCTCCACCACCATCTCCAGCTGGATAACTGCCAACCACAGTCTCCTGCACACGGGCCGGGCTCGGTTTCTACAATACCGTCTTCACAACGAGACGTATACAGATTGACCCCGTGCATATGGATGGACGCATGCGTGTCGTGGGTACGCCATCATCGTCTTTATCTCTAAATTTTTCTGACGCGGTGGAATCGACTCGCTGCGCCATGGACCACGGCGCTCGGATATTGTGAACCGGTTTCGCAGCGCAAGGAGTATATACGTTTCCGTCGGCATAAGTACGGCTCTCGATTTGGTAATCCGTCGTCGCGCTTCTGTTGCCGATGAGCTGGGCGCTGCGGATTGATCGATGGGGTTAGAAAAGAAAGAGAGGAAGATAGGCGTGAGCTATTCTTGTGCAGTCGTGGTCTTGGGTAAATCGTTCATCGCACTGGGCTGGGCTGGGTTAGATCTACCCTCGCATGCTTCCTAGAAGGTACTAAATGGCTGATGTTAAGAATTCGGATCATAGGTTTATTCGTGGATGGACTGGAGGATCCAAAGTACGGTCCGAGCGAAAAAGAAAGAAGAAGGAAGAGGATACACTCGGACGCGAAGTACCAACTCTACCTCACCACACTACAAAGCCAACCTGGAGATATGCTCGGGCATGATGGGCGCAAGCTTACCGACGCTTGCGTCACCAGCCTTCAAAGTGGTCGTCCCGTATTCTTGAGTTTCGTAAAAAGGGGGAAGGGTCTTGTAAGAGTCGGCGAGGCTCAATATACGTTGGGGGGAAGATGGGGGGCACGAGGAAGGACGAAGATTCCGTTGGCGGTTTTCATGGGGATCGATGGAGCGACTGGTCAGGATGCTATTACCGTCAGATACAGTACGATATCTTTGCCGAGCCATACCTGCAGGTGTGACGACCCTGCATGATCAGGCCCCTCCTTGCCTGCGGTGTTGGGACCGGGGATGAAGTTGGATCCGCAGTGTAGATATGACGAATATTAGCCACATCGCTGAAAACAGGTGGAGCATGGCAATGTAAGATGTTGTATGAAATGGTTCTTCCTACCACGTCGTTCGTGATAGGTTTATGAATGGCCACCCTTCAACACCGACGGTCATTCGAGAACCGTCTCGTATCTTCGCCCTAACAGCTTTCAACTCCATCACATCCCAATTTGCCCGCACCAACTTTCTTCATAGGTAAGCCGCTTCGGAAATCGAGAGCCACAGCATGAATGTGCGGACGGTTCAGCTAGAAGAAGCGATACGTGAAATCAGCACCGTAGATTCCGCGTTCAAATAGAAAAAACGAGAAAAGAACAGGGGAAATGTTCTGGCCCTTCAGTCATAAAATTCGGGGACAGGAACAAAAATACAGTCTCAGCACTCCATGCAATTCAGTGACAACGGTTCGTAAACTAACTCACCAATAATCATAGGACACATCGCAGGCTTCGCCCAGACTTTCGAAAGAACCCTGTATCGACCATTCCCGGATGCGCGCTCGCCGCAGGAACGCTCAGGCTCTCCGCCGCCAGGAACTGCAGCGTCTTCAGCATCGCCATCTCGAGGTCAGATACGACGATAGACCGGGCGTGCTCGCGGGCGGGAAGACGAGAAGGCGCCGGCTGTGACGCCGAGCGTTGTTGCGTGCTCGAGCGCCACCTTTAGAAGGTCTAGCAGCTTCACGACATGGAAGATTCTCAAAGGTTTTCATCGTTGCGCTTCCGAAGAGGCAAGGTTATTGGGCGTGGGAGCCAGTGCACGCTTTGCTTGCTTTCTTCTTTGTGTGCTCCTCAGCCGTTGGAACGCTGCGCTTTCAACTGCCGGTCGCTTCTCGCAAGGACTGTTCTCATTGAGGGCCCTGATTGTTGGGCAGACATGTCATAGACTCTTCGAGGTTCAGAAGCGCAATCTTTCTGCCTCGGGATCAGAAGAATGTAAAGGTCCAGGTTTGGGCTGATCCAAGCCTGTGAGACGGCTGCGGGGGTTGCGATCAGAGGCGTATACAGCCAATGACCAGTATCAGATGAATGAAAACTGCTTTGGCGCTTTTTTCGTATCGAGAGCGCTACGTCTCGATATCTCGTCGTTGTTTTCGCCAGAGCCATACAATCTATCGAGTCCGGCTGGATCAAATGCTGTCATGTCCAGCCGAAGAATTTGCCTCCTCAAGTTGGGAACAAAGACACCACATGATCTTCCATTGCTTAACCTAGGTCATTCAATTCTCAAGTACAACCGATCAGGTTGTCGGAGTGACGACGGGCACTGACGAAGGAGTAGAAAGGTGGGGGGTGTAAAGGAGGTGGATCGTGTAAGAAATTTTGTTGGCCGTGGGGAGGAAGGCGGTGGCGGCTATGATGACGGATTTTGCGTTCGTCTGCGTCAGGATGTTGTTATTCATGTTATGTGAGGGTTTGATTGGAAAGTGTTGAGGGAAGAGAGAATGGGAGCGGACCTCGTAGGTTAAGATTGTCCAGCAATTGAAGAGATTGGCGGATGCGATGGAGGTAGGATTGGTTAGGTGGCCGGCGTTCAGGATCAATATGTTCCAGGTGCCTACTTCAGCGGCAATCTGATGCATGACTTTGTCGCCGGTGATTTCCGGCGTAGAAGGTCAAGCAAGTTGTGCTGTTGCTGCTCGCTTGTAGAGACTGTTTTGCCCGAGAGCGTGGAATCGGTGCGGCCGATCAGGGCGAGGCACCTGGCGCCGGGGCAGCGAACGCTATAGCGGCCTCGCAGCCAGTGCCACTTCCCTTGATGTAGGATTTGTCAGGTCTGCTTGAGATCAGCGCGGTGCGAGAGTGAGGCTCACAGCACCAGTGATAAAGACGGTCTTCCTGGCGCTGCTAAGCTCAGCGCGCTGGGGTGAGATGCCGGCGTAGGTATCATTCTGCCAAGTCGGCACTTGGGAGGGGAACTGTGGTTACATGGCTCTTTCTTGTTTGTACAAGTGTGAAGTAAAGGTAGGTGTTTAGGAGCGAAGGGGTTTATCATTGATGACTGTTTCATGACTCGGCGCCCTGCGTGCGACCAAGAGGGCGCATAACACATTAATTGGCCGACAGCGTAACGCCAACATGGCGTGACCTCCGTACGGCCGACTGCGTTTCTCCGTGAGGATGCAAATAATTCCCGACCCTTCGGAGTACCTGCTTCGTCTTTGTCCCGCAGAACCTCATCGCTTCCAACCAACGTACACTGCACAAGTATGACTACCCGAGATGCAAGCATTTGCAAGGTCGTGGGCATTGACCGTGTCAGCGACACCGACACAATGGCTTCTCCTAATGATTCAATCCAATTTTCCGTTCTTAGCCTTGCCCCAAAGACCCCCATGGCTAAAGCTTGGAGTAAGGGTTTGATACGCTGACCTCTTCCCCACGCAGAGTACAGGGAGTCGACGCTATCTAGCTGCCATTGACCCGCTGACAAAAAAGGGGTATCTGCAGACTCACAATATGGCGGCCCGGCCTCCAAACATTCTAATCTTATCATTATCACAGAGGCAACAGTGCTCAAAATCCTGTTCTCAGGCTCTTCGCCAGCGAAGAGCATCGCCAAAGGTGTTGGAGTGTCCATTGATCGCGAGACCTGTTCGATTGCGGCGAACGAAGAAGTGATCTTATCTGCTGGAACCTTCCTTACTGCGAAGTTGCTTAGACTATCCCGTGTAAGTGAGCCGAGCCAACTTAGAAATTTTGACATCCCTCGTCATCGAGAATGCCAATGTGGGTGAAAACCTGTAAAGTCATGTCATTTGTATGCGCGCATCTGAGCTTGGCCATGGTGTCAAAGTCGGAGGTCTGCCTCTTCAGAATTGTGTATAGCAAACAGAGATGGTCGATGACGCACCGCTCGTAATGCTCAACGAGAAGGACTTCTACGAGACCGTGCGCGTCATTTTTGACAGTCCATACGAAGCTTCCTGCAGCATTTTCATGATGATCATTGGCCTACCTGATTTTGCTAGTCTCGGTGTTATGCAGAGTACCCTTTTTTTTCGCGCGGGAGTTTTCACATCGCATCAGCAAACCCAGAGGGCAACCCTCGCATCGATCCTCGATTCTTTTCTGACACTCTAGACCTGAAAATCATGGCTCACCACCTGCTCGCTGTCGAGAAGTTTCCCTCGACCAATCGTCTGAGCGCTTTTCTCAAGAAGAACGGCCAACGCATCCCTTCAGATCGCGCAGTCACGGATCTCGAATTGGCACGAAGATATCTGAGTGAGAAAGCCGTAAAAACGTAGGACTCATGCAACACAGCAGCTATGTTGCCGCAGAAAGGTACCGTTCTGGATCAAGATTTGATTGTGTACGGTAGGAAGTATTTGCGCGTCGTCAATGCAAGCATGTCCACCACCAATTTCAAAAGGTCAGCTCGCTCATCAGATCTTTGACATCCACATGTGAGCCGAGCTCATCATAAGCGGACAATCGAGGGTCGCGACCGACGTCAGGGGCAAGCTCACTCACCAGACCAACAATATGCTCGTGTGAGTTCACAGCAACAATCATGAAGCGCTCGACATCCATTTTGTTGAGCAGTGCGACCGTACTAATGGGATAACCGCAATCGACTCTTTCCGTCGCTGTTTTAGACCCAATCTTTCACCCTATTGAACTATGAGCACTTGTATGCTAGCAGTCGAAAGCACGTGACTGTCGCTGACTGTATCACTACCGTGGTAAGATTATATAGATGCGGGAACAGGCCCAGAAGCGACATGCCCACACGCGGAAACCATGAAAGGCCTACAAGCGCTTTCTCACCCCTCGCACACTGGATGAAATGCTCCATCCCAAAGACGGCCCGGTCCATCGACGAACGCCACGGTGATGTCGATGATACTGCTTTACCTTAGCCTCGTGCTCCTGGTCTCCAAAGACGCAATCGCACTTCCCCCCCTCTCTCTCATCCAACCACCGTCCGAGATCGCGCAACTCAACTCGACGCTGTCACCAAACATGACGCACTCACACGGCCCCAAAGACCCTCTTAGACTGGTAAACGCATTCGTCCAACCGCCCATCGCAGTCACCTTTCAAGGCTACGGCGATTCCATCTCTCAAGGCCTCGCAGACGTCTGTCTCTGCAAAGCTCTCGACTACGCCCTGAGCACGCGTGACCATCCTTCGCTCGCCCCTATCGATGTGAGCGATCTTGATTATACGAGCGCGAATGTAGCGTTGAACTTCCATCCGGATAAGGTGGTGATTTGGGAAGAGTGGAAGAATGCGCTGTATCTGATGCTGAAATTTGTGGATGAGTATGAGACGAGGGAGTTTCTTTTCGCGTTGGAGGTCGATGGGGGGACGAGGAGGGAGGATTGGGATGTTGTGGGTTGGGGGTACTTGATTACGTATTGACAGTGTTTCAAGGGGTAGGGGATGTTTTGTGAATAGAAGAGGGGCATCAGGGGAGGTGGTAGAAAGCCGGGATGTAGAAATTGAAGCAGAAGTCACGCACGGGGAGGAGACGTTCTAGTCCTGGTTTTAAAGGCAAACAGGGGAGTACATAAAAAGTGGTTTGTAGAAGCAGCAGCGTTTACCTTTTGCATGATTACCGGACTGATAACGATGTAAAGACAGGTTTTTTCCTTTGCTATTCATCGCCTCTGCGCTTGCTATCCGTGCGCTTTGTGGTAGATAACGTGCTGTGTTTGCTAAGTGCGTCTTTCACTTTGTCCGTTGAGATTTCCCGTATCGCAGGCTTTCAGCACATATAAAGGCTTCTGGGCATATCCATTACTCTCCTCATTATCTTTCTACTCCATGTACCATCGAAGTTAGGTACAGAAAGCTTCTATATATATATTTCCACCTTTTGCTGCTAATCTCAAGTGACTGTTGGTTTCAGTATGGTGTCACAACATTCTAGTAATGTGCATCTTGTGCAGTGCTCTCAAGGCTGCACAAGGAGGGCTGGAAGAAGAGATGGCGCTCTTGGAAACTGACGTGGTCATATCCTAGTTTTTGGTGTTGACACCTTTTTCTTAGCATGTGTGTTGATGGAAATCGCACCAGACTAAGAGCTCAACACAAGGGCATGAAGGAGTGGGCTCTATTTAAAAGATGACGGCCTTCACAGCATCTCTCCACCTATTCAACTTCACAGGTCAAACTCAACCAAACCCTTCCACTTTCTGACACTTGACATTCCCAGTCTTTTACATTTCTTGTTACTACCCCACTGTACTTCGAAAACGATTATATCTTCCTATCCGGTTCCACAACCTTGGTTACGTTTGCGGTCATCGCGATGACACCGCCACTCACTGGGTTCTTTATGAGGGTTGCCGGCCTTGGCGATGTTCATAAGGAGATTGAGAGGCGGAAGCGGGTGATGAGGAGGGTTGGAAAGATTGGTATGTGTTGTGTTTAGTTTTGTTTGCTGGAGTGTTGGGCATATCCCTATCGACACTATGATGACTCCAATCATAATTTTATGTCGATCATATCATCGTTAGGGATTTGCAGAGTTAACTTAATGTACTACTAGGACCGCGTGATCGAGATCCAGTGGTTTGCCAAAGTGGCCAATCTTACAGGACTTCGTCTCCCAGCAGGTCAGTCCGTGATGATCAACAAATCACTAAAGGACCACGGTCATCTTCACGAGAGAATATCCGAAGTACGGACGGCCCACCACCATTTCCGAGAGTCCACTGGAGAGATCTTAGTCGAGAGACTTTGGCTGAATATAGTTTGGCTTGGAGGTGGGATAATGTCAGTTTTCTCCTCCGTAGTCCACTGGTTTGTGTGCGTCGAACAAGGCTGATAGTGTGCGCAGAACGACAAGGACTACATCGTTATCGAAGAACACCTGACTTGGCGTGAGCTGGATCTATTAATCCAGCATACGGGATGGCTGCGCGAGCGGAAGGAGCTGGATCTAGCGCTACGCGAATCAAAGAAGGAGGTTGAGCAGATGCAGAAGCTGTGTGAGAGTATGGCACCAAAGGACCGGAGTGACGCGGGGCGGAAGTCTGAGAAGAGACGTGAATGCGATGCTGAGCGGGCATCGGCACGTGATGACCAAAACCTTGACGGAGGGCATGCGCATGTATCGCAACCTGGAATACATATACATGTATACCAGACACAGAACAGCCAACCGCCAGCTCCCCGGGGAGCCTCAACAGCACAACCGATCCCGGAACTACCCTCACCTTCGCACCACAGCTCTCAACGCTCAACGGTTCCAGCCATGCACTCCAAATTGACTCGTCCGTGGTCTCCCCATGACCATACGTCTATGGAGCGGCCTCGTCAACCTTCGCGTCAAACGCATAGATCTCGGTCTCGCAGCAGAGCGTCACAAGCACCAGACGAGCTGCCTGGTACGTCATTTCGTCGTGCGCGAGAATCAGATGAGAACAGGCCAAGACGTGCAACCGCACAGCAGGTTTCTAGGCCCCAGGAAGAACCACTTAGCACCAGAACAGCCAGCAGACAGTGGAGGCACATACCGGCACCATCGGAGCATGTCCACTTTGCATCCCCACCTCGTTCTGAGAGCATGGCTAGTGAAGAACGCCCGAGACAAGCAGCCAAGAACGTGAGGGAACTTTCCCCGCAGTACAGACAACCTCGACGTGAGAGAAGCTCGTACTCTGCACAAGGGTCCCAGTCGAGGCGGGCATACACCCACGCCCCGGAATCGTGGTCGGAGGATAGGGGCGGTACAGGAAGATATGTGGGGGAAAAACTGCGATTTCGTGACGTGTAGGATTACGGCATGAGCTGAAGTATGCGGGAAATGTAGAAAGAGATGGATATGAGATACGAGAAGTTATAGACACCACGATTGGTCCTTAGTCAAGTGCATCCAACAAACTGCAAATGTCCTATAGAAACGCTCCCCAGCATCAGCCAGCGGCACCAGGCGGGTGTTTCACTCTATCGTGTCCAGAACATCCAAGTCACGTTGTCGATAAAGTGGCGAGTCTCACAAGCTTGGCTCCCTACCGAAAAGAGCAGTGGTGCATCAAAACATTCACAAAGGAAAGAGTTGAAGAACCGTATTACTGTAAATATTAGGAGGTTTACATAAACTTCTTGATTTTTCGTTATATGGCGTCTTACCCCATTGAGAACTAGCGTAACCACCTTGCCGTATCGGACGAAGCGGCGCTCACTTCATTTGTGCAAATTTCGACCAAAATCCTTACGAAAGGGCTGCCAGCCCAATTGATCGACAATGGCCAGCTCAACCGAGTCAACAACCGACGAACGCCTTCACATCCAAAAGTACTGGGCCAATATGCGGAGGAACAGCCCCATCTATGAATTCCTCCTTTCTGACATCTCACTTGTCTCCGCATCCAAAGGCGTGGTCACTGCGAGGCTCAATGTGAAACCGTGCCATCTCAATTCTAAGGGCACCTTACATGGAACCGTGTCCGCTTGCTTGACCGACTGGGCCGGAGGTCTGGCAATCGCAACTTATGGCCGTGAGAAAACTGGTGTCTCGACGGACATACACACTACGTTCATCTCCACTGCCAAAGAAGGCGACGTGCTTGAAATCGAAGGTCGAGCCGATAAGGTGGGAGGGACCTTGGCTTTTACGTCTGTTGAGATAAGGAAGATCGAGGAGGATGGTGCCGGCAGTCTCGTTTCTATGGGCTCGCATACCAAGTATGTGAAGCAATGATGGGACTTTTACTCTTGCGGTCAGGATTGAGAGATTGGGGGAAAACCGCATTCTTCTTTGCGTCTCACGTATGATATCAATTGCGTTAGACTTCACTCGGATTGCGAATATCAAGCTCCACTCTAGCTTTAGATGCCTGGCGGAGCGAAAGCAATGACGCTACGGCAATTCGAGTGGCAACAGATTTAATTGTGTCCAAGTTCTATATATATGCTGCGCTTAAGATTCCAATCAAATCGTTTTCCCCATGATGTGTCGTACAGTCAACTCGCTGGCGGTTTTAGCCGACCTGATTGAAGCCATTCAGTCCACAATCCTCCAATGCCAGCCGCTCGATGCTCGGCTGTCATACCCTGAGAGTCTTTCAACAAGCGTATATCGACTCTCCCGCTCTGATCCTCTCTCTGAATCCCAGAATTATGTGCGGCCTGAAGAACCATTGCTGGAATCTGGTCTATCTTCAGGGTCGAAGCGAGAAGCAGAAGAAGCCATGCTACCTCCATCCTCTGGTTCTGAACAGCAACGTGCAGGCCTGAACCCATTGATCCAATTTGATCCTGATACCTCAAGACATCTATACTGTGTCCTACACCTTGACCAGAACTCTCCTCATCCTCTTCTCCGGCGTCGTCATTGAGGAGGTCAACTATCGCCTCAACATCGCCCTCTCCGCAGAATTCTAGAAAAGCTCGACACCTCCTCTCCTCGGGGTAGGCTTTCAAGTAAGTTTCTTCAGTGAGTATTGGAAGCATGTCAAGCCTCTCTTGTAGGCCCCCTTCATTCTTGAGATTGCACAACAGCTGCTGTTCGCCTGAAGCTGTACTCGTTATGAGGTTTCTTCCGCAATTGGGGCATTCCGACATAGAATAAGAGTCGAGGAGACATTGCCTACATGACCCAAACGTCAGCATTAAGAATCTTCCCATCCAATAGAGTAAGACAAGGCGAACAGACCAATGGAAATGGCACCCACATTGCAATTGCACATCATCGTCGACGTACGAGCCAGTGATCGCACTGGCAGAACCTCCCATCGTTTCATCTTCATCTTCATCTTCCTCGTCAGGCGCAATGTACAAGGTCAAGGGTTTGTGACATGCCACGCATTTTGCCATTGTTGGTATCGCTTTGCGACTGAACAATGAGCCCTCGGGTTCACCTTTCAAATTCTTTTGACCTGCGGAATGCTTTCCGCGCGCCTTTTCAGCCCCATCGCAGGAATCCTCTTTCCAAAGTTGACAGTTCTTTGTAAATATCAAGAGCCTTCCGCGCGATATAAGAAGCACAATGATCTTGAGGCACCTATGGATACCACTGGCTCCGTCGATAACACTCGAGCCCGCGAGCTTCCGCAAGAGAAGGATACCTCGGAGCGCATAGCCATCCAGGCCCGAGATCTGACAACCCGTGGCCTCGAATTCCTCTCCAACGCCAGCAATGAAACCCTTGGAGCATGCATCATTGGACTTGGGGCTGTCACGTGGCTGGTACTGGGAAGGGTTGGGCTTGTCTTGATAGGCATTGTCGGAGGAGTGGTATTACATGCTACATGGGAAGGGGATATTGAGAACAATGCGAACGACGAAGCCAGAGCACTGGAAGCCAGTAAGAGGAGGAAGAAGGGTCTCGATATTGTTATGAGGGTACTGGAATGGAAGGAGAGAAAAGAAGTGGGCCGTGAACTTGACGGTGTGCGAGATGCGCCAACTGCAGCACCCTCACAGAAGGAGCTGGATTTTCCTGGCTTTCCACCCGAGACGAAGGGTGCTTTGATCAATTTGGTTGACACTATTATACGCGACTATGTAAAATGGTGGTACTCGCCGGTCCTTCCTCTGGAGAACGCCTTCCCACTCGCCTGCCGACAGACGTTGACCGGCTTTCTGCTGGCGGTATCAAACCATTTATCTCGCAAGCGACCCGCAGACACGTTCCTAGAATTCGTGACAAATTCTTCATCCATCGTCATTGTCTTCCTTAGCGAGCTTTCGAGTGCGCTCAAGTCTCCGGCACCCTCTGGCGGTGCATCAGAATCTGTACGCCGTTACCTAGAGGCCAACCCCAGCAGCAGTCTCGCCAACGTACTAGATGTCGAACAACAGAACAAGAAACTCAAAGCAGTGGCTCAGGACATACTACATACATTCCTGGACCGAAAGGTGTACGAATGTGAACCGGTGTCGGTGTTCCTGCGAGAGATTCTGGCCAGTGTGATCCTTGAAATGACAGTGACGAGCTGCTCAAAACCAGAATTCATCAACGAATGGATCATTTACGGTCTTGAGGAAAGTGATACTGAGATTCTCCAAGCCATAGATGCAGGCGTTGGAGGAGCTACTGCTAATGGAGATGTCAAAGGCGCCGTTGAGGCAGCGAAAAACGGAGTGTCTGACAGCCAAGTCAAGTCTGCCGAGTCACCTGATGCTCAGACGCAAGCGAAGACTGAGCACAAAAGAACGGTCAGCAGGGCGGAAGAAGCTATGGACGAAGCGATGCAAGAGGCGCAAAGGCTCAGCGAGCTGATTGCTGCAGAGGACGTCAAGAATCAGCAAGCTTCCGAAGAATATTTATCTTCTGGAGAGACCACCGACGCTGTCGCAACGCCCACATCTTCGCGAGATGATCTCTCAGCAATGGCCAACAGCTCTTCCTCAGCATTAGCTGTTGATGACGAGACAGGAACGGATTTCGAGTCCAAGATCGCAGAATCAAGCCCCAGCTTCACAACATTTGATCAAATAATATCCTCGCAGCAGCCGACTGCTCTTAGGGACTCAGAGACACAGTCATACGAAGTGCCACCATTGACCCTATACAATGCTAGCGTCTCCATTTTTGACGATTCTGTACCTGGGGAGAAAGGTAACTTGCGATCGAAACCTACAGCTGAGTACCTACTGCAAATCGAACCTGCGACATCTCAATATCCAGGTTGGATGATTGCACGTATCTATTCGGACTTTGAGACACTGCATGAAGTCTTACGGCGCATATCTGTAATTTCCGGAGTTGCCGCTTTCGCAGAAAGGCACCCAACTGTGCCGGCTTGGAAGAACAAGACTAAATCTGCTCTGCGTTCCGAGCTGGAATTCTACCTTCGCAGTGCGCTATCATTCCAGCGATTGGCCGAAAGCGAAGGCATGAAGCGGTTCTTGGAGAAGGATCAAGGTATCGGACGATCATCTCCCACTGCGAAGCAGGGCGGCTTCGGTTTCCCAAGTCCAGCAGCGTTCGAGACAATGGGCAAAGGCATGCTTGATGTGCTTTCCAGCGCCCCGAAAGGAGCCGCTGGTGGCGGCAAAGCTCTCCTGGGCGGCGTCACTGGCGTCTTGGGGGGTGTAGGGTCTATTGGGCAGAGAAAGCAGACTTCGAAGAGCCCAGTGCCGCGATCAGTGAATGGTTCTACCTCAGCGCTGCCCCATATAGACAGTGATAGACTGGCGAGACCAAGCTTCGTCCAGGAACGAGAATCACAGGAGAGTGCAAGCTCCTCGGCCAATGCCCAAACGGAAAGCATGAAACCTCCTCCTTTGCCTCGTCGACCCAGCCAGTCCGCACCTGACCATCAATTGGATCTCAAAGTCAGCGCGGCCCATCCGGCAGATGGGGTACCGTCAGAAGTGCGGTCCAAAGACAACATCCCAGCATTTCTACAGCATGACGAGGAGAACGAACTTCACCTACCACCTCCGCCTAGCGAGATAGCTGATGACTACAAGTTTTCGCAAGGCTCGCCTCGGCCATCAGTCTCCAATGATGACAGCAGCACTTTCCGTACATCCATAAGCACCGCCCCTACCACGCAAGCTTCACAATCCCGGAAGAGTACCCTTTCTTCCGTCACACCTGGCGAGCCACCCGCTCCCATCTTAAAACAGCCGCCGTCTATTCGGACTGCTCTACCCCTGACCAGCCAGGAAACGAGCATTGCAGTAGAGCTCTTCTTCGCCACAATTAACGAACTTTATGCTCTTTCCTCCGCATGGACTCTCCGCCTCACCCTCCTAAACGCCGCGAAGTCCTTTCTGCTCCGTCCTGGTAACCCAAACCTCGAAGCCATTCGCGTGTTGCTTCAAAAAACCATTATCGACGCCAATACATCTGACAGTGGCATAGCCACTCATCTCAACAAACTACGAGAAAACGCGTTACCGACAGAAGAAGAGCTTAAGGCGTGGCCGGCACCACCAAGCGAAGAGGCAAAAGAGCGTATGAGAGTAAAGGCTAGGAAGCTGCTTGTAGGGAAAGGCATGCCGCAGGCTTTGACCAGTGTCATGGGAGCAGCGGCTAGTGGAGAGGCGCTGGGCAGGGTTTTCGACTGTTTGCAGGTCCCCGAAGTGGCAAGGGGTCTGGTGTTTGCATTAGTATTGCAAGGAGTCAGGGCTGTTACACAATGATGATGATCCTTCGTTGGCGCATAGTTGGCGCTGTATTAACTACAAATGAGAGGGTACATTAACGCTTACGGGCGTGGAAAAAGGGCGTGCGAACAGTCTACATCGTTATGGATTTCATTAACCTCGTTCGTGGCGTAATGATGTAACAATAGGTCTCTTCTTCTTGTCCAAACTTTTGATACCAAGCGTGCCGCCGGAAGAATCACCTTTTTTGCGGTGCTGGGTCCCAAAAAAACTTCGTGACCGCTGTTGATGCGGAGTAAGGCTTCATCTGAATGGAATCCATATAACAACAACACGAGGACTTCTTAGCCTGATCCCATAATTTGTGTTCAACAGACAAACCCGGGCGCACAAGTATCCCACCTTTTCCTCGCCAATGCCAACGCTTCATCTATAGCACGTCAACGACGGGCGGAAAGTGCGGATCTAATAACTGGCTTTTCGCCCATGCAATCCGCCTCCTTTTGAGGACCTGTTTGGCGGGCATAGGATGGATGGCCAGACCATGGCTTGGCATGTGGCTGTAGACGCGCACACTTTTCGATTTCACCCAGCGGTCGCAGTTAGATGATCGGTGCATCCACGTGATGAGTGAAGCTCGAGATGCTGCCTGGATAGGGAGATACTTTGCTTGCTTGCTTGCTTGCTTGCTTGCGCCACGTCCACGCGTGAAGAGCTCAGATGCGCTGCGGATCCACCTGTAAGTCGTTTCGGAACCATGGTGCGATTCACAGCAATCAATCACTGGCGACAAAGGAAATACACCGAGTTTGCGGTCAGGCACGGATCCGATGACCCAATTCAAGTTACGAGTTCCGGTCATTAGTTACACGCACTAGCCGCCAACTGCTTGTAGCTAAACGTGACCGTAAGGCCGGAGTTGTACCCTTGCACACTTATCGCCTGGGTGCACTGTGGGATGGCCTGTGCGCTGAAGAGATGCCCGTAGGTCGTGGCGGTGAGATAGGTCGTGCCTGAGAGTTGCTACGTTGTGTCAGGATACATGACGCATTTTTCGAAAGAGGGGGAGGGGAAGGGCTTTCCGAAAGGGAACACCGGGAGGGGAAATGCTCACGCGGAAGAGCGAGACGACGTAGCTGTTACAGCCAAAAGTCGTGACGCCCGTGGTGGCGAAGCTGCAGTAGTCGTTATCGGTCGCGAACCAATCGCCTAAACAAACATAGTCTGGTCAGCGTATTCTACTTATACCAGTGGGGCTATGCCGAGCAAGCCAGAAAACCAAAGAGACGAAACCGTGAAGAACCCTCTACTCAAATAATCAGGGCACGTCGTACCGGTGGCGTCGCCATAGACGAAATATCGCGCGCATGCGCCATCCGTGACCCACTTCCCGTTCACGTCAAGACAGCCGTTGACGCTGGTTGTGGAGCCGGAGACCTGAGAGACGAGGATGTCGCCGCAGCCGGAGAGCTTGACGTCGCGGCGGGAGAGGGCGGAGTGCGGTTCTGGAGCGCGTGATAGGGGAGCAGAGGGCACGGGTAAGATGTGGGCTGTCGATGCGGCGAGGAAGAGGGGGAGGAGGTTGAAGAAGGGGGAGGTGAGGTGCATGGTGGGCTGCGGTTGATGTGTTTGAGAGGGGATTGGTGCGGAGATGGGGGGTGGTCGAGTTGAGAGAGAGGTGGATGTGAAGAGGGGAGTGGATGGAAGTAGTGAGGTATTTATCCTTTTTCCTCAGGTATCACCGCCCCCATCGCACGTTGTGTCTAGTTTCCTCACCGCCATGGCATTGACATATATTTGGTAGTCGCCTGCTTCACACTGATCCGTGAAGACAGCTGAAGGTTGTTTAGGGTTTCTCGGGCTTCTGGGCAGGTGGACACCGCAGTCTGCATCCAAAGAGGCTTGGCTTCAGCTCTCAATAAGAATTTACATCGAAAAGCGTGGCTTTTTTGGTTGTCTGTCACACGTAGAAAGCCATCCTAGTGGTCTATCGATTCGATTCGGTGGACCCAGAATAGGACTCTTGGCCAACTCATCGAAAACAAGTCATGGGAAAGTCCCCCGATGAAAAGCCATGAATGAATAAAACCGAACCGAGATCCACAGATCGTGCCAAAAGCAGACCTCTGGCTTGCATGGACTAGGAGATAGATATTGCCCGTCTCTAATATGAGTAGTATCCAAAGTCTCATTTTTTCCTTTGACGGAAAAAGATACGATTGATCCTGAAAACTTCGGAGCCTTCCGTTCGATTCTAAACCCCACCTGCCTATACGTGAGCTGCAGGAACGTAGAGTATGAGGCAATACGCGGACTGGTGATTCTTGAGGCGCGGCAGATGTTGATCTCGATTCTCAGCAGAAACCTGCAGAGTTTCATCCTGAGCCGAAAAATGCCTAGCAAATCGATCACTAAACAACACACGGCGCGAAGAAAATCTGACAACGAGAAACCATAAGCAAATGGGTGGTAACGCTGAGCCCATATACAGCCTGGCGACTGCTGGGAAAGGTTTCTCCCGGTAGTTCCCTTAGGACATTTGGCGTCGTTATGCGAAATGGACGGGCACCGGCAACTTGGATACCGATCCTTGTAATAGGCTCGTCAGCGCTGGACAATCTACCTTAGATTGCAGAAATTGGCGGTGAAACCAAGTCCATATATTCCATGACCGGCTCGTCACGCTAGACGATCCAGATTATAGAAAATGGCGGAGAAATCAAGTCCACGGATTCCATAACCAGAAAGGAATTCGGTGAGCGCAAATTCGCCTGCGGAAAATCGAATCGATCGGCGTCTGTCATTTCGTCTTGCCTGCGTAAGTAGGTTTGTCACAGTCAGAAGGCCATCCATCAATCATACGCTTGGTTGTTGTGAAAAAGGGTAGAAGGGGGGAGGTGAAGATCAGGTCCGATGTAGGTGCAATCCCACGTTTGCCAACTTACTTGCAATGCGTTTCTTCAATCCCCACAGTGGTGATAATTCAATAGGCCAGCTACTTATGGTGGTGCTAAGCGTCCTCGAGCGCTCGAAGTGGTCGAAGGCAATTTGAAAGGGTTGGTCTTTTAGCGTACGTCAAGGGGCCCGTACGTAAAAGCACCGGGTGAAGATTTTCTGGCCGTTGGCGGGGAGGAAACTCTGTCGGTCTTTTCAACCTCGCTGATGTCGATGTACCTTTTCAAGCCCGTACCAGGATACGTACTACTTGTCTCTGGCCATCGCCTATCTTTCAAAGGGCGGTTAGAATGTGATGACTGTGAATAATCGTTTTCAATTGATTTCTATGGCACATCTTTTACCTAAACCCAAGACACGGACTCGACAGTCCCCTCCAAGCTCCTGAAGTAAAAAGTCCGCCCTGCCTGCGCCAACGGTAATATACCAACTGAGCGATCGAATACTCCCGTAAATGTGTGCTCTATCCGAAAACCCGCAAAGTGAGAAGAAGAATCCTATGAATCACACGTATCAATCTCAAGATCCAGAGCCGATCCATTACCGATCTCGTAATCCTCCAATGTCAAAGAGTCCTTGAACGGGCGCTCGCCTTGTCTCTTCAACGTCATGGCTTCGGGCCTCGTGCCCAGATACACCGCGGCGATTCTTTTGAACGCTCCAATAGTGTCTGATGGTGAGCACAGAATCTCGGTTTTGGTACCGAGTCGGTTATTGATGAACACCCGTATGAGGACCTCGGAGGCTGTGGCTCTTGGAGACGAAGCGGCGTTCCTGTTGCCGTGGGTCGTGAGCTTCTTTTCTATGCGTGATCCGATAATGGTTGAGGCTCTGTCCGCCGATTTGTGGTGCTTGGCTCGAGGGTTAGGTGAGTGGCGAGGTTTTGTGGGGTGTGTTTGAGATGGTGTGGCTGATCGCATTTTTTCGGAAAAGGATGCTTGCGGTCTCTGGTCGCTTTGGTCCGTGGACGTGGAGGCAGACATGTTGCAGATCTGGTGATGATGAGATCGGAACAGGTTCGGTGGTTTACTTGACCCACAGTAGTGTCGAGCAGAGTTTTGATGCGATAGATGTTGCAAGCGAGGATGCTGAAGAGCTTATATATTTAATGTATTAGTTTTTCACGTAGTTCAAGGCTAGTATGAAATTCTCTGGTACCCCTTGGCATTTGGTAAAACTCTGCTTCTCGGCGTTATCCAATGGTCACTCTTCTTCGCCCTTCCATCAATCACTTTTGTCAGTAGCAACCACCATTGTGATAATTCTGCTCTACTGGTTTCTGTGGCACCACTGTAGGATGTTCATGGTTCGCGTGACATGCCCATATAAAATATGTTGACTTTCGTAGTAGACTCATTTGCAACCCTAAAACTTTCGAAAGACCTTATTATGAAATAACAAACACGCACCTACGGACCTAGGCCTTCAGTACGGTGATCAGCCATTATTTGGTATAGGGCCCGTACCAATAATGAAGCGATTACACGACTTGGGCCCGGGACCAATAACCCCTGAATACCGCAATACCACACGCCTTTTCGACAGCCAGGCCACGAAGTCTTCCTTTCGACTGAGCTTAACAGTCAATTATCACTATCATATACCGATCTTCCCTCCTATAAGCAACATCATCATTATTATCAATAATAATAATACCAATTCACTCTCGACACGGGTACTAGAGTCACGTGTTATTTTAGTCATTTAGCTTCAACGTCTTTATACGTATTAGATCTTAATATCTTGATATACTATAATAACTATATTACACTTACACTTTACTTTATATTAATTCGCCAACCATATTATATCATTACACCACATCTCCTTTAAGAGATATATCTCTTTTCCTTTATCGACTAGCAATCAGTTTACAACGCGAGAGAATCTCCATCTTTCTTCGCGTTTTCTAAAGATATCTTGAGATATATAGCATAAATCGTTCGACCTCGCTTTATTAAAACGTATCGACGTGATAATACTAGATCTTAAATCTCGGCCTTATCTATCGAGTAATAGATTATTAAGAAATAATAACCCTTAGTAATCGTTAGAGTAATCTCGCCGAGCAGAATAATTGATAAAAGAGTTAGGATTTGAATATTATTTTCTACGGGACCCCGGGCTTAGTAGAGTCCTTTATTTAGTCTATAAATACACATATATATATAAGGGTTACGGGTCAAAAAGAAGGATACGATATTTAAGTCAGGGCTCTGCGATTATAGGGGACCCCTTCAGCTTTTAGCTAGTCCAAAAAGGTTAGATAGATTAGTTACGCGTCTCCATAGTCGGCTATCAAGGTAAGACTTCAGGGTATATGATGTAATAAATCAATCAATCAATCTATTTGCAACCCTCAACGCATCGTAAGTACAGGATCGAATCTGTGGTGGAGTTATCAGTTTTTAATCAAAGCAGCTCGAAGCAATCCTCATGGACGCGGCCGCGCGCGTGGCGTTCATCGGCCCCATGTCGAGAAATGCAGGCACGATCGCTCACAACAATCGCCTGGTCGACCGCCGCAATACCGTCTTGTTTGCTGGCTGTCCCATCCTTACTGGCACAGCAGAGGCTGCCTTTACTGGCTTCATCGTATGTTTGAAATGCCTCTTGAAACACCGCTTCTTTGACAGCCATTGCGACTGAGCCACATACATACCTTCTCATCTATCATTATGATATAGAGCACTGACAGTCAGCTAAGAGAGAACACAGATGCTCAGCAAGCACATTGAAAGAATCGACAAGCCCATTGCTGGCTGCCAATGACAATATCTATACTACAGACATAAAAATACAATACAAATAAATGCCAAAACACAATAAATGAGATATCTAGGCCTTCGAATATGACAGCAAACATAACGGCCTGATGAGTACTCCACACCCATGATAGGAACAATGCTGATTCGTTGTCTTAGTTTCGAGCATATTTTACGATTTGCAACCACGGGCTAGCCCCCCAAGATGCGAACTGTTCTCTTCGCCTTGGGAGAAAGAGAATTTTGGGCTCGAATATGCGCAGGTGGCAATGGATACTGAGCTTTAATGCTCTAGAGCAGGTGAAAATAGCATTCGATTGCGCATGCCTCTTACTGATATGTAAGAAGATTGGTCAGAGGCGCCGACGCCAAATCAAAGTCAATGCGAACTTCGTGTCCTCTGTGCTGGCTGTGATAACGGCAACGAACCACCCTCCACCAGCAGACTTTGGTGGTACTTCATTAGACCAGGAGAACTGATGGTTTCTCTATTTTCTATTTTTTGTGCGTGGGCTCTGGTGTCGGCTGGGCTTTTTCTGGGGGGTCTGAGTCTTCTTGTTGCTCTCTGGCTGGGCGTCTTCGGTTAATGTGGGATCTTTCTAGACTTCTTAGGTTCGTTGTCTTTGGGAGTATTCTTTTGTGTCTTGTGTGTTGGTCTGCGGTTGTCGACTTGGGTCTGGTTGGTTGCTTTTCCGGCGTTCTAAGCCTTCCCACAATACAGGGATAACCTAGTCCTCAAATGAGTTTGAGCAAGTCGACTATAGCTTTGAAGATTCCGAATTTAAAAGAGAGCGTTTCGAAGTCTTATAGACAGATGCAACATGGTTGACTTGGGTCCGACTTCAGACTGTTTTCGATCTTGAGAATATCGGCAAGGGAATCTCCAGCCATGGTGGATCGCGCCAGCCGTGTGCGAGAAAGCGGTGGAAGATGCTGCTTTCAAACTAGAGAATTTGAAAGAATATGGAGATGCTGATGAATATCTGGAAAAAAGTCAACCTAGAGTGTTGAACGTTAAGCCATAGAATACGTGATATGTTGAGCATGAGAAGTTCTAACTTCGTCTTTGTTACGCGCCGATGAATCCGCTCGATAATTCCAAGAACAAATGCATAGGAAGCCTTCTGACTAAACCCCAAATTCGCAGCATGACTGTATTTTGAGGAGAAAAGTAGACGTGCGTCATCTTCTCGACTGAAGAAACCGATCTGAGGCGTCTTCATGAGATCAATGACGTTGTTGAAAAAGAAGAGTCAATGTACACGTCCCATTCACAAGATGGCAGATGACAAATGCTAGCTAACTACCTTAGTCACTCGGATGTGCCCGCTGGATCTGGTAACCCCGTCTGGCCATACACAGTCCTTATGCTCTTCGCATGATCCCACTCTCCATACGTAAGGTCGACTTCGAACTTCTCGCGGTCCTGACCATGATAACCTTGATCTCAAGCATCGCTAGCACCTGCCCAATACAGTTCCGCGGCCCATGCTCAACGGGCCGTCACGCTCCCTTGACGGGATACATTGGGTCGCCCGGCGTCACGAGCCAGCGTTCTGGAATAAGGTCGTCGGGTTGCTTCCAGTAGGCCGGGTCCCTGTGGACGGGCTGCGGGTTCGCCTAGATTAGGAAGCCATTTGTGGGAAAAAGACGGCCGGCGTCGTCAACCACGAGGAATTTGGGCTCACCTGCCCGGGTGCTTGAGACAGCGGGGTACATACGTAGCGTTTCTTTGATGACGGCAAGGGTATTAGGAGTTTTGTCTGTAGACATCAATCTGATGTGATTAGGGAGGCGATCATTGAGGCGTCCGGGCTGATGACTGAGGCGTGCTCGGCGCGAACACGCGCGAGGATGGCGTAATTGATGGCAAGAAGATAAAAGATGTAGCAGACTGTGCTGCTGGTTGTATCGTGTCGGGAGAAAAGGAACAATTTGATCTGACGCATAGTAAATTTTTTGAAAGTGCTGTTCAGGACTTGTGTTTTTCTTGTTGAAAATTCAGCAATGTATGTGGTCAAGATTAGATCGATTATCGATTTGTCCCTCTGCTGGAATGGACTCTCTTATTTTGAAGTTGGGCGACCCGTTTGTCTATTCCTCGGGAGACATATTTGTTTGTTCGCCGTAATTTAGAGCAGTGAACCAAAAGGTGAATAGGATTGTATCTCGTAATGTGATTGCCATCGGCCCCGAAAGTCAACTAGCGGACCTGAATGCGTACAGCATCTACCAAAGGATTGTTTTGCTTTTGAGAGTCGAGCTGTTTGTCTCTGTAAGTATGTCAGTGAAGGAGGAAAGCTTCCAAAGAAAGTGTCCCAAAAAAACAAATCTTCCAATGACGTCCATAGTCAGATTGTCCGTCAAATCCTTCATCTGGAAGGTTTTCTGGTCCTTCGAGCATATTCGTAGAATATCACAGAACTTGTCCGGCTCCTCCACTAAACTACAAGTCAAGTTCATCAGATGATTTGCGCTAAATCCTGGGTTAAAGATTCCTCTCCAATTCTTCCACAAGTTTCCCTCCATTGTGACTATGTCCAGCCCCTCGATAATGGGTTTGAGAAAGTATTTCAGGGCACGGTATTTTGGGTGCGTTGGTGTCCCTGGGTGAACTGATGTAATCAGCTGGTAGACGTTATCGAGATTTGGCCCCCACAATTCCCAGCCACCGTGTTTCCTAGCCACCTGATTTTGTACTGTACTTAGGACCTGGCCCTGGAGAGGTCTGGAGAAAATAATCCGTCTGTTCTACACAACACATACCTGATATTTGAACAGACCTCACGACCAGCAAGGACCGAAGGGCTAGGTATCCAAGTAATAGATGGGGCCAAGGTCTGGCAGTGTCTGTCGAATGATGTCGGGAAGGTGACGAGGATGTGCAGTTTTGGGCAGGGTACACGCAACCTTGTAGCAAAAGTCTAAATGTCCAATTATTGGGTTCCGTGGTGGCATTGGTTGGTAAATGTCTGCAAGATAGATGTTGCCAAGACCCCGCCTGGATGATATAACAGCCCTAGGATTCCAAATAGTACTCCGCGACTGAAAGGTTGAAAAAAGAAATCTGAAGGAGGCCACGAAAAGAATCGTCCCAAACGCGACGGATACAGATGAGTGGTCTTTGAGCCTCATGTTGGGCTTTCAATCTCTCGTTGGTAATAGGAAAGGCTAGGAAAGAGCTGCGCACTTGAAGCAAAGGAGCCGTGAGAAAATACATCCAGATCCTACTTCGTCACATGCACAGGGTAAGGTAGCTTTCAGCCTCAATAGCGTGTATTGTAGCGAGTATGAGAAAGTAAATTACACGTATTTTTTTTTACCTAACAAGGCTAATGCAGAGCTCTAAGGTACGACGGAGAAAATAAAAAGCACCGCAACACCATTGTACCAGCGCCAGTAGGAATCGAACCTCATACGAACTAAATACCTCTAATAACAGACGGCCCGGGTCGTAGGATCTTGCATTCGCAATCTCGCCTCGTTACTTTCCGTTAGCATGCAAGTGCCTGCTAGATTTATTAACGAACCGTACTGCACATGCGACTCGCTCTACTCCGTACACATGTTCCAATCCTGCTTGTTTTATCGCATGTTTCCTAGCGAGTAGGAGCTAAAGCGTATTACTCCTGAAGAGCGTTGAGAAACAAAAATTGTTCTAGACCTGTGAGAAAAGAATGCAACGCAGTAATTCAACAGGGTAGCATGATGGCTTTCGGAGCGTAAGGTATGCACCGATACGGCACCCACATCGTAACACGCAGTTGACGCTGAGTCTCAATTCCGGTCTTCCTGAGAAGTCAACAAGCAAACGGCTCACTCTGTGACGTCCAGTAGTGGTATCGTCGTAGATGGGGAACGAGCGGACGGTGTGGCACTGGTCGACTTGAAACCTTAGATACTCCACTTTCTTCAATGAGTGGACTCATAAGCTCCATGACCGAGTAAATTAAGCTGTATCAGCTGCGTGCCTCCTTGGTGCTTGATTGGAATGCCATGGTGTTGTTTGCAAAGGAAAAGCTGTACTCCCAAATACATAATAGTCTCGCCGAGTTTTCACTTGCCGAAATGGACTTGATAAGCAGGCAAGGCGTCCAAAAAGTGGCAGTCTGAGGCACTAAAGACTGTCATTCTCATGATTTCGAACATCGACTCGGAATCAACGGGTAATTATGACCAGATAGCGCCAGAGAGGACGTTAGATAGCCCATGGAATTCCTCGTTGATGCTCCTCTAGCTCAAGTTTTGAGTAATGGGACTGTTTCATGTGGCAGCTGACATCTTGTCTGTAATTTGACGTGGTGTAGCAAGAAGGGTAGAAAGACTTGGCTCGCCTTACTCGTAGCTCCTTGGCGAATTTCAGCCCTATCACGAATTGCTTCGAATCCTGTACAATGTTCTCATCGTGCCTCTACGAGTACGATTTGTATAAGCTCTATCCGGTCCTTACCAAACATGTTCGGGGCCCTCAACCGCTTCATATCCCGCCTCGACTCCGACGCCCCCCCTCAAACCTCCCGCGACAGCTACGGCGCGTTTGGCTTTCAAGTCCTGCGCAACAAGAACAACGATATACCCATTGAGCCCTGGTACGACTTTGTCGTCGGCATCAATGGGCGACAAATTGAAGAACCTGACACGAACTCTTTTGCTGTTGAAATACGGAATTGTGCGGGCTCCAATGTTGCCTTGACAATCTGGAGCGCAAAGGGTCAACGCGTGCGGACGCTCCAGGTTGCTGTTCCGACACCCTCGCCTACGCTGGGCCTCACGCTGCAATGGACACCGCTTTCCTCTACCGAGGATGTCTGGCATGTCCTTGATGTAATCCCTGACTCCCCTGCTGACATAGCCGGGCTTTTACCCTACGGCGACTACATAGTCGGGACACCCGAGGGCAACATGCGCGGTGAAGCAGGCCTCGGAGAATTGGTGGAGGACTATCTATCTCGCACCCTCAGGCTGTGGGTCTACAATCACGAATACGCTGTGACGAGACTCGTCACTATTACACCATCTCGCAGCTGGGGGGGTTCAGGAGCTCTCGGCTGTGTGCTGGGCTTTGGGGCACTACATCGACTCCCAGCGCCATTAAACGAACCGCCTGCTGGACCGGGCGAAACGCTTTTTGAGACAGCGCGTTTCAGCAACGAAGAAAACAGGCCACCTTCTGCCAAATTGAGATCTTACCCCTCGGGCAGCTCTCTATACAAGACCAGCTCGAACCAACACTCCAGTGATTATCTGGTGCCGGCAACATTGGCTACTCCGCCTCCTCCACCACCTACGGGGGCTACTACACCTGGACCCCCGAGGGCGGCGAGGAAAGCGAGAAAGGCTGTGTCTCCGAATTCGGCGTTTGATGAATATTTCAAGGAAGGGGAGCAGAAAAGTAAGGAGGAGGATTCTACTCCAGCTGCGAAGAGTGCACCGCCACCGCCGCCGAAGATGGGTGGGCCACCGCCAGCAAAAAGTCCAGAGCCGCAAGCTGAGGCTCAAGCCGACGAAGCGGCTTCCTGAGCGTTGTGCTATGATTATTACTCGAATTGGGAGCCGCCAATTTTCAAAGCAGCTGAGCGGAGCCACGAGCTTCACTTCACCTCCGACCTTTATCTTACATATGGTCATCATTGTGATTGAGACCCGTGCTTCATCAATATCAGATCATAACGAACTCGATAAGACACCACGTCGAAGCAATTCCACTATATTACAGCTTCATCTCAGCTGCCAGCTCCGAGGTATCATGTGATAGAAGTCAGTCCAGATTTCGAGCCATATTCCTCCATGTTGCAAATGCAATGTATGGCAAATCGTCTCCAATCAAGCCTCATGCTGGATGTCTCACGACTACAGCTTGACCATCAACACGACACCTTCACTCATCGTCACTCGTCTCCTCGAAATTCTTCTTCCCGTTGCCCTCCACCTCTTCATCCTCCTCGTCACCGTCCTCGTCCATAGCCGCCGACGCACCCGCGCCGCTATAATCAGGTCGTTCGACACTCTGGCCTTTCTCCGCCAACACGGTCTCGATGTGCGGGAGGAGCTTGATCAGGGTATTGAATTGTTCGACAGGGAGGGAGATGCCCTAACAATCCGAGACACGTCAGCGTCCGCCGAAGACACCGTCGCCATCGAGTCCGATCCGGCGATCCATAGAATTATATCAGATAGCCGCTCGAGCAAAACCATCACACATACCTTCTTCCCCGGCAAACTCTCCCCATCCTTCTCGTAGTACTCCCGTATATTAATCATCGTCTTCCCTTTGAACTCACTAATCCCCACCCGCCGCTTCCCCGCCAACTACCATTTCATCCCACCGTCAGCCAATATCAACAACCACCACCACACTACCCATCCAACAAGCAGGGCCGACGTCCATACCTCCCAAAACTCCCCTCCTTCCTTCTTCCCCCCTTCCTTCTTCCCCCCTCCTTCCTTCTTCCCCCCTCCTTCCTTCTTCCCCCCCTTCTCCGCCCCGCCCCCCTTCGCTTTCTTGCTCCGGGGCGCCTCGCCGCCGTCCGACTCGTAGGTTTCGGCCGCGGCGCCGGTGGATTTGCGCTTCGGCATTGCGGGTGATGGCGGGTTGGAGGTGTGATGGGTTTGGTTGACTACCGGGTAGGGAGATGGACGCGGTAGGAGGTCGCGGGGTTGGGGTTGGGGTTGAGGTTGGGGTTGGGGTTGGGGTTGAGGTTGGTTGATTAGATACCTATGTATTGGGGTTGGACGCGAAATGGTACGCGTAGCGGAACCGGGTAGTGGGGGTGAAGTCCGACCGGGAATGATGCGGCCATGGGTTGTGGACCTGGTTTATCTATAGCTTGCTATGTGATGGTATTACGTTTGTAGGAGCAGAGAAACAGCCTTCAATGTTCGCCCGCTATACTTTTTGTGTAACTGATGCTATGCAATCATATGCGTCTCCATGGAACAATTCCTCCGCCTCCGGGGCAAAAGACTAATAATCCGTGAACGGACACCCTTTCGCCGCTGAATCCTCATAGGTCTTCTCCTTGACGATCTCCCTCGTCAGCTTCATCAAGTTTTCCCCTAGCTGCTCATCCTGTGCCATCGCATGGCCGCTCTCCGGCACGGCGGGAGGACATATGTACTCTCCACTCTTTGTCGTAGCCGTAGCAGCGAAGACGGTGCTGACGCATCCTTGCATGATGTTCTTCTTGAGAGGCGCCATGCCGATGGACATGGCGTAGCCGCCTAGGGGGTATGGCTCATGGATGTCCTGCGAAGACATCTTGGTTTCGACGAAACCGGGGTGCGTGGCGTTTACGAGAATGTTGGGATGCGAGGAGGTGAGGTGACGGTTAAGGTAGCGCGAGTAGAGGATTGCGGCGAGCTTCGAGCGACCGTATTGACCATTTGGACCAAGGTCTCTGTTTAGCTCGTCTAAGGATTCAAACTTTGTATCTGAGGGTGTGGCTTGGTGGGCGTTCGAGGCCTGGTTGCTGATGCGCACGGTGTTGCCGTTGGAAGCCGTCTTCTTCAGGATGGGAAGCAGGTGCGAAGTGAGGATTACATGGGCCATGTGGTTTACGGCCATCTATACACAATTTAGTACAGCTTCCGCGACTGGAAGAATAGGAGACTGACGTGACGGTCGACCCCATAGTCGGTTAATTGGTATGTCATGATCCCCCTCGCTGCATTATTGATCAAGATGTCAATCCTGTCGGTACTGCCTGCAATCTTATCCGCTGTCTGCTTCACTTTCTTCCAGTCTGAAAGGTCGCACTCCAACCATGTAACCTTCTTCGCTGTCTCCTCGCCCATCTCTTCCTTGATGGCATTGATCGAGCCATCGACCACTTCTTTCGATACCGAAAGGATGAAAAGTTTCTCGATGCCGTGGGCGAGGAGTGTGTGGCTGGCGCCATAACCAATACCTTCAGACCCACCAGTGATGACGGCGACCTTCCCCTTGAGATTGGGCGTGTCGTCAAGGTCGAATCGCTGGCCTTCCGGCACCTGTTCATGAGACCCCTAAGCAAAGTTCGGTGTCAGTATGTCCCCTCTAAGGCACGTGAATGGAAGCTAAGATGAAGCCAAGACGAGGGTGGGAGACATGATAGCAGTATTATTCGATAACGTTAGTGCCCATTGAGGGGCAGAGAAGGAACATACCTGAATGCCCATATTCTGGGCGACAGTTTGCTTGATTGTCTCCATAGCTTCTGGGAACGCTTTGCTGATTTTTGACTGGGCACGGTTTGGACTATGTTCGAGCTTAGTTATGGATGAGAGAGTAAAGGTGCGAATTGTATAAGTGGAAGGTGAGTATCGTCTCAAAGGTGGAAGTGAAAGTGTTCGCGTAATTGACGATGTCGTCAGCATACAATGTCTTTCAATTGATTGGCTGAAGAGGTGTGACGTCATGCCCTCAAGGTCGGAGTAAGCTCCGCAATTAACGCTTCAGAACCTACTTTACTTTAAAGTGCTTTAGCAACTGACGTAATTAGCTCTCAATTGTTGTAAGGTAGATGGATGCACGCATTAATAGAATGAGGATGAATGGAAGAATAGGATTCAACACCACAAGTTACAAAGTCATGATTTCACCAGGTCCGCTAGGCCGTTTCGAGAAGTGGCACTTGTCCTTTCAACAACTTCGCTGTGAGCAAAAAAGGTTTGGGACTTGAGGATTGTCAGCCTTTGCTTTCTGTATATAATCGTACTTTAAAAACCTACCTCCACTCCCGTAACATGGATTAATTGCCTCAAAAACGACATGACCTATGCACTGACTGCAAGTCACCGAAACTCCTTCTCTTTCTTCTCCAGCCGTACCATGGTGAGCGCCGAACTCAATTTGCACATCTCCACTGGATTTTTCCCGACCGCATCCCACAGCGCCTCCACATCGCTGCCGAGACCACAGTGCTTGGCCGTCTCCATACTCCTAGGGTCGACGAACGGTGCCAGAGGTGGCCAGATGCCTTGGGCAACGTCGAAAAATATGTCCGTTCCGACCTTGCCAATGCCTTTGATTCCCTGCAGCAATTTCCGGACTTTGATGGGGGACGAATCTGCTTTCTTGAGGAGATTGTTGAGATCGTTGTCTGTACTCGTGAAAGGAGTCAGTGGCAGGTTTTGTGTCGGAGAACCATCGTTGAGATATAGCGCACCGTATTCCTTCTCTATAAAGTCTGCCATTTCGCCCAAGGCTGTAGCTGTCTTCTCGCGGTATCTCGTGTAGCCACCTTTTGTCAAGACCTCAGTCCGCTCCTGCCATGTACTCCTTTTCAGCGTTTCAATATCTTGGTAGCCCGCTTCGATCAAGCACTGGAGGCTCTTGTATGCCAATTCGTGGGAGATTCGTGCGGAGCTGAGCATGGCTAGGTAGAGCAAAGCGAGTACGGTTTCTGGCGTAGGTTCATTCCGTCTGGGGAGGCTCGTATCTTGTAGAGGGTGTACACCGTAGCTTGATAGAATAGTATCAAGTTTACTCATGTCAACGGCGGATGGGTTTGGCTTCGTGTCTTCAGGTGATGTCGAATCTGCGGTCTTACTCTTTTTTGAGACAGGAGCTTGCTCATCTTTTGCATTTTCCACGTCTTCCACATTGCGCTTCCTGTCCTTGCGCCTGGTCGTCTTTCTTTGGTCTTCTGCTGTGGCTGCACTGCGTCCTCGAGGCTTGGGTTCTTTCGGGGCATATATTGGTTTCGATTCGTCAGCGTGTTCTTGGGCTCGAGTGCGCGCCATTAAACCTGTTGAACAGCAGCAGCTGGCAGAAACTTTGTCCGGAAAGACTTTGCAACACAAGAAGAAAGGGCTGGCCACTGTTTGCGAAAAGGAAGTGATAGACTCGGTGGGCGCGCTCAGACCATGATTTGCGACACTATTTACGTCATCGCCATAAGGAGGGCAATATTGAGAATGCCCTCACTGTCCGTCACTACAGTCCTGCGTTCATCTCTCCTATCGCTATTCTCAAAGATCTATGATGGTGGGAAGGATGGCCGCGGATGCGGGCATGCGGGCATCCTATCATACTTCTTTGTCAGGCTAACCAGCCATGTAACAATGGCAAAGTAGCAGCGCTACCTCGGTCCAATTTCCAGCACGTCAATTAGACAATTAGATTAGGTGGCAGTACCATGATTGAATCGCCATTTCAACTCTTCCACTCGCTCCACGTTTCAAGTCTAGATTTCTGGATTGCCGCGCTGCGTGCTGCGGCTTCTCGAGAGAGAGCTTTCCGCAAATGGTTCATCCTTCCGTCGTGCAGGTAAATATTGGACCTTTGCGCAACTCATGTAGACCATTTACATTGTATAATTCAGCGTAGAAAGACATTCAGCGTAGACAGACATGACTGCTAGTATGCTTGGATACGCCGCAATCATTTCCAGGCTCTCCCACCTCGCCCAAGAGACAGAAGCACACGAGCATAGCTTGCGAAGGCTGTCGCAAGCTCAAGGTACGCTGTTTGGGAGGGGAAGCAACAGCAATTAGTAGTGCCCCGGTGGTTGTACGGCGTTGCAACCACTGCGCTAGTCTATCGAAGCATTGCGTCTGGCCTCAAGGGGATGGCAGGAGAAGAGGAAGGACTTCTTCTCCAGGCAATGCCGGTGGACGAGACAACATCTCCAGAACACGCAGAAACGAGAATTCTAGTCTACCGTCCATTCGACCCTCGATTCCTCCTAGACCCCCAATATCCACTGAAAGCTCTCAAGCTCTTAGAGCACCAGCAGGTCATGGGATCCCGCCCACCACCGTTCTTCCCGCAGCGAATGGAGGCGCCAATGGCAAGATTTCACTTGGAGAACGCTCCGATTCATCTGCCAGTGAAACCCTTTGTGCTACTGTCCATTACTACCGTCATTTAGGCCCTACGGCCATGGCGCCTGGTCACAAAAAGATCAGCCAAAAAGCCAGACATGACTACGATGGCGAAGTAAGGCACCCTTCCGTTTTTTCTCATTTCCACCAAGGTGAGCTGCTACCATTGTTCAGCTCTACTGGTTTGTTACTTGATAGCTTCTTCCCATGCATATTTGGACAACATGTTTTTCGTAAACTGCAGGCATCTTGACTCACTCGTAAAGAATGGCGAAGTATCTGTATTCCTTGCTTGTGCGATGTCAACGCTGTCCTCGAGATTTTGTCGGAAATATCCAGAGGCTATCTGGCGCCCAAAGGGACCGGATCGCCGAGGGGGTCTTGGGAGTATTCAATTCTGTTCCTGCAGCAAATGAAGTCGATGCTTGTCGCGGCAATTCATTTGCAGTCCACGGATGTCGTTGCCGGATTGTTAATGCTGTCTTATGGAGACTTCTGGGACAACAACGAAGCAGGTACGAACAAGGGTGCTTCCCAAAGTCCACATTGCGTTTATTAAATACGGAATGGTGGTTTGTTGCAACTATATATGCTGCCAGAACTCGTTCTACAACTCAAAGACACCCCAAAAAGGAAGTGCCGACTCCAAAACCATTCAGTGGCCCAAGAACTTGGGCTACATCAAGAGCAGTCATGCCTCGATACCGGTCCAGAGTTGCACACAGAGCGAGACCTCAGTGGCGAAGCTTCCAAGCCCTGAATTCAGTCAAAGGACATTGACATCAAAGAATTTGAAGCATCGGCAAAAGTGATGCTCTTCTGGTGCGTCTTTATACATGAAACCTCATTAGTCAGCGATATGTTTCACAACTCTGCTGTTAAAGCATGACCTTTGATCGACCATAGCTGACTGTGAGCTTACAGTGCAGCGGAACTGGCCGAGCTCCAAGCTTGAAAAGACACGAGGTTAATATAAGGCTACCGGACAGCGAGGACATTACAATCATTCGAGCAGGGCCCGGAGGAGTTACTGAGCCCCCAGGGCCCGATATTCATCTTCACACGACCCGTACGATGTTGGAGTACGCACCGTCATTCGATTTTCTTAACATTGGTTCCAGTCAGATAAGATTTCAATTCGACTCAGATTACAGGCAGCGCATGGATATAATCGAGGGGTTGAAAACAAAAGATCATTCAAGAGTACTGTCTATTACCCAAGGAGATTGCATATGTCGCGGTGAATTAACAGGCTACTGTAAAAGCAAACCAGGCAGGACCGTATCTTAGTCTCCACTTGTTCTACCACCTGCAGATCGCCTGTCTTATTCAAGAAAGCCCCGCCATTGACAATGAAAGCCTCGTGAGGCCTCCTGACCGTACATTTACCAACGAGGAACCCATTGACCAAAGTCCAGGTCTAGACATTTGGAAAGTCAATCAAGAGTTATACAGAAATGCCATCAAGTCAATAACGGACATGCTGACGTTCGCAAAATTGATCGACGATAGGGCGCTTCTGACTACCATCTTCATCAATCAGTCCTTTTTTCACGCCGCTTGTGCATACAGCCGGGATATGCTTCGCGGTCAGAGTAAGGGCAAGACTACCCTCCCGAAAGATCTTTCACCTTCTGCTTTCCCTATACCTAGTCAAACATCACCATCTATGGCCTTCCAATTCGACAAGATCTCAGGGTCTCACACAGCATCTAATGCAGCGACCGAGTCGGCTTACTCCTTTCTCTCACTTGTTGCGAAGGCCAACTACCAATTCTTGAGACAAGCCATCAAGGACCAAGCCCGGATATATGCTGGATCTGGATGGGTAGACGCCGTGCTTGATCAGCGAGAGACGGATCTGAGGGATGTTGATTTGAGTGTTGTCAGCGTGTCAATCAGCACTTTCATCAGACTGCATGATCTTTGAGAGCTAGGAGGGTCAAAGAGTGCGCTCCAGAAGGTATGCCAGTCCGACGCTAGCAGGTCCCTGCTATGAGAGGCATTTCATTAAAATATGATTTCAGTTCGTACCGTCACCCGCGGGGAACAATCCATCGAATCTTTTGCTCGAATCAGACAACTTGCGAACGGAATTTGAGTTCCTTGCGGATACTGAGCTCAACTTCGATCCTCAGTACGACTTCCCCTTCCCTAAAATCCCTTCTTTGTATGTATTCGGGGGTCATGAGGCATGATGCGGGATTTCCATAGTCCAGACATATGTTTCATGCCTCCATTTCCCGTCCAGGAAGAGTAGATACTGACCGGAGGACTTTATCAGAGCTTTCTTCGATGATCATATGTTTGCAGTGAGAATCATCTGTCACCTCAGCAAGCATACAGCTAACATAAGTCCATGTAGAGCTTGCAAACCAAGACGGCGATGGTTCTGGACCAATCGATTATGGCATTGTCTATTGAAGACTTTCTAACGCTGCGCCAAGCGAGAATTCACATTAGTCTCTGCTTACCGGAAATCTCAATGACATGGGCATGATATAGGAATTTTCGGACCCTACAAACACACCAGGGATTTCTGTTATAATCCAGGAGAAGTGCAATGTCTGGCAGTTTTTCTATGCTATCGGATGAATTTCGATTCGGGAGTCAGCTCCCAACACGAAATTCCCGATTGGGAATAAAGCTGCCAAGAATCCTACCTTCCTTCCCGCCTCCACGAAGGTAGGCGTCCTGCCATGCTTCTACTGGTGCGCATGAACAGCCATGGCAGGAATGCCGTGTATGGCAATCTGGCATCGTTATATCTCTCCGCATGCCTGGTGCCATGGTGTCGTTCATCAGCTTTGATCTCGGGCCGTTACCCGTCAAAGATTGCTGCTATTTACCTGCAGAAGCGATTGACCGTTTGCCTGATACACATCTTTGATACTGCTCTGATCAGCGGCCACGCAAAGTGGCACCTGGAATATCAAGGTCTTTGGGATTGCCTGTTTCGCTTGCGTTGGAGGCTTTGTCTATGGATACAACCAAGGTGTCTTCTCTGGGATCCTGACCGTGACCTCGTTTAGCAGCCACATAGGCGTCTAGGTGCACGACCAAACAAAAAAGGGATGGATGACCTCCATCTTCGAGCTCGGAGCGTGGTTTGGGTGCCTCTATTCCGGGTTCTTGGCCGAGACGCTCTCCCCGAAAATATGCCATCATCGCCAATGTGGGCGTGTTTGTTATTGGATCTATCGTGCAGTGTCTTGGTATTGTTGGCGCAGCTTCTTGCATCCTTGGAGGCCGTTTCGTTACCGGTCTTGCAGTCGGCGCCATGTCTGTCAACGTGTCCAACTGCAACGCAGAAGTTGCACCTCGTGAAGTTCGAGGCAGCTTAGTAGCATCGCAGCAGCTCGCTATCACAGGCGGAATCATGGTTAGCTTCTGGATCGACTACGGGACCAACAATATTGGCGGCACTGGGAGCTCCCGGTCAGATGCAGCATGGCTAGTACCCATGTGCTTGCAGCTGATACCTGGATTGGCGCTCGGCATAGGGGTGCTTTTTATGCCGTTCAACCCTAGGTGGCTGGTGAATCACGGCCGAGAAAGTGAAGCCCGCAACGTATTGTCCAGCCTTCGTAATTCGAGCGCAGAACATGAGCCGATCGAGCTTGAACTCCTGGACATCAGGGCACAATCGGTCTTCGAGAAACGGACCACGGCTAGCCAATGGCCACACCTTGTGGAGCTTACACCTTGAAATATCTTCAGGTTGCAGTTCGTGGCTATTGGTTCACCATTCGAGACCGAGGCCATGTTTCGGCACGTCATCGTTGCTACGGTCACCATGTTCTTCCAACAATTCACGAGCATCAATGCCGTCCTCTACGACGCACCGTCCATATTCGCAGCCCTGGACACCTCCAGCAACAATACCAGCCTCCTCGCAACGGGAATAGTAGGCACAGCGATGCTTCTTGCCACCATTCCTGCCGTCCTTTACATTGATAAGCTAGGGAGAAACCCCGTCTTGCTCACGGGAGCTGTGGGCATGGCTATCCGTCACACAATCATCGCCATCCTCTTCGGCATAAAACCAGCATCAATGGGCGACCCATGAAGCAGCCCGCTGGGCAGCTGTCACCGTGGTGTGGCTTCTCGTCGTCAACTTTGGCTACAGCTGGGGCCCCTGCGGTCGGGTCGTCATCAGCGAGTTGTGGCCCCTGTCCAATCGTGCTTCCGGTATCGCTCTGGATGCATCCGCGGATTGGATGTCGAACTTTATCGTGGGCCAGATTACGCCCATTATGCTGCGGAAAATTCCTTTCGGGACGTTTATCTTCTTCGGACTTCTGACGTTTGGAGGTGGAGCGTTCATTTGGCCGTCCGCGCCCGAGAAAAAGAGATTGACACTGGAGGAAACGGACGTGCTGTTTGGCAGTAAAAGGATTGCTGAAGCTGTGAGTCTCAGTCCAGTCGGCTGATGCTCTCTGGCTTCTATTTGCCCTACTCCGATCGGTCCACCGTTTTCCACGTTTACATACGCTTACTTAATTCTTCAACGTCTAGGACTCCCGTCGCATGGCAGACGTCAACAAAGAGATCGGTCTCGAAGACGTCTTGCGGGGTATGGGTATGGGCATGGGTCGAACGGACGCAGGCGGCGAAGTGTCGAGCTCCGACGAGGATGAGAAGAAAGCAAGAAATTGAGAGTGTGGGGTGGATGGGAGGCTACATTGCGAAGCTTTTGGAGAGAAATCCTATATACTGAGTGAACGAAATGTTCTGAGCGAAAGCGTGCATCTAAATATCGAAATCACACGACAGATAAAGCGCTCGACATACAGCACCACCACCGCTGCGTTGTAAATCCGCCTCCCTCATTGCCCAACTCACCCCCCACCCCCCCAAAATCAGTGCCACATCTGATAGCATCCCCTCACTGGGCAACCACAATCGTCATCCCATGCCAAATGAAACGATAGGCTGTATGACGAGACCCACGCTTAGACAGAATGTGGGTGGTGGGATGATCGGGTAGGGCTGCCGCCAGCGGTGTCGAGGACTTGCGATGCAGATGTCAGAGTTTGAGAGTCGTGTGATGGGTGTAAGGGGGGGTTAGGATATGACGGATGGACGGTGGGAGGGGGGTTTTGTTGTGGCGGAAAGCGGCGCGGGGTAAGGTGATACTTTTCTCACTCTTTGGGGGTCGGATATGCGCGGCTGGGCGATCTTGTGTGAGGAAGGGAAGATAATATGTGCTGGGGCGTGGGCTTCTCTTTAGTAGTGAAAAGCTTGCCAAGTACTGGTTTTTTGACCACGTTTGATTCTCAGGGAGACCCTCTCGGACCCTTCGGAGACTCTTTAAAGGCTTTTCGAGAGCTTATATCGAAGAGGCTGTTGAAGAAAACTCAACATTTAATTATTTTGATAATATTTGATTGATTTCGAGCTTGCTTTGATGGTTCCTTTGATATAAACTTTTAAAGAGCTTTTGAAAAGAGTTTTAAAGAGTTTAAAGGTTTTTGAGAAGTCTGACTTTAAGAATTAAGAGAGATGTTGTTAAAATCTCTTTAATTCTTCGAGAGCTTTTATCGAAGAGACTCTTCTCGTATAACTTAATAATTCATATATCTTTACGAATACTTTATTTACTTTCGTCTACGTTATATTATTTAAAAGCGTATAATTAACTCTATAACTTTATAAGCTTATTTTATTACTATATCGTTAATAATATAAAAAGAAATTAAAAAAGATAGATTTAAGAATTTTATAGTTTTTTTTTAATTTCCTCTTTTGAATATACTCGTATATACCCGCTTTTAAGTTGAAAAATAAAGAAATAAGATAAGTTTTAGCTTTGGAATTATGGAATCTGAAGATCTGATTGATCAACTTTAAATTTGTGGTTGTCGAATATTTTGTGATTTCAGTCTTGAGTAATGAGAAAGCAAGCTTTTCAATCACCATTGTTCCATTGACGGCGGAGACTGGCGTTGAATCTCCGGTTAAGAGAGTAAGAAGTAAAATACAATTTTGTTGTTCAGATATCCTGTCTCATCAGTCTTCGTTGCTGCAGGATATTTATAATGTTATCGCACCACTGCGGGCCATGCATGCCTGTTATCTATGGAGAAATGAAGTCAACGAAGGGGCAATATAGCGATGGTATTTAAAAAAGATTAAGACTCGCTAGGTCTTTCCTGGAAAGAAACCGACCATGACAATACTTCACACCTTTTCCTTGAAACCCCCATATTGCACCATTTCGACTTCTTCGTCGCTACTAACCCCACGTTCTCTTTCCTTGACTGCTCCCATCTTGTGTCCGTCGAACGCATCGACATTCGAGACATGCTCAACGCTTGTTATTCTCTCAGACAGCTTGCTGCCGCCCGAAGCGTACGATGCAAGACCATGTCGCACAGAGGTATACATCTTCCGTGGAGAAGGTACACGTGTGATTATCGGCCCTAGCGGAGGGAGACAAGCTGCAAAAAGGCCAATGGAGACTTCGACGGTGGTCCAGAATGAGGGAGGGGTACGATCGTGGCTGGTTGCGCTCTTTGAGGGATGGAAATAGACTAGACTATGTCAGTAGCAGCTCGCAACAAGGGCACTGCCGGTCATGCGAATCATGGTGGGGGGGAGATGGCCATACTCGTGAACGTCTTCGCGACGAAACCTAGTCTTACAATACCGAAGAGGAGCGATCTATTCAGTTTGGAAGTCAGTGTTGGCAAGAGCCAGAAGGTATTTTGTTTCCAGGCTCACAGCGTGCCCAGCATGAAGATGGCACTCAGCCCGACCTTTTCCCTCCGGCTCATCTGCAATGCCCGGATACAAGGATAAGGCAGCGTAAGCACCGCAATATCACCCAGCACATCCGTGATAGCGAACCATAGCACTAACCACTCCTGCGGTGCACAAGGATGACCGTGATGGGAGTCAGCGCCGCATGTGAAGGCCTCCATTAACATGAAGACAAGGCCCCAAAGAGTGATGATGACGATGAGAATATTGTTGAGGATGCGGAACGTTTTATGGTGATAGAAGATTCGGCGGTAGAAGAAGAGGACACCGAGCTTGATGCAGCTGTATGTGAATTTTTCAATTACCAGGGTGGCGTAATCGAGCTGTTGAGATCTTTGAGTTAGTGAACTTCTTGTTACGGTCATAGAGGTAGAGCTTTGGTCTGGCTGTCTTGACAACCCACCTTGCCTTGGTTTGCGACGCGCCAGTCAACAGTCGGTTCACTGTCTCTGCCAAGCTCTCCTATGACGGCCGCTTTTCACAGAAAACGAGACGGTCAGCACAAGCTTTGCGACCTTTGCCCGCTCGGACTAGGGCGGAGAAGTTCGCTCTCACCGGTGATTTGGCTAGCAGCTTGCGCGAAGACCAAAAGGCAAGAAAAAGCAATCAGGCAATCATCGATCCCCACAAAGCTGGGCTTGAGGCGAAGGCGCACAAAAAATCTCAAGCATACCGCTACCAGTCCAAGTAATGGTAGCACAGTAGCGGTAACGATGAGGCTAGCGACTCCGTACATGATGAGAGCAGGCCTCTGATGAATGCTTCAAAAGACTTCTTTTCCGAGATGAGCGATGTGAAAGGGATAGCAAGGTCGCACTAGATCAAAGGCTGATTACCCATATACAATCAAATTCTGTTATAAGAGTATTTGTGATAAGAATATTCTGGGGGGAAAAAATGCATCTTGCCTGCGAAGCCATGTTCTTATAGAGAGGGCGGAGCGTATGCCGTGATACCCAATTGTAACCCTGCCCTGCGACCCTAATCACGTTTGCGAGATCACGGATTCAATCGGGCGTGAAGCTTATGCCTTTATACATCTCTTTTGCCAGTCACAGACTCAGGTAGGAGCTTCGCTCTACTGCAAAGATGAGATCATCAAGAAATGACATTAATGCTCGAATGAGGTTTGGGCGTTTTGCCGGCTTTCTCACCGGATGACTTAACATAACAGGCTCAGAAGTCAGGACCGGACTGACGAGCAACGGAAGATACCATTGCTGCCGACTTCGAGTGGTACACTAATTAATCTTCATAGCTAACTTTCAAGAATGGCAACAAGCATGAAGCTGAATGCGATGGGTAGGATATGTTTGACAGATGTTTTTGATGGAATCGTCGGAGCATCTCGGTGAGGTGGTGCAGCCTGCAGGGCAAACTTCAGCCACAAGATGGAGAAGATTTTCTTCTGTGTACCTATGCATGGACTGAAAAGATGGCTTGTCGTTCAATCCGATTAAACAGTGCAATAAATATGTGCTAGGGCGCGGTACTTCCCAGTAGTAGAAAGCTTGTCGATACCGTGGGAAGACTACACACCCTCTCTATGTGCTTCACCACTAAATCACTCTAAGCATTCGAAGACTCTCAGAGAGCTCTTCGAGAACTACTACCGAATAAGCTACCGATGTAAACCCCAAGTATAATAAAATAAGGCTTCAAGCTTACTTAAATAGTCTATTTAATAATAATTCTCGAAGAGCTTCTAGAGAGTCTTTAAATAATTGGGAATCGCCTCATGTCCAACAGACTTTGCCCGTGGCGAAATCGCTAGAGTGCTAGTCATCACAAACGGCTTCATTTTTGTTGGCCATAGAAGATTTGGCGCGCCTTCGGTGCCTTTCGCGATGAATGAAGATGAAGTGCTTGTGGTATTTCTTCCGACTTTTGAAAATATCGCCGCTGCTTTATGTTTCAAAACTACCAGTCGTCTCAGCGTGAGTCTAGTCCGGTCATGTTGGATTTCCAAACGACCTCTTTCCCTCCTTCTTTTTTCTGAACGTTGCATCCTCCCGGAGGCGGAGCGCTGTCATCCGCTGAAATACGAGGAGCTGGCGGCGCTCGCGCTGTCCTGGGGAATCTAAGCCAATCTGCGACGACGGCTGGGAGCTAAATGGACTGATCGGCTGAAGTACCGTATTGTGAGGCTTCTCCAACGATATCATCACGGCCTTGGGTAATGTCCAGGTCGTAGCTCCTCAAAGCTTGAGAATCGGAAGGATCATTCTGAGTACGCACCGAGCATTGGCCCGAAGCCGGCTTGCGTCGGTCATTTTCATTATAACTTGGAAGCCCCTGACTGCTTCGACGGTTCTCACTTTGATCACTGGGAGCGCCTGACCTTACCGCGTTCCAGCGAGACTGGAAGGAGAGAGGTTGGAGTGGGGTTCGGGAAAGTGACTGGCCATTTAGTACGTGTGAACTCACTGGATCCCAACAAGACTGAAACGACAGAGGCTGGAGTAGAGCTCAAGAATGAGGTGGAACACCGTGCATACAAGAGCGTTCTCGAGGTCTTACTTTGGAACGCAACGGTCTAAAAGAACTACCGAGACGTGCCGACTGAAGAGATACTAGGGCGATAGTCGTGGGAGTTGCTTGGTCGCTTGGTGTATTTTTACAGCTTTGAAGCCCTCATAGACGAGTCTTGCGCTGAAGTGAGCCGCTCGCGACGCCGAAAAGGAGGGGCGGGTCTCGATCTGGACCCCGAATTTGACGAATAACCATCTGTTGAAGTATGCAAAGATGTTCTCACGAGGGGAAGGCATGGCCTGAATGAGGTTGGCAATGTCTCTTCAACCTCTTCAAAAATATCTGCCTCATTCCGTAGTCCCGACCGCAGATTTTCTGCTGTCCACTCTAAGATACGATCCTCTAAGATTGGAAGTTTATGACTGAGTGTCAGAACCCTTTACCAATCCACTCGTGCCTTAGCCTCTTAAAACTTGACTTGCAGGCCGCAATTTTATGTACTTGCCAGGTTCCTGCTTCTGCTTTCAGCGGTCGAACTTGGTGTTGAGGATATGGTAGTGTCGCTATCGCTGGCTCCTACATCCGAGATGAAACTTGTTGCCGGCTCAGTAGCATCATTTCCCTTGTCGCGCCTGATGGCAGAAGAACTGTCAGAGGCGACATCCGGTTCGAGAATTTTCTCATTGTAATGGGTTACGAAGAGGTATTTGAATTTCCCCTGGTGATCCACCAGTCGCATGTGCATTATTCCGGTCTTGTCCTCCACAACTTGTAGCCATGAATCCATGGTGACGGAGTTTTCTTCCTTTGTGACCAATTGGAAGGAAGGGTCCCCATGAAGTAGTTCGTGTATGATTCTCTCCTTTATCGGATCAAATCATCGTCAAGGCGATATTCCACGATATGCATTACAAGCCCAAACCATGTCCTGCATAATGCAAGAGGTACACAGGAAACCTTTCCTTGTGGATCGGTAAAGTGCAAAGCTGTAAAGCTAAAAGCATTACCACGGATGTTGGAAAAGAAAAAAGACCCAGTCGTTGTATTTGCTGAAGCGTTCTAATGTGGCTTAATCTTGATTGTCTCTCCTAGCAAAACGAATACCTTAAGAGGCGCGCACGTGATTACAGAATGATGCGTGATAACCTGTATCTTATCACGGCGGTCGGTAGATTCTAGAGGATAGCGTGACTGCAATAGAGCGCGTACGGGATCACCTTCGAGATCTCTGGATGTAGTATGCATTCTGGGACACTCAGTCAAGGAAGCAGGCAAGCTGACGAAGATCGCAGTTTTTGACTCCAGATCTTCGTCAACACACTTCAGAGCATGGGGTCGAGGTAGCGTCCATGTACTAATTTTTGCTCGCACGTTTTCTGGACCTTAATCAAGAGATCAAAAACCGGTTCCTGGAGATCGACGTCGTCGAGACCGGGAGCCTGTTTATTTCCAGTGCGTACTACTTGAGCCCCGGTATAAATCAGACCGGACGATGACGAGTGGGGTGTAGAATACCTGCATGACTCGAGCATTGAATGCCCAAAAGCTCATTCCCTCGCTCTCGAGAAGCGTCCAACAACCCCCAAAATCGAATTTTGTCATTGTTGTCTTCCACGGCAGCGTTGCTGACCGTCACTGTGAGATCGTCCCGACCTTCGATACGAGAGACCCACGAAGGGAGGGACGCTTGCGGCGAGCTCCGCATTTCTCGGTCTGTCAGAGGCCGGTCAAGATGTTCATCGTTATTCAACCGTTGCTCTCCTTTCTCTCATCTTTGAGAGACTTTCGACGGTGTCAATGGCGGGTGTATTGCGACCGCTTCACGAATGACTCGAGCTCAAAGTTTGCAGTGCTTCGACTGGGGGTTGGTCCTTCATTAAGGTGTAAATCCTGTGTCATTCCAGTTGTTCGCGAGGATAGACATCTGTTCGGTTGGCAAGGGAGGGTTCCCGGACGCCTTGATTGTGGGTCGTTCGATCACCATGCAAAAATTGCAGTGCTATTCCAGCTGTTTGCGAGTCAGGCGAGCGGTATCCCTGGATCCTAGGGGAACCATCATCTGGATCGACAACGGAGGATCTTCAGCCGCTCCGAAGAGCAGGTTGACCACCAAGCAAGAATTCCCGTGCCATTTCAGCTGTCCGCGAGTCAGGAGAGCCATATCCCTGGCTCCTTGTGAAGCCATCTCTCCGAGTGGCTATGGAGGTTTCCCAGGCATCTCGATCCATTTGGAAGACGATGTCTATTAGTGTTCGACATTGCTGTCGACGTTGGAGATGTCTTCAGCCTCGCCCATGCATGCAGGTCTCTAGCTTATTTCAGCTCATCAGGCTGCGGCGTTCCCTTCTTTTTCTCCTGCTGTACGACTGTAATTGCGTTGCATAGGCGTCGTATGTTAGGATAGTAAAAGAGCATGACCGCACACGGTTGGAGTTTCACGAAAGACTTGCACCAGTCCTGAGAAATAGGTGTGGTTCCCCAATGATGCCCAAATGCGAATTTTGCCCCACTCTACGTCAGCTCCGCGTGTCATAGGTGGAATAATTATCGAGGCCGTGGGCTGCCTAGATCTCCAAAACCAACAGTATTAATTGCCTGCGTGGCTGAGTCGTTCCACCATCAGGCAGCGGCTTTGGTTGAATTGTTCCCCGCGCCTTCCGCTCTAAGTTATATATCCAAGAAAACTATTCGTGCCCAGCCTCATCAGAGTATTGCTTTACCACTTTCACAACTTCAGTCATGAACGTCATAAAATTACAAAGGTAAGAGATATCTTAATAGCATGAACCTACATTTCACCTCCAATCAAGACGTCTTGGCCCAACAGCGCATGCTGACGCTTCTGCAACAGAAAATACCCTCAATTCCAACAACAAGACATATTCGGCCTACAAGATGCCTTTCGCAAGCTGGATGTCGATGACAAGGGATACATAGATGAGGCTACGGTAATAAAGGCAACACAGACGTCGGAGAGGCAGCCATATGATGTGGTTAGGTCAGCGCTTAAAGAGGTGGAGCTGGACAGCTCGAGGAGGGTAGAGCTGGACGACTATGTCGATGTACGTCTGAACTGGGACAGACTGGCAATTCAGAGAAGGAAATCATGACTGAACGATAAGCTGACTAGCTTCGTGCTCTAGCTCATATCCAAAGTCCGCGGCCAGCAGGCAGCGCCAGCCCAGAACAATATACCAAGCGGCCGAGTTAGGGGTATGAGCAGTGCCGCAGAAGGTAGCAGACCAGCGCCTATATCGGGACATCAATCTAAGAGCAGTGTTGGGGGAAGGATACAGGTTCAGGGCTCTTCGGCCAATGTCACACACACAATAAATGAGGATGAGCGGACGGAGTTTACAAGACACATCAACGCGGTGCTGGCTGGAGATCCAGATATCGGACACCGCCTGCCATTCCCTACCGATACCTTTGAGATGTTTGACGACTGCAAAGATGGGCTGGTACTGGCGAAGCTCATCAATGATAGCGTGCCGGATACGATTGATGAGCGTGTATTGAACAGACCTGGGAAAAAGATCAAGACTCTGAACGCATTCCACATGACCGAAAACAATAACATTGTCATCAACTCAGCAAAGGGCATCGGGTGTTCGGTGGTCAATATAGGCAGCGGGGATATCATCGAAGTACGGGAGCATCTGATATTAGGTCTCATCTGGCAGGTCATTCGGCGAGGGTTGCTGGGAAAAATTGACATCAAGCTACATCCCGAGCTATACCGACTTCTGGAGGAGGACGAGACGCTGGAGCAGTTCTTGAGATTACCTCCGGAGAAAATTCTGCTGCGATGGTTCAATTATCACCTGAAAAACGCCAAATGGGACAAGAGGTATGCTATTCATTACCCGCCTCGTGCAGTTTGGCTTATTTTACTTTCAGAGTGACCAACTTCTCTACCGATGTCAAAGAAGGCGATAATTACACGGTGCTCCTCAACCAACTAGCCCCCGACATCTGCAGCCGCAGCCCTCTCCAAACCCGCGACCTCCTTCAGCGTGCCGAGCAAGTCCTTCAAAATGCTGATAGACTCGATTGCCGCAAATTCTTGTCCCCAAAATCCCTTGTAGCTGGAAACCCCAAGCTCAACCTTGCCTTCGTCGCCAACCTATTCAACACCCACCCAGGCCTCGACCCCATCACCGAAGAGGAAAAGCTCGAAGTGGAAGACTTCGATGCAGAAGGTGAACGCGAAGCCCGTGTCTTCACGCTATGGCTTAACTCCCTTGATGTCCAACCAGCCGTTAACTCCTTCTTCGATAACCTTCGTGACGGCAGCATACTCCTCCAAGCTTACGACAAAGTCGTCCCTGGAAGCGTTAATTGGCGCCACGTGAACAAGCCTCCAGCATCAGGCGGCGAGGTGATGCGCTTCAAAGCAGTCGAAAACACCAATTACGCTATTGAGCTTGGCAAACAAATGCACTTCTCCCTTGTTGGCGTGCAAGGCGCAGATATCACCGACGGTCAGCGCACACTGACCCTCGGTCTAGTATGGCAACTTATGCGCCGTGACATCTCCGAAACTCTTTCTGCACTCGCTCAACGACTTGGCAAGCGTGAGATTACGGACGCCGAGATGGTTAAATGGGCAAACGAGCAATCAAAGAAAGGCGGCCGCAACAGCAGCATACGCAGCTTCAAGGACCAGGCAATTGGCAGTGGTGTATTCTTGCTGGATGTACTAAATGGCATGAAGAGTAGCTATGTGGACTACGACCTCGTGACGAGCGGGAAGAATGACGAGGAGGCTTATGCGAATGCTAAGTTGGCGATAAGTATTGCCAGGAAGATGGGCGCGACCATCTGGCTTGTGCCAGAGGATATTTGTCAGGTGCGGAGTAGGCTTGTCGTTACCTTTATTGGTGAGTGGTCTTCCTTCTCTTTACAGGGATCAAAGTTGCTGACTTAGGATTACAGGCTCCCTTATGGCTACTTACGAGAAGATGTAGCCCCTTCCGGCTTGCTTGCTTGAGCAAAGTGTATTCTAGCAAACTACAGCGAGAAACAGCAATACTGGCTCGAGACTTGCATATTTGACCTTTCATATCGAGAGTGACCGTTTGACAGGACTTGCAGCCTCGCACCGCTAAGAAACCCTGCCATTGTAACGAAGGTCTATAGCTACCACCTCTATCAACTTAATCGTCGCCGCTTATATGGTGCCGCGAAAGCACAGCGGTGCATAACCCGAAGTGGGGATCCAAACACTGGTTCCTAGAAAGCGGTGAAAGTCAGCGTGTGAGTCCATCTAACTGCTCTGAACCTGACAAATCCTCCAGGCGGCGGTTCGATTCGATCTATGGGCGTCACATTTTCGCTTTTGACGTCTGAATTCTAATGGCTTTCTCGAGGAGTAGATTCGTGCCAGGAGGGTAATTGTTGGCAAGTGACTAAGCGTTCTTAGAGGTCAATTGATCAGAAGGTGCAGTGGTTCAAACGTTCGGTCCTTTGCTGAGCTCGTTGAGCTCTGGCAGAACTCTGCTGGAGTCTAGATCTGAGCTCGGGATTTCAAAGCTGGCATTACCGGCTGGGTGAGCGTACTCGTGATTTCGAAATATCGATTCTGGACACGGTACTTTGTCGTCAGTGCTCATCCGGGATTAAAGGGTGGGATTCTCTGGCGTTATTTGAGTATTGGCTGTGCTCGACCCGAGCAGTAGTAAGCAGCTGCGTGATGATGCAAATATGTGTTGGCGGATATAACGGATACCCATGCACACCCGAAGCCAATGTGGTATTATTTAGCATTTCCCCGCAAAACCAACACCGGCATCCAGGTCAACAGCGAGTCTCGAATATCGATATAGACGGCAGACAAATCATTTGACCATACCTGCATCCATGGCCTTCGGCGGGCAGAACGGCAGGTCAACAGAACCTATCTTTGAGCCTCTACGCAAGCTGAAGGTCGTCTGCGTCGGTGCGGGCGCTTCTGGCCTACTTCTGACCTACAAGATTCAACGCCATTTCAGTGATTTTGACCTGCAAGTCTTTGAGAAGAATGCTGATGTTGGTGGTACATGGTTTGAAAACAGATACCCTGGGCACGTTTTCCCTAGCCCCCAGTCAATGCTCAAGTTTTGGAATCTAGCTAACTATGGGAACTTGATAAACCATGCTAATGCATTCTTTCAGGTGCGCGTGTGATGTTCCTTCGCACTCTTATACCTGGTCCTTCGAACCCAAGACCGACTGGTCAGCAAGCTATGCTACTGCGAAGGAAATATATCAATACTTCAAAGATTTCTCCACCAGGTATGGCCTGGATAGATTCATTAAGGTGAACAATAAGGTCATCGCTGCAACTTGGGACAAAAACGTTGCAGAATGGCATGTGAAAGCGGAGAATACTATTACCAAGGAAATCACTGAGACGTCTTGCCATATACTTGTCAATGCTGGTGGTATTCTCAACGCCTGGAAATGGCCAGCAGTCCCTGGTCTCAAGGACTATAAAGGGCAGCTGGTTCACAGCGCAGCCTGGGGCGAGGATGTCGACATCAAAGGCAAAGTCGTCGGATTGATCGGCAATGGGTGAGTGCATCTCAGCAAGGGTGCGGAGAACTACTGAACGGGTTCCGCCTCCTTCCAGATCATCGGGTATACAAATCCTGCCGTCCATCAAGAACGATGTCAAGCACTTAGTCACCTTTATTCGAGAGGCAACGTGGATCTCACCACCCTTCGGCCAAGGTTACGAGGAGTACACTGATGAAGACCGAGATCGATTCGCCAGAGATCCGGAGTATCACCTCCAGACCCGACGGGAGATAGAGGCAGGGATCAGCGGCGTATTCGCCCAATTCTACGCCGGCTCCGAGGCGCAAGCGAAATCACGTCAGTACATGCAATCGTTGATGGAAGCCAGGCTGGCAAACAAAGACCTTGAGAAACTTTTGATCCCTTCATGGAGCGTTGGGTGTCGCCGCCTTACACCGGGGGTTGATTACCTTGAATCTCTCACTGCTCCAAACGTTACTACCGTCTTTGGCAACATTACGCATTGTACAGAGGCAGGGGTCGTATGCGAGACCGGGGACGAGTACCCTGTCGATGTCCTCATCTGTGCTACTGGATTTGATACATCATACAGACCGCGATTCCCTCTTCTAGGCACGACCAAGACACCGTTGAGTGACGAGTGGAAAGGTGCGTCAAGAAAAAAGATGTTTTTGTTCCTGGTAGACCCCCAAATCACTGGCTAACCCTCATTGATCAGAGGAGCCTGCCGGATATATGGGACTGGCGGTGAACAATTATCCAAACTACTTCATGACGCTTGGGCCCAATAGCCCCATTGGCAATGGACCACTGCTCATCTGTGTCGAGGCAGAAGTTGATTATATGATCAAGTTCATGTCCAAGTTTCAGAAAGAGAACATCCGGTTTGTCTTTCCACTTTTCTCGAAGACCCCGAAGAAAGAGCTCAGATCTAATGAAACGCATCGTGACGTAGGTCTTTCGATGTCAAAGCCGAAGCGGTGGCGGACTTTAACGAGTGGAAAGATGCCTTCATGAGCAACATGGGTCAGTCTCCATCCCTTCACACATCCCTTTCGTATCCAAATATCTCGCTCGTCCCGCTAACTTGCCCCACCGACCTCCAGTCTGGACGGAAGATTGCCGCTCATGGTACAAGGCCGGTAGCATTTCTGGCAAAGTCGCCGCACTCTGGCCTGGGTCGAGTCTCCACTATCTGGAAACCCTCGAGTCTCCTCGCTGGGAGGATTGGAATTTTTCCTACATGCCGAACAGGAACCGGTTTGAGTATCTTGGCAACGGGCTCAGCTCGGCGGAGGCGAGACCCGGTGGGGATCCCAGTTACTATATCCGCAACAGGGACGATAGCCCCATCGATGTCTGTCTCAACTCCAAGAAAGCTGGTGGAAATGAGCTCAAGACTGGACTTGAGAATCGTGCTCGAGACAAGACTTGAGAACGGGATTGAGAATACTTTTGACAAATGGGTCAGAGTGTGGGAAGCAGCGGAGTTGGATACGGAGAACTAGAGCCCAAGCTGATGTACCGTTTCAATTGTGCAGTATCTCACATATAGATTCAACTGTTCTATGACTCGCAGACTCGCCATCTGAGCAGTAGTGGTCACAAAGACGGCGGGTTTCCTGTCGCCAATATTCCGTACGGAGCTTTGCGCTGCGGTCAGGGAGCCGGGGTGGTCTTGGGAACAATACCCCTGCAGCCGATACGCTTGAATTGGGAAGCTGGACTGCGATAACGGGCGCCCGTCTGAAGAACGTAATATGCTCCGACTGATGTAACAACTCATCCTCCTTGTTTCCCAGCTAAAACGTTCTCCGCGTAGGAGACACATACAGACACAGACCAGGCACGCGCTGTTGCTTTGACGTTCCTGAGTGTCAAGAGCGCTACGGTGGCCCCTGTTGAAGCCGCGTTTGGGCTCTTGGATACCTAAAGAGTTCGTCGCCAGGAGCTGGATGAGTACCTGAGCAAGATACTTCTTGAGGTTGGGAGTAAAAGACCGGAATGCAGGTGATCCAGGCTCTACGGGTCGAAGAAGAATCAGGTGGTGGGAAAAGGTGTCTCAATGTAAATGTAAGGGTCTCCTTGGTTCAAACTCTCTGGATCGAATTCTATTCACCTATGCTTTCGCGCGGTGAGTGTCCCTTTCAAAGCAGCGTTTGATTGACAAAACATTTTCCCACGTCCCTCATCCATTCAAGCGGAAACCCGTTCTAACAGCCCCTCTAACTATTTGCTCGCACCCGTCGCATTCATTCCTACCATGGGGCTCCAGACAATCTGACCATAACTGATCGATCTGGCCCCCCTCCCTTGGATCTCCCAAAGCTCAAACGTTGCCGTACACATACTCCTTTCGAACAGAAAATTCCCCAGTGCCGCCAAAATCTCATTCGCCAAAATATACGTCAACAGCCCCAAAACATTATCAAACCAAAGGTGCACACCCTAGTTGTCATATTCGAAGCTACCCCTTTCGTGGAATTCTTCTCTGCGTTGGTGGTAAACATCGAAGTTGCTAGCCGTTGTGCCGACCACAGCGGCCAGGAGATTGCGCGCCGGTTCGCGGTAAGCGTACTCGGTTAGGGAGAGCCTGTGCGTGGTATCGATCTGTACTGTAAGTCTGGGCGGATTGGAGTTTGAAGAACCGTTTAGACCCGGCGCTGTCGGGGTTTGGATGATGTTGATGGTTGGTGGTGCTGCCGCTGAGATGCACGGGATAAGGGCGAGGAAGACCGCTGGAAGCGAGATGAAGAGCGTGCAGATGAATCTTGGCTTGGACATGATGATACTTGGGAAGATGAGAGTGCTGAATTCTTTCGGGATGAGATGTATTGGCGCTGGTTCATAGGGATGATGTGGTATCCGACAGCTGGATTCTCGAGCTGTCCCGACCTTTTGATCAAGAAACGCTTTTTGGTAATTGCATTTGTTACACGACTTGCGAGGCGTAGAAGAAGCAATTTCGAGCGAGTGTACCGCTTCCATAAACAAAGATTGGCCATAGTTTGAAGGTAAGGACTTCATCCGCGTTGCCAGTGTCATGGCTGAATTTAGAACAATGCCTTGTGGAGACCAGAGACGCTTCTCGTACCTTCGGCTGCCAGGATATGTACCGGAACTTCAGTGCAGTTGAATCAAATCAACACGATTTCGAGAGAAAAGCTTTCTCTTCTCAAACCGGCTGCTAAAGTACACTCTGACCAAATCATAAAGCAACACGAGGTATGTTGTAAACAAAGATAAGGCAAAAGACAAGAAACTGCAAGTGCATCTTCTGCGCGGGGAAAAGAGTCTATTACGGAGGTTCCTTTCATCATGGTGTATCGTAACCGGGATTCTCATGATTGGTTCAAAAGCTGCGTCGATGACTATAACTCAGATGGTCGGGAGGAAATACAATCATAGAAGGAGAATCAATTCGAAAAGCTTAAAGATGTATGGTTCTCGAACATACATGCTTTTTTGGCGATCGATTCTGAGCGAGAGCCTCACGAGTGGTTCGAAGGCCTGAAGACCAAGGCATATCCACCGGATGCTATTTAATTTCACAAATATCTGGAGTGGTATTGATTATCAATCTGTAGTACCCAAGATCATGATGACGAGTTTCTCATGACACAGAATACCTACAGCATCTTCGAAGAAACAAAGAACGGAAACAGATGGTCGGACTACCATCCGTTTGCGCCTGTCTCACCTAAGATCGTGCTACTGATAAGGATTAATATGCTTTCCACCGGGATTGAAGAGAATGATAAAGCCACGCGCCAGATGTATGAGGCACACAAGATGAGGTATCTCAACCCCTCCAATGCCGGCTCTTACCTAGAGGATTTGCCAGTTGGCATCGCTGCCAACAATTTCGCTACAGTGGTAAACGGGAAAGCGGTGCTGAAGCCAACCGGGATGGCTCGATATAAACACGCCTTCAAATTCCCGCTCTTCGCTCTCTCGACCGCCCACGTCCAACGTATTAACACCATCTCCTTCGAGGAAACCATAGGAATAAAGGGCATCGTCTATAAATCTGCAACGGTGTTTAAGAGGGCACCGGAATACTTTCTGGCTGACAGCACGGAAGGCTTCAACACTGTCCCTCGAATTCCGCCTGCGCTTGCGATGCTGGTCCCGGAGGATGTCCGCTGGCAGCAAGGTTGGGGGACATACCCCAAACTTCTCGAACAGATCGTACAGGATGAGTTCGGGAGTTCCCAGAAAGCCATGTTTGAAGTCGTAGATCCGGTTCGGCTTTCTTCCCACTAACGACTTCTCGAGTGAACGACTTAGTTAGTCCTTGTCCTTGGTCAGACAGCTTCGTGTGCTTTGCTTGCAGTGGTAGGACCCTTGGACGACGTGGGTAGAGCATTTGTATGAGATTATGTCTGGTAGCTAAGGTAAAGAATTCGGAACAGAAAATGAGAGTACTTTACTTCTTCAAAGACGCCTTATTGTGGCGTACGACCGCTCCTCCATAATAGGTTTGTAGGGTTTGCCGGCTTCTAAGTCCTGAAGACCTTACTTAGGTCAGGTGCTTGTCCGCACATCTCACTCACCTCACATGGCTGAGTAATGCCCTCTGCTCACCGATACCAGCTTTGTTGGTGCACTTTGCCAGCACCTCAGGTTCATAGTGAAAGGCTTTTGACGCTGTCTGGTGGTAGTGCTGCTGTTTCTGTTTGTTTGCCAACGTCTCTGCAATACTTGGAACGTCAATTCGAGTCTGAGTCCGAGTATGTATTTGCTGTCTTTCAGTACTCATGCAGACCGTCTATCACCGTTATCTATGTTCGCTATGCTATCATGACGCCAGGGGATGCACGCGGCTTTGCCGTGATGCTTTTCTTAAACCTCCTTTTTTAGTTGAACAGTTTCTGTCCCGCTTCTGGACTGTGCATGCATGATTGGCACTCTCGATTCCCTTGGACTGAGCACAAGTCTCATACTCTCTCAAAGAAGTAGACGTAGGCAAACTTTTTCATTTCGTCCACATCTCCCTGGGCTTTGACCACTTTCTCGTCGTTGAATAGGACCCAGGACTCACCCCCACCTTCTTTAGCAGGAATTGGTTTGCGTATGAACGCGACGTAGTGTCTGTAGATCATTGGTCCTTAGCCACGATCGTCCTCGCTTGTGAGACTCAAGGAGTCAGAAAACTTGGTTGAAAAAGGTGACTCACCCTGCATGGATACTCGCCCCTTTATGGCAGACAATGCTCTGCAAACGAAAGTTCGCAGGCAGATATGTATTGCCAGCCATTGCCTTTTCACCTTCTGGGGCGGGGACATCTGTTGCAGCATCATCCCCACCAAAATCACCCTGATCATCCGGATGACTGAACACCCAGTCCACTGCTCTTTCAATGTCTCCGCCTGTTTCCCTCAACGCCTTACGTGCCTGCGGCGCTCCGATTCCCATGGCTCCCAGCATTTCAATGCTCTCCGGGCTGATGCCCGCGGAAGCCCCACCACCGCTGCCCGAGCCACCTAGGTTGAGGGGTTCATCGATATCGGGGTCTTCCATATGTGTGAACAACCAGTTCATTGCTGTTTCAGAGTCAGTGTTGCCGGTAGCGTGCAGTGCTTTCTCGCATCGCACTCGTGGAAAGCCCATCCCTTCGAGTTGAGAAAGTGCAGTCTCATTGGGAGCGAATGCTGGCGCGCCGGTAGCAGTTACATCTTCAGGCAGGAGCTCTTCGTTATCTTGATGTCCTGAAGACTTGTAGTCGCCTAGATCAAAGGGTTGATCATCTACTACGACTGGCACATCGAGCTTCGTTGGTACCCAATTGACAAGTTCGAATCGCCGGGCGTTGACTGCAAGAGTGGCCGGGAAAGTCTTGAAGAGCGAGCGTTTAGTGAAGCCGTCTTTACTAGCACACGAAGGGCATGTAAACTCTACAACTTCGGCAGCTGTGAAGGTATCTAGACACTCTTTAAGACTGACAGGTTCGAATTCATCCTTTGGCTTTTCGCTATCCGCAGCGCCATTGGCGACCGAAGGCTTTCGTCTGACTGGAACCGGAATGGAGATGTTGTCTTGCTCGTCCATTCGATATCGAACCTTTTCGCAAGACATACATTGCAGTCGTTGTTCCATAACAAAGCGGAAAGAATGAACCGGATCTTGAAGGGGCGCGGCGTGCGAGGAGCGAGTAATGAGCTTGAGAAGGTGAAGGAGGAGCTCAAAAGCATCTTGTTGGCGCATGGTGGAGAACTCCTCATGGCCTCGCCCGATGAGGTGTTTGAGCATAGCAGGTGCAAGACCTTTCTGGTTAGGAATTTCGGCAGAATACTCGGAAGCAACAACATCCGTGTCCGGATGCGAATAGCGACCTGACAGCAGACCATCCGCTAACTTTCTCAACTGGGTCTCGAGGTCTTCCGCAGGAGCTTGTGCTATCGGTGGAGGATCCTGTGGATGATAGTAACGGTTCTGAAAGCTGGACATGGTGAAAAGACATTGTAGTATGCTGGCTAAATAACAGCTGTTACCCAGATTCTTTAGGCCAGTGAAACCACTGCCAAAGAGTGGGCTGAGTTCCTTGCCATCCTCAGTAGTCATGGAGAAGTCCCACTTAAGATTCTGCTCGATCTGCATCTCCGTAAGACTCTTCTCAGTCTTCTCTCGCTCGGCGATGTTGATCCCCCAGTGAGCAAGGTGTTGGGCAAGCTCCGGATCCGTACGCTCCTCATCGCACGCGTAGCAGTATATGTCTGCTGTTCCTTCCGGCGTGATAGATCCTAATTTGACTGCTACGGCATGAGAAGCCAGCTCTGTGTGCTTGAGGCCGTGACCATTTCCGCCTACGCCCCCATATTGAGCACGACCGCAGCCCAGATTCCCACACTGAAGACACAACCATAAGTTCTCTTTCAAATCACACATAGAGCAGTGTCCCAAATCTAAAAGATCCGTCAGCACCGGGACCAAAAATCCTGTTCCTAGACCTACCCTGAGAATCGATATTCCGAGATTGTTCTTGTTCTAAGCATAAAGTATGTTCACATGCTGTGTATTCTTGCTCCCAAGCTTGTACTTCTGCCTGTCGTGCGAATGTGTTGGCCTTGAGAACACCATCTATGATCCCCGGCAGCTTTCCACTTGTTCTATCCACATTTTTCACCCCACATTCGTAGCACTCGACACGAGTGTCGGTATCGTAACGGTCCTCCTCGGTTTCTGCTGCTATCGCGAGCTTCGAGATCTTCTGGGGTGGCTCATCGCGCTTGATTTTCTTTTTCGTTCTTCGTATGTTCAGCACCAACGGATGCTTCGAGTTCTGGCTGTGTAAATGCGCATGGTCCCGTTCTCCAGTGCATCCTCCGTTGAAGCAGAACAGGCATACATTCAGTCCCGTTGCATCATCCTGGGCGCGTTAGACAGAGCTGTGCGACCAAATCATGGCGTTGGGGCCGTACTATGGAATCAAAACATTGCGTACAATCTTCTCTGTAGACCGACTGAGCAGCCGTGGGAGGGCGCAGCTCTGGATGGTGTCAGTACCATGCCCACGAGCACAATCATAGGGTCTGTTACCAGCTGCGTCAATATGCCTGCAGGCCATGGCTCCGGGTTCTTTGTGTCAAGTCTGGTATTTTTGGAGACTATGCTCACAACATCACGAGCAAATAGGTAAGAATCCGCCGTGTATTGTTCTGTAAGACGGCAACACACACGCCTGTTTACTTCGCTTCGCCAAGTACTACTGATTAGATTAGGGTTTATGGATATCTACATGTATTCTCTGATGTATACTCGGGCATGTAGGCATTCGTTCTGTCTATCGGGCAGGACTGCTTCCTGAAATGGTTTCAAGACTGCCGGCACAATAGTATTCACTTTCATTATTCATATCTTGTTGGGTATAGGACATGATACTCCGCTCTTCACAAAGCAAGCCTTGGACGAAAGCTGAACATCTAATGAGACTTGATCCACTCAATCATTTGCTCAAAAGCCTCTTTCTGCGCCTCTTGAATCTTCGGATCCTCGTACTCCCCCACAACAGCAAAGCCATGAGGCACACCCGAGTAGACTCTGACTTCGTGCTTGACCTTGTTCTCCTCCATATATGTTTGACCTGCAGTGCGAACGTCGTCTGGGAATAGCTGGTCGTTCTCCACGCAAGCCATTGATATGGGTGATCTGATGGCTTCGAGATCATCTGTCGTTATCAGTGTGCCATGAGCTAGAGCTCCCGCTTTGATCAATGGCTCTACTTTCGCCATCCCAGCTTCTTCATCTTTCGGCGGTGCCTGACCGTGAGCAGCGGAGTCGGGCAATTCGGCGGCTAGCAGACAGACATATTTGCCACCGAAACAATAGCCAACAGCGTAGACACCTCCTCCATTGGCAACTGCATCTGCAAATTCCTCTTTCGCACCCTCGACCACCTTCCGTAACACAGGAAGGACCTTCTCCGGCGTCTGTCTGGCCAGCCACATGTCTACCATGAAGGATTTAGCTGTAGTTGCGAAACCCAGCTTGACTCTCTCGATCACGGACGGATTCTGTTCATCGGCATTTGGATCTGTTGCACTGTTGGGTGCAGGGTCTCCAGCAAATCTTAAGGCTGTCAACAGAGGGCCACCTTTTGTTGGGGAACTGGTACATACTGGTCGGGCATGACCACCAGGAAACCCTCGCTGGCATACTTGTCTGCTTGAAGCTGATTGTTCTTGGAGTGTATGCCGGTACCACTGCTCAGAAAGAGCAGAAGCTTGGACGGGAGATGAGGGTAGTCGCTAGGTTTTGTAATGTAGACCTGACGCTCATATCAGCACATGATCGCGGTGGTCTTTGATGTCTGACTGGAAGCACCTCCACATCTGCAATCTTCGATATCTCCTTTGATCATAGTAAGCTTCTCTTCCAATGGCTGCCCTCAAGCTTTCAGACCCACACCACTTGGCTGCTGATCCCCAAGAGCTACTTTGCGTTCAGCGAAAGAGGACTGTAAGATGGGAACGTAGAAATACGTACGAGAAGGTCGATCTGTCACGCAGTGCTCCTGGTTGCTTCAGGTCAGCGGCCGATTAGCTATGAGGACCTGCGTAACATACTCCCATGCTCGCCCCTTTTTGGGCTGGCGTATCTTCAGAGGACATCATGCTGGGCTCCTTTGCGTCACTCTCCGGTGCCCTTGTGGCAACATCTTCGTCAGCCATAACGAAAGTAATGAAAGTCAAGCCGCCAAAAGGTACAAGTGGTATCTAAGTGAGGAGAAGTAGTGGCCTGGCCCGCCGTAATAGAATGTACGGTGGCCAACAAACCCGGCAAGTGCAAGTGGGGCAAAACACGAAACCTCTTTACACGTTCCTAACAAACAACGCGTCAACCTCAGAATACTTCCCATACTCAGAATACTCGGGTATTTCACAAGTCTTTCGATTACCGCCTTCATATCATTGATAGTCTACCTCCATGGCGGCCAACGCAGCTTCTCATGTCGACCAAGGCTCTCTTGCGTAAGTGACATGAATGCGTTCCTGATGCACTAAATACTTACGTCGTCAGTGCAATATTCAACTCCAGCGTGGATCCTAATACAGCTGTATCGCAACCAACACTGCAATGTGTCCAAGTCAAGCCTTTGGTTGGGCAGCAAGGCGCTCCAGAGCGCTTCAGAGTTGTTTTCAGCGATATCAACAATTTCGTGCAGAGCATGCTTGCCACTCGTAAGCGCCCGCAGCTCTACTACTTAGGATCTCGATAAAGTAGGGCATACTGATGAAATATAGAAGCAAACCATGTGGTTCATGATGGCAAGCTTCGGAAAGGCTGTTTCGTAAAGTTAAAGTCATACCAGGCGAATCAGGTGAAGGGGAAAAGGTGAAAATCTGGTACCTGCTTCTTGCAAGCTAATGCTCATACTGTATAGAATTATTATAGTCCTCGATCTCGACGTCCTACAAGAGCTTGGAGAATGTGATAAGATCGGCGAACCGAAGGCATTGGAATTCAAGGCAGAAGATGACACCAAGCCGCAATCAACCACCATTGCCACCAATGGATTCTACGGAAACAAGCCAGCTCAGCAACAAAACCAGCAGCAATCTCTACCCTCGAGGACAAACGCAACCTCATCAGCTTCACACGCCACCATCTATCCAATCGAGGCACTGTCTCCATACGCACATAAATGGACTATCAAGGCTCGGTGTACCAGCAAGCCTCCCATCAGGACATGGCATAACAAAAACGGCGAGGGAAAACTCTTCAGTGTCAACCTGCTGGACGAGAGCGGGGAGATTAAGGCTACTGGGTTCAATGATCAATGCGATGCGCTATTTGATGTTTTCCAGGAGGGTCAAGTCTACTACATTACCAGTCCTTGTCGAGTCAACATGGCTAAGAAGCAATTCTCGAACGTCAACAACGATTACGAGCTATCCTTCGAGCGTGATACGCTGGTTGAAAAGGCCGAGGAGCAAAACGGTGTTCCGCAGGTACGCTTCAACTTCACCAACATCGCCGATCTCCAAACCGTCGAAAAAGACACAACTATCGATACAATTGGTGTCCTCAAAGAGGTCGGAGAGACTTCCCAGATCATCTCCAAGACTACAAGCAAGCCGTACGACAAGCGCGATCTCACCCTTGTTGATAATACCGGGTACTCTGTGAAACTAACGATATGGGGTGATACGGCCCAAAAGTTCGACGTGATGCCCGAGTCTGTTGTTGCTTTCAAAGGCCTCAAAGTTTCTGATTTTGGAGGCCGAAGCTTGAGTCTGCTCATGTCAGGATCTATGACAATAGACCCGGATATAGATGAAGCCCACAAACTCAAAGGTTGGTATGACGCTCAAGGCAAGAATGATACATTCATGTCTCATCAAGGGATGAGCTCTGTGGGCGCAGCTGGTGGACGAAACGAGGCGACGAAGTCAATTATGCAGGTCAAGGAAGAGAACCTCGGCATGTCAGAAAACACGGATTACTTCACTACAAAGGCGACGATCATTTACGTGAAGCAGGACAACGTCTCATATCCTGCGTGTCTGTCGGAAGGCTGCAACAAAAAGGTTCTCGAGGTCGAGCCTGGACAATGGCGATGCGAGCGCTGTGATAAGGCTCATCCCAAGCCAGAGTATCGATATATTATGTCGATCAATGTCAGCGACTACACTGGTCAACTTTGGCTGAGTTGTTTCGACGACGTAGGGAGGATGATTATGGGCATGAGCGCGGATCAGTTGATGGAGCTGAAGGAGAACGACGAGAAGGCGGCTGGAGATGCTTTTCAAGAAGCAAACTGCAAGACTTTCATGTTCAAATGCCGAGCGAAGATGGACAGTTTCCAGGACCAGCAAAGGTATGCACTTGTTTCATTTCGCCTGAGGAAAACAAATGCTGACTTCGGGGAAGGGTGCGATACCAGGTTTCTGGAGCCAACGCACTAAATTATTCGAGCGAGTGCACGAAGCTGACACAGATGATCAAAGAGTACAGCATGACTTAAGAGATCCATCAGGACGATCTGGCGCGTATCAGCTTTCAATACCTCGAGCGTGCCGGGTCTCTCGCTGCTAGAGCGATCTTTGCTGATGTCATGTATTCTCTGTACAGACATTAGTTTCAGTGTAAATCTACCATAATGAAGAGCAGTTCGTTATGCCTTTCCCTTTAGCTACCCGGAGCTCAAATTTGTACTTCGGCGAGGTGAGGTCATCTTCTATGCAGAATCCTTATGAACGGCCCGACCACAATTTGTACTCGCTTCACAGGCTATTCAATTATAGACCCTCCTATCACCTGTTTTTGTTTGAGACTCTCATTACCACAGGTCCTTCAGGGTCAATCTCGCAAATCCCGATCCGCAAGCGCTGCAGCAATGGCAGAAACAATGCGAGCAGTCGGCAAGTAAACCCTCCCTCAACCGTGTATCTTCGCTCTAACGCTCCAGATTATAGACATCAAAAACCGCACCGGCCCCGCAACTTCCCTCTTCATCAACCCCTCCACCCCAAAACCTATACCCAAACCCACCGATGCTATTGTCAAAATAAAATGCTTCGGCCTCAATCGTATGGACTTACTCCAACGCGAAGGCCATTACCCTGTCCCACCTCAAGCGCCCAAAACTTTAGGCGTCGAGTTTTCGGGCACGATTGAGAGCTTTGGAAGCGATGCGGAGCAGGGTTTCAACGTGGGAGACGAGGTTTTTGGGTTGGCGTACGGAGGGGCGTACGCGGAGTATATTGCTGTAAGCACGCATATGTTGATGCACAGGCCGAAGGAGTTGAGTTGGGAACAGGCGGCTGGGGTCCCCGAGGTATGTCACTAAGTTTTCTCGTGCACCGATTGCGGTTTGACGTAGGGCCGAGGGCGCTGACCGCTTGCTTCGGTATATATAGACCTGGATCACAGCTACTCAGGCCATGTACCTGGTGGGCGGCTTCGCTCCAGGCAAGTCGATATTATGGCACGCCGGCGCATCGTCAGTGTCAATAGCAGGAATCCAGCTGTCAAAAGCCGATAAGGCTTCCGCAATCTACGTTACTGCAGGATCTCAAGAGAAGATCGATTTTTGCATCAAAGAGCTCGGCGCAACAGCTGGCTTCAATTATCACACGCAAGACTGGGCGAAAGAGATCCTAAAAGCAACAGATGGCAAAGGCGTCGACGTCGTCATTGATTTCATCGGCCAAAATTACTTCCAAGGAAACCTTGAAGTTGCTGCACGGGACGGGCGTATCGTGAATCTAGGGGCCATGAGCGGCACCAAACTCCCTGCTGGCGTGGACATCGGAGCTTTTGTAAGGAAGAGGATCAGGTTTGAGGGAAGTAGCTTGCGGAGTCGGGACGAAGATTATCAGGGGAAGCTTAGGAACACGCTGGTCGAGCATGTGGCTCCAAAGATGAAGGACGGGAGTTTCAAGGTGCTAGTCGAGAAGGTATTCCCGTGGGAGGATATCGTCCAAGCGCATCAGTTGATGGAGACTAATAAAACGAAGGGGAAGATTATTTGTAGAATAGACTAGATAAGTAATCAAACTATATCTAGAAGGAAATAGCGCGTGATTCCTGAAAGTGACCGGTCATCGTCAGGCAAGCCGTCGAGGCTCTCATGAGAGGTGGTTTTCTTGGATCTTGATATCTTCAGTCGAGGACAATCTTACATGCGCGACAGGCCAAATGTACTTTCTCTTCACATCTTATGCGACACTTTCTCTTCCTCAAGGTAAGTCTCCATCTCTCCTCGATCCAGTGCTGGTCATGTCAGAAGCCAAAGCTAACGTTGTGAAGGAGAAGACTGTCACACAGACTTCAACCCTCGACTCCCTTCCCTCTAAATCTGTGAAGGGCGCTTCGTTCCTTATCCTCCTCCAAATTGGATGCCGGGCCCTCACCTTCATCGTTAACCAGGTCTTGCTACGTTTTCTATCTCCTCATGTCCTCGGGCTCTCTGCCCAATTAGAGCTTTTCTCCATCTCCACGCTATACTTTTCTCGTGAAAGTCTCCGCAACGCACTCCAATATAAACCAAGTGATGATGAACAGAAAAAGACCGCAGAAGGGGTTGGAGGGGAGAAGAAGAAGAAGAAGGGCTCTGGCAACGTAGCCATTAGCTATGGATCGACTAGGAGGATGCAGGAGGTTGTCAATCTCTCGCACGCAGCGATCGCCATTGGTCTCCCGTTGACTGTTGCTTTCACCTGGCTGTACTTGCGGAAAGCCGGCACAGCGGTCCTCGAGTCTCATCACCTGGAGAGCTCAGTCTACATCTACGCTCTTGCTACAGTCATTGAGCTTCTGAATGAGCCTTCATTCAACGTTGCCCGACAAGAGATGATGTACGCAACTCGTGCTTCAGCCGAGTTTCTGGCATTCTTCACGAGGGCTATCATAAGCTGTTCAATCTCAATATGGGTAGGCATGAGCGGCCGTAATGTTGGCGTTCTGCCCTTCGCCGCTGGCCAGCTTGGATACGCCATCACTCTCAATGTTCTCTATCTCTCAAACGTCTATCCTATCTGCGTCCAAAATGCAGTGTCGCTCCTTGCTGCACCCATTGCATCAAGCACAGGCTACTTCATCTCACGCTTCTCCCGCCCTCTCATCATGCGGACGGCAACTCTCTATGGCCAAAACATATTCAACCAGCTACTCACATACGGCGATGGCTACCTCATCGCAACATTCGCATCCCTCCCTTCCCAAGGTGCTTACGCCCTAGCTTCCAATTACGGCGGTCTCCTCGCCCGCATCATTCTCCAACCAATAGAAGAATCCTCCCGCTCTCTCTTCGGCCGTCTCCCGGCTTCTCAAGCCACCCCAAAGTCTAAAGACAACGCAGTTCTCTCCCAAGCAAAACACCACCTCACTACCCTCCTCCGGCTCTACCTCCTCCTCTCCATCTTCGCCACATGTCTCGGCCCACCCCTCGCCCCCATCCTGCTCCGCCTCGTCGCCGGCAGCCGTTGGACTCATACAGAAGCTCCGGGTGTACTAGCCACGTACTGCTACTATATCCCTCTCCTCGCAATCAATGGCATCCTAGAAGCCTTCGTCAGCGTCGTTGCTACCGATCCACAACTCACTAGGCAGACTGTCTGGAAGGTCGCTTTTTTCGGCGCATTTGCTGGCACGGGATTCCTGGTACTCAGGGTCTTCGAGATGGGTGCGAAGGGGTTGGTGGTTGCGAATGCGGTGACGATGGGACTGAGGATTTGGTGGAGTTGGGCCTTCGTGCAGGGGTATATGAGGAGTGTGAATGATGGGGAGGGTTTGACGTTGAGAGATATGTTGCCCAGTACGGGAACTGTGGCAATGGGGGTTGCGGCGAGAGCGGCGCTCATGGTTACGGAGACGGGGACGCGGCAGGAGGGTGGTTTGGGGGAATTGGTCAGATGCGCCCTCGTGGCCGGCGTGTGTGTGCTTGGAGTTGTCACGTTCGAGCGGGACTTCTTCGCGGAGTTCGTGCCGCACGGGTTGGTTAAGAGGTTTCCCATGCTACGTCGGTTCGCAAAAAGAGGTGACGATGTTGGTGCAAAGAAACATAGCTAGCTAGATTCAACCGTTGATTCGATTCGACTGCTCTAATTAGACGCTCATACCAGAACATTGTCAACAGCCGTCTATATACCTTGCTTGTGACAAACAAAAGGATGGCCAAATCGTCAACACCATCAATCAATCAAATTTAATCTTCGTCCCCTCCTTCTTCCCCCCAACGCCTGGACCCTTATAAAACGCCCCATAGGCCTCATGACCCTTCTTCTTAACCGTCGTCCCAAACCTTAACAGCTCCTCCGGGATCTCCTGCCCCGCCGCCCTCAGCACGTTGATCAAGGCCCCCGACTGCGCCTTGTCGTGCTCCGTGAACAGCGTGATGGCCAACCCGTCCGCGCCCGCGCGGCCCGTGCGGCCGATGCGGTGCACGTAGTCCTCGACCGTGAGCGGGAAGGTGACGTTGATGACGGCCTTGACGGCGGGGATGTCGAGCCCGCGGGCGGCGACGTCGGTGGCGACGAGGAGGGGACAGGTGCCCGTTTTGAAGGCCGAGAGGGACGCGGTGCGCTTGTCCTGCGACATGTCGCCGTGGATGCCGGCGGCTTTCATCCCGCGGGCGCTCAGGAAGCTTTCGATGCGCGCGGCTTCCTTTTTGTAGAGGCAGAATACCAAGATGCGGTCGTTCTTCGTGGCTCCGGCGCCTTGGTGCTGTTTCAGGAGTTGCAGGAGGCGCGTCTCTTTCTGCCGCGGGTCGACGACTTCGACGAGTTGGGTGATTTTGGTGTTGGCGCGGAGTTCGCCGGTGGGGTTGTCGGCGCCGATGGAGATGTGGACGGGGGTTTTCATGAAGGTGGATGCCAGGTCCCGGACGGAAGGGGGCCAGGTGGCTGTGAACATGAGGGTCTGGCGGCCTTTTGTGGGAGTGGTGGCGATGATTTTTCGGATTTCTTCCTCGAAGCCTTTGTCGAGCATGCGGTCTGCTTCGTCGAGAACCACGTAATTGACATTGCTGAGATCGGCAGAGCCTTCGTTTATAAGATCGTTCAGTCGGCCTGGGGTAGCGACGATTATGTGTGCGGTTTTCAGGGCCAAGCGTTGCGGGTCTTTGGGAACGCCGCCGTAGACACAGACGGTGGAGAGGTGGGCAGGGGAGGCGAGAGTCTCCATCTGAGTGTGGATTTGTGCGGCAAGTTCGCGGGTTGGGGACACAATGACGGCTCTGGCTGGTGAGCCTCTCGTCCTGGATGAGCTAGTTATAGACCGTATGCATGGGACACCGAAGGCGAGGGTCTTGCCAGAGCCAGTCTCTGCAACGCCGATTACGTCGCGGCCCGAGAGAAGGAAGGGCCAGGCGGCTGATTGAATTGGGGTCGGACTTTTGAAGGCGGTAAACGGCGAGGGAGAAGTGGTGTGGTGAGTGGGGAGATGGGAGAACTGGGTTATGGGGCGGAGATTGGTTGAGGAAGTTGGATCGCTGATTGTGATGAAATTAGTAGAGAGAAAGTCGTCGATTTCAGATTGGGGGAGCGCAGCGAGGACCTGGTCTTTCACATAGCCCGAGCCTGAATCGAATGTGCCTTTGGTAGAATTTGGTTGCGATCCACCATCAGTGTTTTCCGTCTTCGCTGACTTCTTCTCCGCTTTCAAGCGTGCCTTCTCCGCCTTCAGAGTAGCTTTATCCGAAGCTTTGTCTATTCCATTGACGCTGTTATTTGATGGCAGTTGTTCAGCTACTGCATGACCATTTTCCTGCTCCTTCGCCAGCTTTTTCAATCGTCTTGCTTCCTTTCGCGCCTCTTTCGAGAGCTTGCTCTCGCTTTTGTCTCCATTGGCGGCAGCTTTTTCGACTTCACCCACGTTGCCATTTATTTGCAGAACCTCATCTGTCTCTGGACCAGCGCCTCGCTCTTCGCCCAATTTCTTCAGCCTTTTTGCCTCTCTCCGCTCCTCTTTGGAAGGTTTGCTGCCGCCAAAATCGCCATTGCCGACGGCGTCTTTCAGTATATCTTCTCGCCTCCTCTTCTTCGACTTCTTCGTATGGTCACTTCCGTCATTCAATACCGCACTGGCCGGTACTTCTGTCATTGCAGAAATATGGGCATTGGCGTGGTCCAAGGTCGTTCACAGATTTTGGAGAAAACAGTGAAAGATTTCAAGCAAACGCGGAAGGTGTGCCGAGCAGCCTTACAGCTCGTACTCGTACGTCGAGGCATGATCGCACCTATCTTCTCCTCCTGTGATCTCCTCAAAGTGCGGAGACAATTGTTGAGACTATCTACCTCCAAATTCTCTACCAGATACTCTGCGCCGTCCTGTCTCTTGTGATAGTTTACATATACGTAACGTCTCCGCTCGAGGGGTGCGATTTCTACGCGCCTGTAGAAACTACAGACATAAGATTATCCTTTGCGTCAGCTCCAACAGTAACAAATAATGTTCTAGCTTATCGGTTTTCTTACATACCAACCTGACATCATTGATAAGTCTATGGACAATTGCCATTGTGCCAGCCTACTTTCCAGCCTACCCACAACATCATGCGTCCCGAATATTTGATAAACGGCCTTCACTGTACTTAAAGAAGTCTTCATAATTAAGGTAGTATTCTATTCCTATTGTGAGACCATTACATACAATATATCAGTCCGAAATTTCGTTTCTCAAACTCTGACAGCAAGTTTCTACTTCGAATTCATCCTCTTTGTGTTTTTTCTTGAACTCAAAACAAAATAACGGTTTCTCTTCTAGACTTTCAATTTCGAGTATCACATCTAGTGCTACCTACTTGCTAGTTCAACTGTTCATTCAGAAGACCGCGGCTACAGATCTTACTTCTCAAAGATACTTATTCCAATATACACCACCATGTCCCACCAAGGTGACGAAACTTACCTCCCCGCCTTCGCCCCCGGCAAATCTCCCCACGAGTCCCCCTATATCTCCTACGGCACTCCGTACCCCAAAGCCTGCGCCCACCACGTCGCCTCCACCTTCCACGCCCGCCGCGTCTACATCCTAGCCTCCGGCGCCCTAAGCCGCAACACTTCTGACCTCCCCACCCTCGTCAGCGCTCTCGAGTCTGAAATCGGCGACGGTGCCGTCGTCGGAATCAGAAAGGGCGTCAAACCCCACTCCCACTACTCCGACATACTCGAACTCGTCCATGAAGCTAAAACCGCGAACGCGGACATCCTCGTCACCCTCGGCGGCGGCAGTCTGACCGATGCGGCCAAAGTCATCGCCCTCGCTCTCGCCAACGACGCTACGACCCTCGATGACCTCGAAACGCTCTACTTCGACTCCCCGTCCCTACGCCATCCGCTCCTCCCAGCTACCATCCCAATCATCTGCATCCCCACCTCCCTCTCCGCGGGCGAATACACCCCCCTGGCCGGCGCCACCAACGACGCGACGAAGCACAAACACTCCTTCCAGCACCTCTCCATCGGGCCCCGCCTCGTGATCCTGAGTCCGGAACTGAGCACCACGACCCCCCTGCCCATCTGGCTCAGCACGGGCGTCAGAGCCATCGACCACTGCGTCGAGGCCATCTGCAGCACCGCCTCCACAGCCGAAGGCGACGCCACCGCCGCGAAGGGCTTGCGGCAACTGGTCCCCGGCCTGCTGGCCACGAAGACGGCGCCGCGAGACTTGGCACCCCGCATGCGCTGCCTGCTCGGCGCCCGGGACGCCATCGGCTGCGGCCTCCTGCGCGTCCCCATGGGCGCGAGCCACGGCATCGGGCACCAGCTCGGCCCCCTCGGCGTCGGCCACGGCGACACGAGCTGCGTCCTCTTGCCCGCCGTCATGCGCTTCAACCGGCCCGTCAACGCGGCCAAGCAGGACGCCGTGCTGCGCGTCCTGTGGGGCGAAGCCGCCGTCGCCGCCGTCCTCGCCCGGAGGGGCCTCGACCGCGAATCGGCCGACTTGGGCGCCGTGCTGGATGCCCTCTTTCGGGAGTTGGGCCTGCCGAGGTCGTTGAAGGAGGTGGGGGTCGGACGCGAAGGGTTGCCGGCGCTGGCGGAGGGCAGTTTGCGGGATCGGTATTGTCGGTCTAATCCGGTTCCGTTGAGGGAGGGGGGGCAGGTGATGGAGATTTTGGAGATGGTGGTTGGGGATTGATGGATGGACTTGGTCGGTGGTGGTGGTGGTGTGAATGTATGTATGTAGTAGATTTTAGATAGCATATATGGATCAGATGGGCTATGGATCGGTACGAAACATATGATGAATATGGACCGTGCGTTCAAATCTATGCACCACTGCTTAACAACCCAAACGAAATGGGCCAGCAATCCGCCCGAACTGTCGGTGTTGAATGTGATGCTTCTCTATAAACCACCAGGACGGGGTATTGAACGAAAACCAGACAATGCCAACTCAGCAAGCAAATCTCGACCCGTCCTCCACGCCGTTCACCCCAAGGTGATCGACCAGCGAACCCCTCGGAGAAATACTCTCATCCGCCATATCAACGTCGTCTTTGGACGAATCCCCGTTCACCATCCCAACGTCCGCCCGAGGGCCAAGCCTCTCATCCAGCGCAGCTTTGACGGTGGTATTGAGCATCCTCTCCAAACTCGCCACTTGCTGCTCGGTAAAGCCGGGCATCTCGATGGTCAAAGAGTCCGCGGGAGCATTCTCGGCGGGCGGACTCTCATCGATGGGATCGACCGGGGTGGCGTCGTCGTTGTCGTTGAGATCGACCGCTGAGTCACCAGGGGCGCGCTCGAGCGTTCCGGTCTTTGGTGTTTTGGCGCCGAGTCGTTCGTCCAAGGCGGCATGGATGGTGGCGTTCATCATGTTTTCCAGACTGGCCACTTGCTGCGGTGTGAAGCCGGGCATGTCGGTTGTCAGGTCGTCCACGGGCGGGATTTCAGCCATGGCGAGATCATGGGAGGTATGTTGCATCAATCCAGCGTCGTTGACTGGGGGTATTTCTTTCTCTTTCTCCTCAGCGAGAACCATCGTATCCATGAAATCTTTCACCCCCATATATTCGAACTCCTCCACCCCCAACTCCGCCAAGCCTATGATCTCCTCCGCCTGCCTCCCCTTGAATAATCCGTTTACATTGTCTTCGAACTTCTGGCGGACCAAGCCAGCAGTATCATCCCGCCACGGGTGCCCCATCGGATACTCCACCAGCACCTCTTCCATGACCTCGCCAAGGAGCGTGGCTTGTAAAGCATTGGCCGCACTGCGTTTCTTGTCATCGTGGTAATCGGCCGTGAATTGCTCATCCTCCACCAGCTCAATCTTCCTCCTCAGAACCTCAACCCTTGAATCAGTCGCCCAAGGCGAGCTGTCGCTGTAGTCGGCGGACGTGATCATGCTGCCCTTCAAGAGTATTACAGCGATCATGTATTGCATGCAGTGATCTCTATCAGCCGCATTGTGCAGTGATCCCTGCTTGTTGATGATGATCATAGCCGGTTTCTGGGTTCGCACACGGACGTGGTTTATAGCATCTGCGATCGACATATCCAAGGGCGGTTCTCTCGAGCGCATTTGCCGGGCGAGTGTGAGGGCAGCTTCCACGGCTGAAGCAGCATGGCCTTCTGCTGCGTGTATCTTGAAGAATACACTTTCCACAACCCAGGTAGCGAAGGGCTTGGGAAGCTGGAACTCTTTGCCATGTAGAAGCGAAGTGTATAAGCCCCACTTTGGATCTGTGAGCACAGTTGGTGCGCCTGGCTGCCCCTTCTTGGCGAGTAATGCAAGGTGAACAGCCCGCATACAGGCATCCCCAGCTGCCCAGCCTTTGCGTGGTCCCGCATTTGGCGATTGACGGTAGGATCGTAGGGGCCCAGCATCGACAAAGGCATGAGACAGGGCGGCGAGAGTTTGCGATTGTGATAGACCGAGGAGATGGGCAACGACGGCTGTAGAGGCGATGCGGACCAGGATGGTGTGATCGAGGCCGTGCTGGTTGAAAGCGTTACGTATTTGGAAGCAACCTTGGATTTCGTAGGCTTTGATGAGGGCTTGAAGGACTGTGCGCATAGTCAAGGGTGGGAATGTGGTGGTACGGCTGAGGTGGTCTGCGACGGCCAGTATGGCGCCAATATTGTCTGTAAAGAACGTTCAGCGCAGGTCCAGTTGAGTTTGTTTCTCGTCTGTCTCACCTGAAGGGTGACCCCATTCTGCCCCCGGAAAGGCATCGCTGTGGTCCAGATATCGTATCAAGCTCCCTAGATCAAACGCTCCCTTGACAGGATCCAGCTGTAAAGAAGTGCCCGGTAGCCTGAAGCCATTTGGAACAATGGTGCCCTCAACAACAGGCCCAATCAGATCCCGAGCTTCTCGGCTCTCCTTGAGCGTCTCGAAAGCACATCCCAAAGCGTCGAACAGAGCAACTTTGGCACGCTCCCATGCTCGCGGGCTGATCACCTCGTAGTGGAAGACGTAGCTAACGATATCGACGAGGACCTGGTCATATGGCAAGCGAGCGCTGTTATCTGCGGAGACCTCTGCCATGTCAACAGTGCCAGCCTGACAATTTTCTTCGTGATGCTATTCGCAGTCATGATGGGTGCCGGCCTGGGTGGAAGCAGTGTTTCCCAACGTGCCGCCGTCCCAACTCTGGTGGGTTGTAGCCAACATGTTGCGAAAAAGCTACCGAGATACCGCCGTAGCAGGCAGCGATGGGTCAAATTTAACAATGCGGCTCAAAAGCTTGCGATCTCGTCGTGACATGATTGATCATACCGGTATGTTGAACATCTTCGGCATCATATTAGGCATTTTCCTTATCGCAATTGATGACTTGCATTGACATATATCAATGCTGATGGCGTTGGAAATGATATCACATTTCAGGAGGGAAAACGTCTTGTTTGGTAGGTAGAATCAAAAATCCCACATCCGCAGAGAGCCCTGGCGGATTCGAAACTCTCCACTATCTCCCATTTGACCACCCATTATTGTCTCGCGCATGCCTTGACCCCACCCACAGGCATTCCTGGCGCAAACGCTGTTCATTGTGGCAACTCCAGACGACCCGAACAGTTGCCATGAGTGAATTCGCGGTGTAATTGTGTTTTTGTTAATGTTGTGAACCTGGTCTTCATTTGTAGAGCGTTGTGGGGGACGAGGAGGGGCCAAAGATGAGGTCAAGATTAGCTTTGCGGCTCACCAGGCGTTCTTCAGGGTCAAACCTCCAGAAGCTTGCCGTATCGGGAAAGGTGCTAATCGCTAAGGGTCATGACATCCAGCTGAGAAGCAGTAATTTCTACAGGACCGGTACCTGAGATGGAGTGGAGAACTTCCGACAATCCTTTCACGTGAATATAATCATACCATAGGATTAATGACTATTGCCGTATAAGTGCGTGTCTATGTCCAAGTCTATCCAAGTCTATCCAAGTCTATGTCGATCTATATTGTATCTCCGTCATCTCTATAATCATTTCGCCAATGCCAATACGCCATGCCAGAATCAATAAAACAATAGGATGATCTCTCACAATCAAGTCCTAGAAGCAGCATGGAAGGAGTGATTCAGCGGGTCACCGTTGACATCACCACAGACACTTGAATCGTAAGGCTCTCTCGACTACCCATTACCCCACGATGTGCTTATTACGATCACCTTACATCAGAAGCCTCTGACCTCCATCCAATCCATGAACACCTGCATAAGGTAAAGACCGTGTCCAAACCATAACGCTTTGACACCAATACCAGGCCTCCCTCTCCGCATTTTCCTTTAGTGGTATGCACCAGTGTAGATCTGCTGCGGCCTCCAAAGGCGGGGGTTTCCGTTCATCGCTTCCCTCCAGTGAGCCATGACCCCCGGGCATCTTGACATCATGGCCAAAGGCAGGATGATCTCTGGTGGAAATCCGCTAGAACAATGTTTATTAGTCAAAGTGCATTAAACGTGCGGGGAACGCGGAAGGGAAAGACGTCAGGCTTACAGAGCCATGTAAACAAAACTACCGTAGAGATCGGCATTCGCTTTCAGGTGCCGAGAGGTGAAATACTGGTCTTCGGATGCGATTCTGTCGATCTCCAGCGCGGTGGCTAGGAATTCTTTGTGAGCGGCATCATCGTCTTTGAGTTCGTCGAGTAGCCTGCAGAATGATCAGCGAGGAGTTATCGAGACGGTCATGGCGGACATACTCCCGAATAATAACGCTGCGGGGATCAACAGTCTTGTAGATTCGGTGACCGTAGCCAAAGAGCCGGCATTTCTTGGCTTTGACATCATCGATCAACTGGGGCACATTCTCCGGCTTGCCGACGTTCTGGATCACTTTGAATGCGGTGTCGATCGCGCCTCCGTGAAGTGGTCCATACGCAGCTGTGAGGGAAGCAATGGTGCAGCTGAATGGATCGGCGAGCGTGGAGGCGACGTGTAGAAAAGCGGCAGTTGAATTCGTCAGTTCGTGATCTGCGTAGAGCACCCAAAGCTTCTCGAGGCACTCGACGTGTTTAGGATTAGGTTTTTTGGTTTCATCCTCGACGAATCCCATCATACGGAGCGTGTTCTCGATGAAAGAGCCATTGAGGTCCGCGGGCGTGAAGGGCTTCTCTTGCATACGACAAAATGACATTGCGATGACCGTAGCTAGCGCGGAGATCAGTCGAATGATCTGACTGTCCACCAAGTCCAGGTGTCCTTGATAGATGTTTTTGCCCATATAGGCCGGGATGACCGTTGGATCTGACCCAGTCCAGGCAGAGAGGCCGGCAATCATCATGGTAACAATAGGCGTATTTGAGCTGTGGAATTGATGAGCTGCGGAGGCGAAATCATACGAGTTCGGTACTTACGGGAAGGCATGAATCACATCTGAAACCATCTGCGGCGGGTGCATCGCCAATGCTAGTTGCTTTTTGAACATTTCCTTCTCTTCTGGCGATGGTAGTTTGCCCCAGATGAGCAGGTACGTGACATCCTCGAACTGCTTGGTCCCTACAAGCTCAGAGATGTCGTATTGTCTGTAGTGAATGCTACCCTCAGTGCCATCCCTAAAGGTTCACAGAGTCAGCGTCTGCTCAAGTGCATATCAGGTCTACAGGCGTAGTGTACTAACACAAAAGTGACCTCGGAAGATGCTACAGCGGTGTTTTGATATCCAGGATCAAGTAGGCGAAGACCACCCTCAGTTTTGTCCGTTTTGGCTTTCGAGTCAGCGCGTGCTCGGATCTGCTTGAACTGAGTCGCTTCCACCGCGTTGCGTCGGATGGGTATTTCGTAGTGATCGCCAGTGCGAGAGTCTGTGACTTTGAGGAAGCCAGAAGGTGTTGGTGGGGCCGGAAATCCACCGAGTGACTCCGGAAGATACTCCGGAAGAACGGATGACAGTCGTTTCTTCATTCGATATACGAGTTCACTGCAAGTCGAAAATACCATGTCAGAAGGCTTAGAGCCTTCAGGAGAGGCCATCAAAAAATCAGGTACTATGGATGCCATTGTTCTTCTCATTCGAGTTGAAGAGATCATATTGAAGACGAAGGAGACGAAGTGAACTTATGTAGTGAAAAGATGAGATTGGATGTTGGCACGGTGATACGGGGTCAAAGAAAGAAATGTTCGAGAGCCAGGAAGCCACCCATGGGTCCATAATAAATATCAAATGATCCCTACCAGACCCATGGTGTACGAAAGGGAGGTCAGTGAGGGGAAACCTCCGCTCTAGCGGTGATCATCTTCAGAGATCTGCTGTCAATGTAAAGTACCTTGCCATATCTATCGCTCCAGGCGCCGTCTCGAGCTTGTTCAAAACTTAATGATACGTTGAGAAGGCCTAGCAAGCGCCCAGCCACTCATAAAGGAGAGACGTTTCATGAGAAAAAGCTCGTATCACGATTTGATTGGTGCATCACGTAGAGCGCTCGAGGACTATTACTGAGCAAAATTCGGATACGGGGCGTTTGGAAAGATTTCCAGTCAAGCCACCAACGAGTAGTGCTTGACATGATAGGAAACTGCATGTAATTGAGTCATCATGCTACAGACGTACAGACCTCTCTCAAAACTGGTTGAGGGAAGAAAAAGCTATACCTAGTACGGTTCCTGAAATAAGTTGAACGCGATTTTGGTTGCAAATCCACGGCCCAACGGGAGCTCGACATACCTAAAATATCCTGATCGACAATCATCGTGCATGAACAACGGTGCCTACCTTAGTTGACGATAAGAAAACTCTGATTGATAAAGTTATTCTTTTCATTCTCTCTGAAAGTCAGCCTCATCCTGTCGCGAGAGATGTTGGAATTCAGCCTTCGAAAACGGTTTTGGCCATAAATGGTTAGTCGGTCAGATATGCTTTTTCGCCACCACTTGCTAGGGTCGAGGGCCGGAACGACTTATCAATTTTGAGACACTACTTTAACTTTTTGCCTTTGAAGATGCGATGGTGATGTCGGACGACGGATATGCATGCATTTCAGCAAGCCTGGCTCGCATTTCCCTAGTCGTGTGTTACTTTTGCCCAGCATATGGTTTGCAAATCCATCGAGATCCATGTCAATGGTATAGTTGACTTTTATAGAATTTTGTCTGTGCACAGCTATAACCCGAGCCTTACCTAGAAGCGACATGTGGTCTCTTCCGTTGAGTTGAAAAGACGTCCAATGCCAGGCTCTGATGGAACATTTGCCTCTTGATAAGCACGATGTGACAGTGGTGAGCATGCCAAGAACACTTGACATAGCATCTGACGGCTGATGGATATCTGCAGTCATGGAAGGGGCCCAAAGACCCTGAGAACCCTCGAAACTGGAGCAAAGGCCGAAAATGGACCAACGTGCTCATCATAAGTGCTCAAGCAACTATCTCACCCGTTGCCTCGACCTTCCTGGCCGTCACAGACCTGACCGTAGCAGACGATTTTCACGTCACCAATGTGTACTTGCCTAGTCTTCCCGTCGCTGTATACGTACTGGGACTTGGTCTGGGACCCTTATTTCTTGCGCCATGCTCTGAACTATATGGACGACGAATCGTCTTCCTGACGGCTTTCTTCCTCTTTACGATCCTGAATGCAGGATGTGCAGTCGCACCGAACATGGCGGCGCTGGCTCTCTTACGATTTGCTACCGGAATGGCCGGATCAGCAGGACCTGGGCTTGGTGCTGGCATTGTCAGCGACATGTTTGAACCCAAGGAGCGCGGCAAAGCGCAAGCAGTCTATGGCCTTGGTCCTCAAGGTGGCCCTGTGTTGGGAGGCGTCATTGGGGCATTCCTCCTGGAGCTGACTGGAAATTGGAGATGGCTGCTCTGGCTCATGACAATGGCATCTATTCCAATGAACACGCTATCTTTCTGTCTCCTCCGAGAGACCTACGAGCCTGTACTGTTTGAGTGGAAGGCTAAGAAGCTTCGCGAGGAAACTGGGGACAGCACCTACCGAGTCAAAAACGAAATTAGGCCACGGGAGCTGTTTCTCCACGCCATGACCAGACCGTTCCGGATGTTGTTCACAGTCCCAATATGTACGGTGTTGAGCCTTTACACATCACTAGTCGTCGGGATATTCTTCATCCAGCTCACCACCCTCCCGCTCCTTTTTGGTCCCATCCCCGAATTTGGGTTGTTCTCATACAAGTGGGAACATGGTCTAGATGGTCTTGCATACCTTGGCGGTGGACTTGGCCTTGTGTGGGCCACTTTGATTGGGATCTTTGGTCTCAACCGTTCGCGTAAGTGGATGGCTACTCATTTCGGCAATGGCGAAGGGAGACCTGAGTTTCGACTGCCTCTCCTTTTCCTCGGAATGCTACTTATACCCGTCGGCCTGTTTCTCTTCGGTTGGTGCGCACAAGCACGCGCCCACTGGGTTCTGCCACTTCTAGGTGCGGCCATCTTCAGCTGTGGTATGCAGATAGCCTACGTCTCGATCCAAGTGTATACTGTCGATACCTTCCGGACGTATGCAGCTAGTGCTCTGGCTGCAAATGCCGTCGCTAGAGGCGTTGTGGGATGCTTCCTCACGATCCTCGGCTTCAAAGTCTTTGAAAGCTTGGACTACGGCTGGGGAAGCTCACTGTTGGCGTTCGTAGCACTTGCTGCGCTTCCAGTACCAGTGGTTCTGTATATATATGGCTCAAAATTGAGGGAAAGAACCATCGAATCTTAAGACTGAACATTGAGCTTTGGTTCGCTGCGTTCGCGCTTGTCACAGGGACCTTGAGCCGTAGTCCAGGCACGGAGCTGCCGGGCAAAGTCACAGTCGAAGCGGTAGAAGTCCTTCCAGACTGGATATGACTGGCACCAGACACGATGTCTTCCGACTCCTTTTCTTGATAATTTGCAGGACAACGTGAAAGCAAAACAATTTCTGGTTGGATGGCTGCCAAGCCGCTAGGACGGGTAAGTATATTTAGCGTATGCAAAAAAGAATGCCATTTCTTGGCATAGCGATTTTCCTCCCACAACCGTCTGACTTATTTTTGATTACAGTAAGTGTAAGTAAAATATGGCAAGATTGTTGTATACCAATTCTATGGATTGTTTTGAAGATTGCGGAAATGTTATATCATTTTGAGATCGATTAAAATCTCGGTGAACTCATCGTGATCAACCGTGACATTGCCGCCTACCGCTGCCTGAATCCTTACCCTCGCTCTTAACAAGCAATTACATGGAGTGCCATCAGGAGACACATAGCTATTGCATGTGTTAAAGGATTTGATTTCTTGTGAGATTAAGGTGCTATAGCAATATCATCAAATATCATAGACCGACTCCGCTGCTGCTGGTATCGTCTGCTATTATCTTCCATCCTTCAACAATGTCCTCCAAGCCGGCCTTCCTAACCGTTCCCTTGGAACTACGCCATCAAATATACTCCCATCTCCTCATAAACGACGCTGTCGTCAAAATAGCTTCCGGGGCAATGGTGAAATCTCTACGAAATGGAATAATTCGCTCTTGTTGGCAAACTTTTCATGAAATGCTCGAGTACTACTACGCCAACAACACCTTCTCGCTCTCACTGTTCAGCCCGCTAGAGAGCACACCAAGCCTTTTGAAACATCTAGGCCGCATGCAACATTTACAAGTCGAAATTGGAGATTTAGTGCTCTCGCCAACCCACACAGCGTTCTTCTTGCACCGGCACACGCAGCGCCGAAGTGACTGGTTCTTGAATACTTTACGTCAAGCGAAACGAGGTCAGGAAGGGAGATACCTGAAGACTTTGGTTGCAATCGACCGTTGTGGTACTTCTATCGTGTCTGAGTGAGTAGATTTCAATGGCGAATTCCAGTGCATAGAGGAGTCGCAAAACCAGTGCGACGCTTACTTGAGTCCCGCATCTTTCTCGATCCGGGCAGCTTGACGTAAAATCGATACGGACGCTAATGGGCGGTACTAACAGAAGCATACCACCCACGGCGCAAATATGGCAAGATCAGAGATGGAGGGAGGAGAAACGAAGAGAAGTGCTGGCAACAGTGCTGCGGCCTCTGTGCCATGTTGTTGACAAGATCACCATCGAGAGTCGAGCCATGTCTGAAGAGCGGGATCAATGGGGACGTTTGAGTGCGAAATTTCTTACAGTTGTGGGTGCAGGCATCGCTGACTTACAGACAGCCAGGACTTGGAATGTGGTCCTCAGTGTTGGTCAAGTTAGGCCACTGGCGTGAGTTGGAGAATATATGTTTTGCCAAAGAGGGAATACATACCTCCTAGTAATCCACGCCAAGGTACTCCAGCGCAAGCAATTAGGAGGGACAGTTGCACGGTCACCGCGCAGCCTGAGCAGGCGCGCTGCCGGAAGTAAATTGCAGTTCTAGCTCTACGAGTCTCAAAAACATAGAGACTTTCAACTGTGAGCAGCAGGATTTCTTTTCGCCAAAAGTTTGTCTGAGCCGGGTTCATGTGATGAAAGCGGAGACATTAGGCTTGATAGCCATTGGATGTGTGTCCGATTTAGACGATGAGAGAGATAGATCAAAGGAGCATGGTCCAGTATGAGGGATTCGAAGCTAGGACGGAAAGTAATAGGTTGAATCTCTCTAGCACAGATTTACTGTGGTAACCCTTGGCCACTGCAACGGCCGAAACCACGTTTGAAACGTACAATGTAAGACACGCTGTGCCGCTCGCATGAAAGCCCCGTACTCAGACCCCCCTACTCTTCAACGCCCTCTTGAGCTTTTTCTGAAAGCCAAAGACATGATCCGGCCCAATCATGGTGTAGTGCGCCCCTTCGACCTCATGAAAGCGAGGTTCCGTATCCACAAATCCGGTCCATTTCCTCAAATGGCCATCGAGCCATTCTTTCCGGGAAAGCGCGAGCACTTTCAACGGCGTGGCGTAGAAGACATCCATCGTCTTCACAAGACCCGACGGCTCGTACAGCCTGGCCATGCTTTGCAGGCCGAAGGCTAAACTCGCCCAATTAGACAGGCTCTCCGGGGACAAGGAAAGCTCGGCCCAGCGCGCTGGATCTGCACTAGACTTTATATACGCCAGGGCGTTTTGTTCCGATCGTCCATCCAACTTATCGCCTGCGTTGTCTGCATGCTGTTCTGTAATTAAGCCTAGGAAGTAGGACAGATGCAAGAGGCACTGTGTCCAATTGAGCTGCTCCATTCGCGACTTAATGTGTGGAGGTAGGTTGAAAGACCCAAGGAAGCGCACTTCGTCACCACTGGCCTCCAAAACTTTCGTGATTTCGAAAGCCAGCATTGTACCGTAGGAATAGCCTGCTAGCGCATAGGGACCTTTCGGCTGTTGAGTTTTGATCGCGGCATGGTAGACCGCCACGGCCTGGTTGATGCTCTCAAAGTATGGCTCTCCATCGAAGCCTCTGGCCCGCAGTGCGAATATTGGTCGGTCTGATATAGACTTGGCGAGGCCGAGAAAGACGAGAATCTCCCCAACGCCGGGATGGACTAGCCACAATGGCGTTCTGCTCCCATTTGGTTGCAGTTTCACCACAGGGTCGTATTTCCTTGGACCGTGGGTGTCATATATGGCTCTTGCCAAAGACCGCACAGTAGGGTAAGCCATGATCTTGACTATTGGGATTTCGTCGATCAACAAGCGCTTTTCGATCTGCTGTTTCAGTCGAATTAGATGCATTGACGTGACGCCCATCTCAAGAATCGTTTTCTCCACCCCTAAACCTTCTTCAAAAAGCTCCACGGTGTTGGCAAACTCATTCAAAAGCAACCGCTCCATCTCGTTGGCTGGCGGCACGTAATGGGAGGCTCGGTACGTTTGGATCAGAGCGTCATTCTCTTCCTTGTGCTTATTGTAGTCACCGTTTTCCATTGCTTTTCGTATCTTCGGACGCGAAAACTTGCCTAGGGTAGACTTCTGTAGTAAGAGACTATCAAGTGGTAAGATATATGGGCAAGCACCAGTCTGCAACATGACTACCTGCACAATGGCTTTCTGGGCATTGATTCGTGAATGAACGTCGTTGCTCGGATAGTTAGGAGAGTAAACAAGGCAGATATTCTCTGTTTCCATTCCACTTGAGCGATAAGGAAAGCATATAATGTAGCCTGGCACGATCTCAGGTAATGAAAGCCCTTCAACTGCGGTCTCTATTTGATGAGGAAGATACTTGACCCCATTAACGATGATGGTATCCTTCCAACGTCCTACGAGGTTAAGCTGACCAGCCGTATCAATCAAGGCCCGATCTCCAGTCTTGAACCAGCCATCTCGAGTGAATGCTTCGGCTGTGGCGGAAGGATTGTTATAGTATTCTCCGAACACTACAGGTCCTGTCAGTTCAAGGTTGCCAGCCTCGTTCGGCACAGCTACTCTTGTCTCGTCATCTTCGACCGGTACGGTTATACGAATCTCGACACCCGCCATACATGTGCCAAGAGAGGCAAACTCGTACCCATTCTCCAGGTCGTAATCCGGACATTGAGAGTTGAAGATTGCACCAGCGCAAGTCTCGGTCATTCCGAACCCTGGTGTGATCGCGTTCTTGGGTGCGCCGTATTTGCAAAGTAGCTTTGACATGGCATCACACGTGTCGACTACGTTAGTCTCTCCACCAGTCGCCAGGAATCTCAAACAACTCAAGTCTAACTCTTTTAGCCGTAGATAAGCATTTTCAGGCTCAGACTCCGTTGCCTCCCGTATCTTTGCAAGAAAGAAATTGGGAGCAAAAGATCTCGCCACACTGTGCTTGCCAATGAGTTCGAGGAAAAACAGTGGATCCGAGAGTACTTCTGAACTGGGAATGTGAATTTGGTCCACGTTGAGGTACAAAGCTTGCAGGTGTATCTCCACCATACTGGCCACATGGTCCAGTCCTATCCAATTCAGAAACGGCTTCCCAGGGTCGAGATCTTTGACGGAGGATTTACTCGTAATAGCAGTAAGAATCTGTTCATGACTTAGAGCAACGGCTTTTGCATCTCCAGTACTGCCGGACGTGAGCATCAACAAAGCCAGATTTGTCTCAGAGGAACATTTCAGAACTGTGAGTGCGCATATGTCCGAAGCCTCCGTGGAGAGCAAAGTTTCGACGGTATGGATATTCAAGACTTCCTGATCAGTGAAGTCGCCTAAAAGGTTGAGCCGAGTCAGACAGATTGGGTCTCGCAGTAGAGTGTGAAGATGGCATATATGTCTCTCGCGTTGTTTCGTGTCGTTGCTGAATGGGGTTGACATTGCAGGAACACCTCCGGCATAAAGGACTGACCAAAACCATATGATATTATCGAGGTGGTTATCAAAGTGGAGTAGGACAACAGAGCCTTGCTTAAATCCCTCGACACATGTAAAGTGTCGGCTGTTGGATAGAGCTAGCGACAGCAGCTTGTCGTATTGCACGCTGTAGCCACTAGTTGTCTCCCCAGACCGGTAAATGATAAGGCTTCGAGGCCTGTTCCCGCTTGCTCGTGATATTAAGAGATCTTTTAAGCCATTGAGATGCATTGTGACTGCGTGAGAATTTCTAAGCAAGAGCAGGTTACCAGAAGCTAAGGTCGTGCATTCAAATCCAGTATGCGATAGACAATGACCCAAAAACGTAGAAGTTCTCAGCGATTTACCCTTTCGAAATAGAGAGTCTCCTACAACTTTCATAGGCTAGATGTAAACAGGCTATGTGGAGAGAGATTTGGGATGCTGCAAAGCCATTAGCGCACACTAGTAGTGAAGAAAGTGAACCTCTGTAAGGCAAGGATGAAAAAATCGGCCGTAAGTGTACACGGTTGACAAAACTTGGAGCCAGCCAACACACCACCAACTGCTTTTCTATAACACAGGAAGTGATCTACCACTCCGCACTATCGCGAATAGCCCTACAATGAGGATGACTCCGATACCCTGCACGGGAAGCAAGGAAAAGACATTTAGCGACGAGTCATCTTGCTCGCAGTCTACGATTACGTGCCGTGCACACCATCATTCCTGCACGATTGTCGCAGAAGCACCTGCTATCAGAGAAGGTGAAAGCTTGAGGCGTTGTTGCATAAGCAGGGGGCTACCTGCAGTGATTCGAGCTTGCATACTTCGGCCGTAAGATGACATGCTGCTTGATGAGTAGCGTTACATTCTGTATCCCGAACGTGATTAGGCTAAAGTAGAGTCAGATGGCTTGAGTCTAGAACGTCAATGGTTGAGCAAGGTGGGAGAGCAGCTTGCCAGAATCACGTTGCAACCATTCCCGTTCTCGCGGATTACCGGACTACGCTGGGGAATTGCCCTATTAATACATGATTAGCGCCTTGGCGTGATTGATGCATGTATCTAGGTACATTCTTTACTTTAGGTGGCTAGTGCTGGGAATACCTCGACGCCACTTAGGGCCCCTTCTGCAACCACATATTTTGGAAATAACCCCTACTTATTTCCACTAAATAACGCCATCACTTGGCTAATGAAAATAAGGCTTGAAAATAACGCTATGAATATTTCCAAAACAAGTAGAATATGTGTACGGTTCCGTTCTGTAACCCTGTTTCTGAGGCTGAGTCAGAATCGTCGCAAAAATTGTCTTTGTTACGAGCGTACCCTTGACACACCACTCAGCCCTATGGCTAGCGGGCCTTGGCGGAGGCATCCCCTACCATATCATGCCTCCTTCCCACATACATAGTTCGGTAGCGCACTAAGTAAAAGATCTATGGCCTCCTATACCACTTCTCGAACGCACGATAGCCTTATTATCCTATTCTACCTCACCCATATAACGTACCTCTATGCTGGTCCTGACAGTCTTCTCCGTAAAAAACCATTGAATTCCTACCATTCCACATCACTATGGCTGAGATACCTGCTGCTACTGCTGCACAGGCTTTGGCTATCATTAATACTCCTATTACTCCCTCATCTATACTTAATATTCTTAAGAAAAAGAGAATAATATATATATATCGGTCATAGATGTCCACTATTCTTGGCGTTCTTAGCCTTATTTTGGCTGAAAATAACTCTCGAGAGTTGTTTTCAGATATTTTCAAGCCTGTTTTCGCTTAATAAGCGAAAATATATCGAGAGTTATTTTCAGATATTTAAGCCTGTTTTCGCTTAATAAGCGAAAATATGTGGAAATATAATTATAGAACGATACCCTATATATATTTAACGCTAAGCTGAAAATTAGTAGAAATATCTAGAGGTTATTTCTAAAATATATAGTTATAGAAGAGACTTTTAATCTTAATAGTCTTACGTAATAAGTCTAAGTAGAAAATTCTATTAAGTCTTATTTTTTTAATAATTTAACTAATATAAGATATTTACCTCTAAGTATATATTAGTATTAATAGATTTCGAAATAGCTCTAACTCGAAGAGAGCTATCTCGAAGCTATCTCGAAACTATTTTAAAGAAATTTAATAATCTATAACTTCGATATATTATTACTCGATAATCGAATTATTTCTTATACTTTTTATAAGAATTAATATATATATTCTTAATATATATAATAATAATATATTCAATTTTCTAGATTTAAAGTTCGAAATCTTTAAAGTTATTAAGCTTTTTAGTTTTTATTTAAAATATTTTAAAATAGTATAATAATTAAATAAATTAAAAAATATATTTAATAAAACTTTATATATCTTTATTTATACTTATAAATTATTAAATTATAATTTAAAATTATAGATTAATTGATAAATTAGTTAAAATAATAGCTTAAATAAATATTTTTAAATATTTTTAAATATTTTTTTTATAAATATAATTTCATAAAATCTGGCCGGGCTTATTTTATAAAAGTATTCTTAAATAAACTTATAAATATAACGAGTATTTTAAGATTATTTTTAAGGTTTTCTCGGTGCACGTTAAAGAATAAGAGAGAAATTAAAGATATAGTCTTTAAAAACTCTAATTTAAATCTTCTAAAAATAAATAATTAAGATACTTTATTAAAAATCGAAAAAAAAATCTAATTCTACGATATTTAAATAGTTATTTTATAAATAAATTCTTTTTTATTAGAGTTCTTAATAAAAAGTTATATATAAAAGAAAATATTTATTTTCTATTTCGGTCAATTTTGGTGAGGATCCCATATAAAATAACGGTCAATGTAGCGATTCCGTGGTTTCCTACTCAGACTCTACAGGGGGGGTATGACGGAATCGGCTCGGGATTATAATATTCCGGCCCCCCCCTAAAATGTAGAGTCTGAATTCTGAGACTAGACGCCACTCTACAGTTCAATGGATGACGGCATCTTTGTTACACATTACACCTCTTCCCCAACCCGTACACCCGTCTTATCTCAACGCTCTCGACGGTCCAGACCGGTCTGATTTAGCTGTTGATTAGTCCGATATTTATACTTGATAGACTAGTCGTCTATTCGTGGAATAGGCTGAGATATGTTTTGCGGGGGCTCTATTCAGTATTGGTTCAATGGTGGAATTGTTCTAATTTCTCTAATTATGGCCGCGGCTGAAATGGGATCTCATACGTGTACACCACTTTTTGATACATCTACACCCCTCATATCGAGTTCGCGCTTTAGCATCAGCGACTTTTGAAGTGCATTGAGCTGCGTTGAAGGAAACCTTTCACATCCTGGATTATTGAAGCATTTGGATTCATTTCCTATAGAAGTGTCTCAAAATCTCACACATCATTGACTATTGAAGTAGTGGACCCCGTTTCTTGTAGAATCGCCTTGAAACACGGCCTGAAAACCCCCCACACATCTCTACTTATCTAAGTTGTCGAATCCGTTTTCTGCAGAACCGCCTTTAAAAACGGTACCTTTGGCCTGCATCGAGAAAACCTTCTATACTTTTAAGAATTGAGACAGTCGAGTTCTTTTACTCGTTGAAGTAGTCGGATCCGTTTCCTGCAGAGATTCCTGATATCACGGCAACTCTAACCTGCATCGAAGAGAAACTCTAACACCCTTGATCATTGAAGCAGTCGAGTGTTTTCTGCAGAACTAGTTCAAAACACAGAAACTTTGACATGCATTCAAGACTGTGCCTCACACCTTTGCATATGTCCGTGGAATAACACCTCCGAGGGGTTCCTCGCTAAGCAAGTAAAATTTAGGTGTGACATGGGAGAGGTCTTCACCTAATCATGTGCAAAATCCGATAGCTATTTCCTGTTTCTTTCTCGGCGCGCATATACTACTCAGCTGCCGATTACTGTAATAGTCGCGCACACTGACCTGATCCGAGGGGACACACATGTATCAAAAAGGGGTGTATACGTATGAGTTCCCAATGAATTTAGTAGTAACTCTCCAACTTTCCAATAAGATTTGGCGAAAAACTATCTTTATGAATTAGCCAGGTCAGCTAGAAACTTGGTCTGGATCCGTGCGACTTCTGGTCCAAAATTAACCCGTTTTTGTAGCCTCACGATGGCCTATTTCGAGGTCCAGGACTACTGTTGCGGACCATTGAGAGCGTTGTCTTGCCTACGGATTACCTATGAAGTCCCCCGGATTGAACTCCCCGCCCCTCTCTATCAGGGCTGAGTTACTGTGGCTTCAATTTCTAGGGATTAAAATGATGGGTAAAAAGGCTCGAGTTAGACAAGAAACTGTACAATACTGGCGCAGAGATCACCTAGAGAGTGTGTGTATGTATGCAACGATTTGACGAAGGAGCTTTTACGGAATCCTTTCGAAGTCAGGCATGTACGACGGACCGGCCCGATAGTGTGTGATTGAGAAATTCCATAGGCGAGTTTAGGGCCAGTTCGGTAACCACATATTTTGAAAATAACCCCTACTTATTTTCACTAAATAACGTCACCTCTTAATAAATGAAAATATAACTTAAAAATAATACTAATTTATATTCAAAATATATAAAATATCTATACGATTTCGTTCGATAACTCTATTTTTAAGGCTAAGTTAAAAATATTATAAAAAATTAAGAAAATTATCTTCTCTATTAATAATTATTAAATTTCTATTATTTCACGTTATTATAACGAAGATATCTACTATTACTATTATATAGACTTTAATTATTATTAATACTTCTATTATCTCTATTATTACTATTAAAATCTCTATTAATATCTCTATTAATATCTTATTATATAATATATTTTAAACTTATCTTATAAAGATAATATTATATTTCGAGATAATATAATAATATTATCTTAAGAAAAAAGTAAATACGAGTTTTAAATTTAAAGTTTAAATAAGTATTCTAGCTACTATTTAGACTATAACTCTAATAAAATATTATATTAATAAGTCTTAATATTAGAGAAAGATATAAGTTTATAAGTCTAGATAGATCTTATAGCGAGTTCTTTACTATAAATTAAGTAATTAGAGATAAGATAATAATATATAAATAACACCTCCGAGGGGTTCCTCGCTAAGCAAGTAAAATTTAGGTGTGACATGGGAGAGGTCTTCACCTAATCATGTGCAAAATCCGATAGCTATTTCCTGTTTCTTTCTCGGCGCGCATATACTACTC